ATATATATATAATATATCAAATAATTCTCAAAGGAAGAAAAAGAACTAGACAATAGGGAGTGATCCTGCTGAAATTATTGTACCACTGACTAGTGAACAAATTCAAGCACTAAGGGAAATTGATGAGAACTGGCAAATTGCCTGCACTAATTATTTGGGCAAAATTCATAACTTTCCAAAGCAAAAGATATTTCAATTTCTTAAATTTGCTAATTGGATTTGGCCTAACATTTTACTTACTTTACTTTTATAAAAACTGAACCTATTGAATCCGCTGTTACATTCTTCACAGATGCTAGCAAAGAAGGAAAGGCTGCTTATACCAATATGCAAAATGATAAGGTTTTACAAATTCCATATAATTCGGTTCAAAAGAATGAATTGGAGCTCTGAGCATCTGCCTTCCCCTTTTGCCCCTCACGCTGTGCTGATCTCCTCCCAAACCCAGGTCAGCTCATCCACCAGTACTTGAACCCAGGACTTGGACCTCTCCCTGCAAGCCCCCCAGGCGTGCTCCCAGACGCCTGGAGAAAAGCAACTCCGAGCTCTGCCTTCCCCTTTCCCTTTCGCCCCTCACCCTGGGAGCCTTTCACTCCTCCCAAACCCAGGTTTCCGTGGGGATGTGGCCTCTTCAGAAGTGGGAATGGCTTCTGTAGAAGTGGGCGTGGCCTATTTTCAGCTGTTAGCCATACTAAGGAACCTAGTCCCCAAGGAACCTAGTCCCCAACCTACACAGCAATATAAAGCAATGCAAATCCCCACCACATGAGGAGGACAATGAAAAGAATCCAGAAGACTCTGTCGATACTGCTCACCTAAGGGACCTCTCTGACAAAGAATTCAGATACAAAGTCATGAAGATGTTAAATCAACTCAATGAAATAGACAAATATCTAGTAACATGATAGAAAAAAATCGACAAATTATGCGAAGAAATGAGAGCAGAAATGTCACGAATAAAAGATTCCGTAGAAGAAATGAAAAACTCAGGCTCTTCTCTCAACAGTAGAATGATCGCAGCTGAAGAGAGAATCAGTGAGCTGGAAGATCAGCTGCACCAAGCCAACAGGCAACAACAAACAGTGGCAAGGGACCTCAAAATAGCTCTACAGAGAATCAGAGTCCTAGCAGATGATTCCAAGAGGAACACCATTAGAATCATTGGACTACCAGAAGCTCAGGGAAACAATCCCAACGAAAAAAAACACAGTTAAACAAATCATTGCTGAAATATTCCCAGAGCTCCACAATGCAGCCATTCAGGTTCAAGGAGCCCGAAGGGTACCAGCTAAAAGAGACCCTAACAAAAAACACTCTAAGACATATCATAGTTAGAATGATTGATGCTGCCGATAGGGATACAATACTGCAAGCAGCAAGTTCAAAGAAGGAAATCACATACAAAGGAGCACCCCTTAGATTCACAGCAGATCTATCAGAGGAAACCCTCCAAGCCCGAAGGCAGTGGCGAGATATAGTGAAAAAACTCACTGAAATGAATGCTTCACCAAGAATACTCTATCTGGCTAAACTCTCACTCAAAATCAAAGGAACAGTACACTATTTTCCAGATAAGCAGCAGCTCAGGAACTTCATAGACTCAAAACCAAATCTAAAACAAGGGCTAAAGGGGATACTGTAAGACAAGACAAACCCTACAACCACAACAGACCCTTACAGAAAGATGACACAAAACCCCCATAACAATAATGTCTCTCAACGTCAACGGTCTAAATTCACCAATTAAGACAATTTTGCCACACAGAGTGGCAAAATGGATTCAGAGACAGAACCCAACATTCTGCTGCCTACAAGAAATTCAACAGTCAGAGCAAACACAGACTCAAAGTCAAAGGATGGAAAACAATCCTGCAAGCAAACAGCTCTCTCAAAAAAGCTGGGGTGCCTATACTAGTATCCTACAGCATTAATTTTTAGCTTACTCATTTGTTAGAAGCATTTGCTGTTATGGGCATTCCTAAGGCAATGAAAACTGGTAATGTGCTTGCTTATACCTCTGCAAAAACGCGTGATTTTTTTCTGTGCTTATGGTATCAATCATTACAGGAATTCCTTATAATAGTACAGGACAAGCCATTATTGAATGAGCAAATTGCTCACTTAAGATATGTTAAACAAAAAAGGGGAGTATATACGCATTCTCCCAGACAGCAAATATCCAGAGCACTGTTTACTTTGAATTTTTTTTTTATTTTTATTAGTGAGTACCTTGAATCTTTTGCATTGCTCTAATAACATAACAGCTGTAGAAAAACACTGGAAAGTTCAAAATAGCTCAGAAGAAATATGTTCTAATAGAATAAAAAATAATTCAGATAAAATTATTCAGAGATATAAAGTCCTTTATAGGGTCCCAGTCTCTGGGAATTGGATTCCAGGCCTGGTAGAAAGATGGGAATGAGGTTTTGCTTTTATTTCCACAGATAAAGATCTTTTTTAGTGTCCCACGAAAAGACTGAAGCTTGCCAATGAATCACAATAAGAGATGGCAAATGAAAAAAACTGCAGTATGGATCCCCTCTTTATAAAATTTTGCCGGCTTTATAAAAACAAAAGCGCTTTTTTGACACCATTTTAACATGCAGGAGATAGGCTAGTTACACTGAGAAATGGGGGATAATCCCAATTGACCAACAGAAAATTTTTACCCTGGGGACTGCCCTTCCTTTCTCTGGTTTTTTTCATCAGGTTTTTTTTCCTGGTTCTTAAAGTGTCATATCAATCAGGTATGTCTGAGTGCACATGTACATGTGATGTTTATTGTCTTTCTGTCTCTATGTTGAGTGCTCAAATGTTAGAGTCAGGTTGAAATCGGAAATAGAAATCCTTTGAAACTGGGCAAGCAGCCCCATCACAGAGGTTAGTGATATGCAGTTCAATAATTTAAAAAGTTTACGTGTTTTTGGAACTTGTTAGACAAAGATTTAACCAAAGATCAGAACATGGCACCTACAGAGAAATTAATATTCTCAATATAAAATATTTTATTGAAAAAACATTAATAGTAATTAACAGTTGAAATTATTTTGAACTTCAGAATATGCTACTACTAAGGAAGAACTGTAAAATTAGAACCTGAAACTAGGTGAAAATTGTTAGATTGGTGTAGAAAGCTCATGATTTGAAATAACTAAAGTATAAGAACTATTAAAATTAAGTCAAAAGACGTTTTCCTCATGCTTTGTAAAAAGTGGTCCATTTTTCTTATGCTAGTACATTTCTCTCTAAATATATTTTTTGTTTGTATCGGCATTGCATTGAGTTGTTAAAATGAGAATTGAAATAACTGTATCTAAAAACAGGTTCAAAAGGTACTGGTTTTGTTCAAAACATGAGTTTCTAGAGTTATACAATTGGTTGCAAAACTTATTTTTTGCAACCAATTGTATACCTACCTGTGTTTTATTTGATCTGAGACTTTTAGCAGCTAAAATTTTTAGATCTAATTAGCAAGGAGTTATAATGGATTAATGTCAAATAACAGCTTGATAACCTGAAGTCACCGTATTGTGTATTTGTAAAAGTTTTAAGAGATAACAGGTTTTCCTGCAGAAATGTCAGACTAGCTTCAGAATTTTCTTCTCCTTCCGCCCTTTCTCAGCCTTCTGAACTTAGGAAATTAATATCTAAAGTGTTACAAAAGGTTTTGAATGTAATGTTGGGTAGTGTTCCATGCATATTTTATTAAACCATCTATGGTTTAAGAAGGCGGAAGTTTCTATTTTCCAAGATCCAAGTAGGTGTCTGGATGCTGTTGATTCTTCCTCAACCATGAGAGGAGAGTCTGATAATGGGAGTGCTTCGGCAGTTACTCATCCACCTCTTTCAACAGACTAAGAGATTCCTGAATTTTCTCATTGTAACACAAAATCATCACAGTGATGACAATTGAGGCAGTTGCTGATTGTGGAAAAATCTAGACTGTGGAATTCGTCCAGAAATGGCATGAAAGTGTTGTTTTTGCTCGGAAACTAGTTGGTCTCTGTTGACAAATATCTCTGAACCAGGACTGGAACTGGAATATTACTAAAAATGTGTCAACTCTATATATGTAAACTCTGTATTATGTAATTAAAATTTCTGTAGAGAAGGTTAGAAATCATTTGTTAAAGCATAAACTATTAACTCAAAAGTATGTGTAAGGCTTATCTTCCTACTCCTAGATCTCCAGAAATTTGACCATGGATTACTTCTGATGGTTTGAGTTTTTCTCAAAGTGTCATTAAGGCATTGCTGGGAAGATTTGTGAGAACAGATGTTATTTATTACTGGCCATTCTACGTTTTGATCTTTCATTTTAAACAAAAAAGGGGGAGATGTTGGTGCCCAACCATATCATGAAGATGAGTCCTTGGATGCTGCTCTGCAAGCAGGAAGCAGGGCCTGGACCCCACATTGAACTAGGTGGGCAAGCCTAAGTTTGAAAATTTGATTGATATGGAAAAGGCAAAACTGACCTTCTGTAGCCAGCAAAATCCTGCAGCACAAAGCAGCAGCTTCCCCTTCTCACATACCTCATGTCTAATTAGGCTTTGGATGTAAAATTCTTTCCCATTTATCACAGACCTTAGGTGTGAGGAGATCATGAACTATGTTTCCATTTACATAAATGACTATGTTTCCATTTTTATAGCTTTCTGTTTGTTTGTTAAGCAACTGTTAATTTACATATTCTTCCTACATGGCTGAATTTTACTGGATGTGATAATAAGTCAGCAAATAAAAGGAGGCTGAAAAGGTTGCTCCTGGTCACAAGACTTGAGTGAGTCTGTGATTCTCTGTGAATCATTAATTTCTTCCGCGTGCCTATCTCAGTGCCTTAGAACACCTAACCGAACGAACGTTTGAACAACAGAGAAGAGACATAAAAGACACCAAAAAGAGTGATCCCTGAATGCAGTCAGGTGTAAGCCCTGAGTACCACTAAATGTGGCTCCAAAATAAAAGAAAGCAAAAATCTGTGATACAACACAACTTACCTTGTATGGTTTTTGTTCTGGGTTTCTTTTTCTTGGGTCGACTGAGTGGAATATCACCTATAAACAAAAAAATAAAAGAGAAAAGGCTGCCTGAAACTGCAGAAAAGACCCTAGAGTGAACTTCGAGTATGGAAAGTCTTTACCTCTCTTCCCTGGTTTTATTTGTTTTTGGCTTTGTTTTTCACACATTAGGGGAAAGGCAAGAAATCAACAGTCAAAGAGAGGCCACAGTTTGGTACTAGCACCTTGCTGCTAATGACATACTACACACAGTGACAGAAACTGGAGTTACCAAACATTCATCTGACCCCCTATGTTTCCCACCCATCTTTGCACTCAGTTATGGGCTAAGACAGTGAGCAAAAGAGATGTGTCATATTAAGAGCCAGAATTCTGAAAAAGTTTGAGTATTTTTACAGTTTACAACCTATTATTTGACTGTAACTTTGATCCTGTTCTCTACAAAGCAGTGATTTAGGATTGCTGAGACTGTCCTTTCCCTAATCTGTGATGGATAGCATGCATGAGATTCTTAAACCCTTGTCCAGTAAAAAGTAAGCCCTTGCTGGGGCAATGAATGAGGCAAGAAAAGACCATAGGATAGAAATAATTTCAATCACCACATCATAAATGAAGAAGCAGTGAAAGAAGCAGTCGACTGTTACCAAAGTTGACTGTATTAATAAGAAATATTGGGATATGATATAAAATAATTGAAATTTTGGGGTGAATATAGTATAACTCAACCTACAGTGACTAAACAAATGTAGTCCAATTAAAGAACTATAAACCAACCAACATTTATGTTCTGGGTAACTGTATTCAAGGATAAGTACTTTTATATTTGTAAGATAAAATATCAAGCATATAACTATTAATTATTTATAAACCATAAAGTGGAAGTCATAGGGAGATTATCATGATAAAAGGACATGGTAGTATTATAAATTACACAAGTCAACAGATTTTAAGAGAAATATAAAAGAATCACTTTGGACACAAAATATTACATTTAGAACTATACATTATAAAAATACAGATTTTAATAGTGAACTGACTCACCTTGAACAGCACTTTAATGGCACCAATCAAATTAAATCATGATAAAGACAAAAAAAATGAAATTCTGTTAATTAGAAATCTATTATATTGTCACCTTAGAAGTGCCTGAAACTATTATAAATCTGAAATCAAATTAGTTTCACACAATCAGATAACTGATAGCCATTAATTATCAAGAATAAGATATCAAACAGACTGCTAAAACAATAACCTCAATATTTTATTTTTCTTTTTTTGTTTCTGTATTTGTTTTGGGGCAACACCCTGCAGTACTCAGGGGTTACTCCTGGTTTTGCATTTAGGAGTAACTCCTGGCGCTCTCAGGGGGCTATGGATGCTAGATGATGCTAGAGAACAAACCTAGGTCAGCCACTGCAATGTAAATGCCCTACCATTTGTACTATCACCCTAAGGTCAATATTTTCTGAACCAACATATATATACTCCCTACTATCTGTTAGTAAAGTGGATTAAACAGATTAAAAAACCTTCTTTTGTCACTGATTAAATCTGCTTAAACTGGAGAAACTATTCTGGTAAACAAAAGAGGATCAGGATTCTGACAAATGACACTAACATCCCATATGGATCTTAACATGTTTACATTCAGGCTTTGAAATAAGACTAGTTTAATAACTCATGAGTTTCATAAGCATTTTTGTCATCTTTAAAATTTTAGAAAACTTTTAGCTGACATGTTTAAGAAGTTTAGTCTGAATTATAATTTTGCTATGGTCCGGATCAGATTTTCACCTTATTTTGTATTTTTGAAACTCACTAATAAATTATTATAAATTATGTTTACCTTGGCACAGGAGGAAGGGTTCGTGGAGGGCGCTATAAGGAAAAGAAAAAAGATGCTTGTAAATAAAAGCCATAGAGAACCTTACTTCGGATACCTCAAATCTTTGGCTAATTACTATTCCATTGAGTGAATGAAACCTTAGAGGAACCGACTAACCTCAGCTGGGCAATTTCTAAGTTCCATATCAAATTCTTTCCGACAATCTTTTCTATCTACAAGTAAAGCCTTCTAAGCACTAGAAATGCATTGAGAAAAACAGAGGGATCCCACTATTATGAATTTACATTCTAGCAGATAAGTATTAGAGAAGAACATATATCATACGATAGTAAGGAAGAGTTTTATCTAAGATATTTGAGATGAAAAATGAATAAGAAAAGAGCCAAAGGAGAGCAAATACTATGGTTTTTATGAAGACTGAGCTTAAAGTCTTCCAGACTTTGCGGGTGGAGGGAAGGAAGGCTGCGGGGATCAGGTTAGGTCAGAAGTTTGGATTTTGTTTTAGTTTAATGGAAAACCAATGAAGTTTTAAATTAAACCATGATAAACTTTTTAAAAAGATCACTCTGAAGACTGTATTTAAAAACAATTACCAACATGACTTTTCAATAAGAGAAGACGTTTACAGATCAAAGCTAACACAGTTAAGAAGCATTCTGGAAGCTGAGAATATGACAAAGCAGGGTACAAGCTTTATTTATTTACACGTGAGGGGCTCCGGTTCCATGTCTGCCACCAAGCGCTCCACCCACCCCAGTAGTACTGGGTGTGGCCCTTGGAGTGTGGTCCTGGTGATGCTCACATCCCCAACCAACAACCAAAAACTCACTTTGGAATCTTTCAGAATAAAATACGTAAACGCCTAAAAACAAGTTTAATACCGCAACCGTTTCTTGCAGCCTACAATGTCATTCAAAAGCGTTAACTGTGAGACAGAAGAGTACCATGTTGTATAACTGTAGAGAACTTCGCAATTTATTTGATTCAGTGCTCTAAGACAGAGTAAGCTGTTTTAACACCAACAGCAACAAAGGCACAACTGTAAAAGGTCAGTCACAAGAAAGCGCTATTGTTTCAAAGATACCAAAGACTGCTTTCGGTCCACAGACTCGGTCCTGGCATTAAGGCCACGTTTCAAAAAACCCGCAAAAACAATGTCAGTCATCCATTTATAAACCCAACCCCCAAACCCCTCAAAAGTACAACTGCTTAGCTGAACACCAGATCCTAAGACTCGCTTACCACCTGCTTCTTTCCCATTCTGTCCAAAACCCGGGACTCGAGCAGATGCTGCCCGACTCCGGACACTCACAGACCACACCCTCACCCACCATACACACTAACATGCGCCCGTCCTCTGCTCCTCAGCACTCACACCAGGTGCCCTAGGAACCCCCGCCCCCCACCCCGCCTCAACGCCCCGCCCCTTCTATCACTCACAGCCCTCCCCACACCTCACGCCCCGCCCCTACATCCTCTCACACCCTGCCCCACTCCACCCCCTCACACAGTCCCTCCGTCCCCTCACACTCTCTCCATCCTCCTCACTCACACCCTCCATCCTCTCACACCCAGCCCCTCCATCCCCCTCACACACTCCATCCTCCTCAGAAGCCCATACACACACACACACACACACACACACACACACACACACCTCTCCTCCATCCACCTCACACCCCGTCCCCTCACGTCCCGCCTCCTCACACCCCGCCCCTCCGTCCCCCTCACTTCAAGCCCCACACGTCACATCCCGCCCCTCACACCGTGCCCCGCCTTCCTCACAGCCCACCCTTCACGTTCCAATCTTCAAGTCCCACCTTCCACCCCGCCCCTCCATCCTCACACCCCGCCCCTCAACCGCCCTCACACCCCACCCCTCCACCCCCTCACACATCCACTCCATCCTCGCTGACACCCACACTCCACACACCCACGCCCCGCCTCTCTATCCTCCTCACACCCCGCCCTCCCGCTCGCTCTGCTCCTCCCCCCCTCCCGCCACACACACACACACACACACACACACACACACACACACACATCCCAGGATGACCGCGCGCAGGCGCAGTTCGTCGTGGGTCGCGCCGAGCAGGCCGCGCGGCACCCGTTGCCCTGGTGGGACCGTGGGGGGCGGGGGGGGTCCTGGGGGGCTGGTCTGACTGTCCCACGGTGTATACTGCTTAAAAGAGGGCGTCGGAGCCAGCGTGACAGGCTCGAGAAGGACCCCGGCGGGCTCGGGCGGCGGTCGGAGTTGCCTAGGTTTCCCAGGCGGCTGCAGTGATTGGCTTGTGGCACGGGGAAGACCCCGAGTAGAATCCCCAGGCCTGCAGACGCGAGCTCGCTCCCGGGCAGCTTAAACGCCCGGCCGGAGGGGCTGGAGGGTGGAGACAAACGGGCTGCACCGCAGCCTGCAGCCGTCGGAGTTGCGAGGAAAGAGCCGTCGGCATGACAACAAGGGCACCGGGTCCGGGAAAACTTCCCGCGGGGCCCGGGCCTACCCGGGGGCACCGGCTGGGCCTCGAGACCTGCCTCTCCTCGGGGAGCCCGGAGCTCCCCCTTCTTCCCGCCACCGCCCGCCTAGATCCCTCCCCGGGTGCGACGTTCTGGCGAACCGCCCCGCCCTCCCCCCCGCTCCTCGCGGCCGACTCCCCTCGCCGCTCACCGGGGCATCCAGCCGCAGTCCCGAGTCGGCCCTCATGGCGCGCTCGCCGCCGCGCTCCAACTGCCGCCCGCCCGAGCCTCTCGGAGAAGCGGCGGCGCCGGCACCTGCGGGAGGCGGGGGCTGCGCGGCGCCCGACTAGGCCGCCCCCCCCCCACCCCCGCCCCGGGGCCCGTCTCCGCCCGCCTTCGCGCCGCCCAGCCTGGCGTTCCTCGGGATCCGAGTTGGCGGTCCCAAGCGTGTATCCCTGGGCCCAGCGTTTTTCGAGTCGAACGATTGAAGCGGTGCTAGGACAATTGGCCCGCCTCTGTGTGAGAGCGAGTAGCGCGCGGAGGCTGAAACCGCGGGCAACGCTCAGACTCTGTGCGGGCTGCTCCATCCACAGGATGGGAAACCTGTTTTTCAAAGGAGCACATCCTAAAAATCAAATCCAGGCTCACAGAAATAGCATTTTTTTTGTTGTTTTTTGGGGTCACACCCAGCGATGCTCAGGGGTTATTTCTGGCTCTGCACTCAGGAATTACTCCTGGCGGTGCTTGGGGGACCGTATGGGATGCTGGGGATGGAACCGAGGTAGGCCGCTGTGCAGGCAAACGCCCTACCCACTGTGCTATGGCTCCGGCCCCCAGAAATAGCATTTTTTTAAAAAATAAGAAATAAGTTTGTTTTGATTGGCTAGGTTTTATGTTTGGAAGAACAGTATTCTATGTTTAAAAGAACTACAAATCTTTCAAAGCATGTACTCCAGGTTTACAGTTAGGAAAGATATTGGAGGGGTGGTGTGAACTTGAGAACGATGCACGAGATAAACAGATGCAGGGCCCAGGGAGATAGTACCGCGGGTAAAACCCAGTCTTACGAGCAGCCTACCCAGGTTTGATCCCTTGAGCATCCACATGGATGGACCAAAACCCAAAAATTAAAAAACAGATGTAAGGAAAGGAAGGGCCTAGAAACCCATAGAGTTGCAGAAGTAAAGACGTTGCAATAACATTAAGGTCTTGTGATTTTTTCTCAGATCCTGGTACAGGACCAAAGTTCATAGCCTTTGCCTAATTTAAATACACCTGAGTTTTGATTATGATCTTTTTGGGAAATGATTGACAGTACTACTGGGAGTGAATGGTGTACCTGCCCCCCAACAAAGACAAAAATAGCTCTGATCAGAAGAATGATTGTTTCCTTGTATCCTGATATATAAATAACAGGTTGGATGATGGATTTGAAAGCATAGTAACTACACAATGGAGTACTATGCAGCTGTTAGAAAAGATGAAGTCATGAAATTTGAAAATGGATTAACATGTAGAGTATCATAATAAGTGAAACGAGTCAGAAAGAGAGGGACAGGCACAGGAAGATTGCACTCATTTGCGGAATATAAAGTAACAAAATGGGAAACTAACACCCAAAGATAGTAGAGGCAAGGAACAAGAGGATTGCTCTTCTGCTTGAAAGCTGGCCTTACATGCTGGGGGGAAAAGTTCAGATAGAGAAGGGACCACCAAGTAAAGGATGTTTGGAGGACCCACTGGGGATGGGAGATGTGTACTGAAAGTAGACTATAGACCAAACATGATGGTCACTTAACACCTACGTTGCAGACCACAACATCCTGAAGGAGAGAGAGTGAAAAGGGAATCCACCTGATGGGGGGGGGGGGGGGAGAGGGGGGAAGGGGGGTAGTGGGGGGGATGTGGTAGAGGGATGGATACTCAAGGACTGAAACCTAACCATGAAAGTTTGTAAGTCTGTAACTGTATCTCATAATGCACTGTAGCACTGTCCTTCCTTTGTTCATCAATTTGCTTGAGTGGGCCAAGAACTTCTCCATTGTGAGACTTGTTGTTACTGTGTTTGTCATGTCCAATACGTCACAGGTAGCTTGCCAGGCTTTGCCATGAGGGCGAGATACTCTCAGTAGCTTGCCGGGCTCTCCAAGAGGGGCAGAGGACTCGAACCTGGCTTGGCCCCATGCAAGGCAAATGCCTTACCGCTGTGTTATCGCTCCAGACCCATCTCATGGTGATTCATTAAAAAAAAAAAAGTATAGTAACTATAGAAGTATAGTAACTTTCACATGAGTTTGAGTTAGTCAAGACACTTCTTGGTAGCACTGTAGCACTGTAGCACAGTCCTCCCATTGTTCATCGATTTGCTCAAATGGGCACCAGTAACGTCTCCACTGCAAGACTTGTTACTGTTTTTGGCATATGGAATATGCCATGGGGAGCTTGCCAGGCTATGCCATGCGGGCGGGATACTCTCGGTAGCTTGCCAGGCTCTCCGAGAGGGGCAGAGGAATCGAACCTGGGTCGGCCGCATGCAAGGCAAATGCCCTACCCGCTGTGCTATCAATCCAGCCCTTCTTGATAAGAGACATTTTTTTAAAGAATTCTCAAAAAGAGCCAATTTTATATAGACAAGTTTCATAAAATACAGTTTCTGAAGTTAACTATTGCTTCTTTTATTTAGGAAAGCTCTTTTTATGTGAACAAAGACCATATAAAGCCAATGAAAGGTTCTTATTCTTAGCAACTTGACATTGTTTATGTTGCTACCACTGCTACATAAAAAACTTTTTTCCCCTAAAAACCAAATAAGTAACTCTCTAAACACACACACACACACACACCACAAAATACTGTTTAAAAACAAGGTCAACAAGCCACAGCACTGTTAAGAGTTGCACACATTAGGTAAATACTGCTATTTCAGAACCCAGCTGATATTCCAGAGTTGTGTAACAGAATACTGTTAAAAGTTTCAGCATTAGATCCAGGATAGAAATAAGACAATGCACTGAGCACATGCTTTGCATGCTGGGTATCCATGATTAGTGCCCCACAGCACACACATGATAGTACTGCTAGGGGTGACCCCAGAGCAGTGATGGGTGTACCTGTCACCCAATAAAGACAAAAAACCCAAACCTATACAAATTCTAAGCAGTAAGCATGTGGCCACCTTAAGAATCTGCTGGTTTTTTGTTTCCAGATTCTGGCTATTGTGAACAGTACTGCAATGCACATCCAAGTGCAGATGTCTTTTCTTCTGTGTGCTTTTGCAACCCAGGGATATATTCCCAGAAGTAATATTGCTGAGTTATATGGAAGCTCATTTTCTAGTTTTTTAAGGAAAGCCCATATTGTTTTCCAAAAAGGCTAAACCAGTTGGTATTCACACCAACAATGAAGGAGAGTCCCTTTCTCCCAATATCTATGCCAGCACTGGTTGGTCTTATTCTTTTTGATGTGTATCAGTCTCTGTGGTGTAAGGTGATATCTCATTGTTGTTTTGATTTGCATCTCCCTGATGTTTAGTGATGTAGAGCACTTTTTGCATGTGCCTTTTGGCCATTAGAACTTCTTCTTCTTCTTTTTTTTTTTTTTTTTTTGGCTTTCTGGGTCACACCTGGCTCTGCACTCAGTAATCACTCCTGCTGGTGTTCATGGGACCATATAGGATGCTGGGAATTGAACCCGGGTTGCCATACTGGCTGTGCAGTCATTCCAGTCCCTAGAATTTCTTCTTTGAGGAAGTTTCTGTTCATTTCTTATCTCCATTTTTTTATGGATTTGGAAGGTTTTCCCTATAAAACTCTACCAGTGCCTTACGTATCCGCTTATCAGATGGGTATTGGGTAAATATTTTTTTTTTGTTCTGTGGGCTGTCTCTGTATCTTGGTCACTGTTTCTTTTGAGATGCAAAAGCTTCTTAGCTTAATGTAGTGTATTTGTTTATCTTTACTTCCACTTGTTTGGTCAGTAGTCTTTCATCTTTAAAGGTGCCTTTACTCCTGTTCCTGGCAAGCAGGCTTGAATGGTGGTGGGAAAATTCAAAATAATGGTGGTGGGAAGGTGTAATAGGGATGGGATTGGTGTTGAAATATTGAATGTAGTCAATTAATATGAACAGCCTTATGAAAATAAAATTTTTTAAAAAAATTTTAAAAAAAATTTAGGACCCTCCTTCACTGCTGGTGGGAATGCCGGCTGGTCCAACCCTTTTGGAAAACAGTATGGACGATTCTCAAAAAATTAGAATTTGATCTCCCATTTGACCCAGCAATACCACTCCTGGGAATATATCCCAGAGAGGCAAAAAGGTATAGTCGAAGTGACATCTGCAATTGTTTGTTCATTGCAGCACTCTTTACAATAGCCAGAATCTGGGAAAAAACCTGAGTGCCTGAGAACAGATGACTGGTTAAAGAAACTTTGGTACATTTACACAATGGAGTACTATGTAGCTGTTAGAAAAGATGAAGTTATGAAATTTACATACAAGTGGTACTACATGGAAAGTATCATGTTAAGCAAAATGAGTCAGAAAGAGCGGGATAGACACAGAAAGATTGCATTCATCTGGGGAACATAAAGCAACAAAATGGGAGACTAACACCCAGGAATGGCTGAGATTAGTACCAGGAATTTTGCTCCATGACTTGGAGGCCAGCCACACGTGCTAGGGGAAAAGGAAGCTCAGATAGAGAAGAGAGCTCCAAATAAAGGGTGTTGGGAGGATCCTCCAGGGTGGGAGAAGCATGCTGAAAGTATTCTATAGACCAAACATGATTGCCACTCAAGGCCTCTCTTGCAAAACACAGTATCCAAAAGAAGAAAGAGAGAACAAGGGGGAATGCCCTGCCACAGAGGCAGGGTGGGGCAGGGGGGATGGGGAGTGGGAGGGATGCTGGAACCCGTGGTGGTGGAGGATGGGCACTGGTGGAGGGTTGGGTACTTGATCACTGTATAACTGAAACCCAAGCACAAAAATTTATAAGTCTATAACTGTACCTCATTATATTAACATTTTAAAAAATAGCAAAAAAAAGTATGACTTTAGCTTAAATGTCATGGAGGGTTCTGCCTACATTTTCCTCCATGTACCTTATGGATACAGGTCTGATATTGAGGTCTTTAATCTGAGAACAAATGACAAGTTAAAGAAATTATGGTACATCTATGGAATAGTACACATCTGTTAGAAAAAAATGAAGTCATAAAATTTGCTTATAAATGGATGGACATGTGAAATAAGTCAGAAGGAGAGGAGTAGACATACAATGACTGCACTCATTTGTAGGATACAAAAAACATAATATGAGACTAACAACCAAGGATAGTAAAAACAAGGACCAGGAGGATTGGTGATTGGTCCACAGTTGGAAGACTGCCTGAAGGGCTGGAGGAGAGGACAGCTGGGATAGAGAAAGGACCATTATAACAATGATGATGATTGGAAGGGATCTTTCTGGGAGGGAGATGTGTGCTATAAGTGGGTCAAGGACCAAACATGATAACCTCTCAGTATCTGTATTGCAAACCAAAAGGAGAGAGAAAGAGAGAGAGAGAGAGAGAGAAAGAGAGAGAGAGAGAGAAGAAAAGTGTCTGAGTGTCTGCCATATGGGCAGGCTGGGGTAGGGGTGGTGGGGGTGGCAGGAGGGATGCAGAGGATATTGGTGAGGGAAATGTACACTGGTGGAAGAATGGGTGTTGGAACATTGTATGACTAAAACTTGATCATGAAAGATTTATAACTGTATCTCACAGTGATTCAATTAAAAACAAATAAATAATAATTATATCATTACAAGAAAGAAAGAAAGAAAGAAAGAAAGAAAGAAAGAAAAAGAAAGAAAGAAAGAACCTACTCTTTTGTTTGTATATTGTTTTGGTTTGTTTGATCACAACTGTTGTTCTCCAGACTATGTTTTACTCGGGTCTTACTCTTTACTGTTCCCTCAGGGATCATCCCTGGAGCTGGTAGGGTGAGGAGGGCAGGTTTAACAATATGGGGTACCAGGGATGGAACCAGGGGAGACCACTAAGAGCTCTACCCACTGCACTATTTCTCCATTCTTTAAACATTGGACAGTAGACCACTTGAAGCCTCAGTTTCAGAGGAAATCCAAGCTGCCGGTACCCACTGAGGCTCCTCCTGAGCCTCTTGAACTGCGGAAAACAATTTTGCACAGGCATCTTGTAAGTTGTCATTCACAATCACATGGTCAAAGAACTGCCCAAACTCAGCCTCCATTTTTTGAGCCAAGTCCTCCATCTCTTGCAGATCTTCATCCTACAGGATTAAATGCAAAAATGTTCAACACACAAACTCAATGTTTGAAACAGATAAGAACACAGTTTAGTCACAGAGTTTTTTTTTTAAGGTAATTTTTATTGAATGAAACTTAGAAAGATGTGAGGGGAGAGAAAGAATAGAGATACACATTCAAGAAAGAACACGAGCTTGAAAGATCAAATAAGAAAGCAAAGAAAGATGAGTAAGAAAGACATATGTTCAAGGGAGACTGCTGGCTTGAAGAGCAAGAAGCTATTTTTTCAAAATTAGTTCATCTTGGGGCAGTGGTGGAGGGTTATTGATACTGGTGATAATATAATAGCATTGCAATTATAAAGCAGTTACCTGAAAATTTAAGCCACATTACCACAATAAAAAAAACTGCAAATGTTTAAGATGTCCCATATTGTAAATCTTTTCAAATATCATGTTTCTATATTTAATTTTACTGTCTTCCAGGTTGAGCCGGAGTGACAGTATAGCGGGTAGGGTGTTTGCGTTGCATGCAGCCGACCTGGGTTCGATTCCTCCACCCCTCTCAGAGAGCCCAGCAAGCTACCGAGAGTATTCCACCCACATGGCAAAGCCTGGCAAGCTACTCCTGATGTATTCGATATGCCAAAAACAGTAACAAGTCTCGCAATGGAGACGTTACTGATGCCCACTCGAGCAAATCGATGAACAATGGGAAGACAGTGCTACAGTGCTACAGTCTTTCCAGGTCAAAATTTAGCAAATTTGAGTAACAGCTCATAAGCTCTGCCCTAATATGCTATTTAGACTGAAATCATCTTGCTATCTAAACACTTGAAGCTCTCATACCACATTCAGTATTAAGCTAGTTATAATTTTCCAGATAAACATAAACAAATATGACTTTTAAATGAATCTATTTTGGGTCCCCTGAGCACCGCCAGGAGTAACTCCTGAGTACAGAGCCAGGAGTAACCCCTGTGCATCGCCGGGTGTGACCCAAAAAGAAAGAAAGAAAATAAATAAATAAATAAATAAATAAACCTATTTTGTTTGGTCTTGAGGGCTACTCCTGGCAGTGCTCAAGGGACCTTGCAGTGCTAGAGATTGAACCAGGACTTGTCATAAATGCCTTAAATTCTGTACTCTCTCCAGCTCCTAAAATAAACCATAATCTAATAGGAACAACACAAAATAATTTTACAGATATAAGATGATCACTTTATAATTCATTTCATGTTGATTCAGAATCACCTAACTCACTCATAATATTTAACTATACTCAAACTCTCTAGTATTATGAAATGCTCATACAGTGAAAGTCATTTAGCCCTCACTTTATAGTAACACATTAAATTATTGCTGATATTTTTCTCTTTGTTCAGAGAAAAACAGTACAACTTGTTGCATATGTTCTCATAAACAAATAGAAATGAGACCTCGTAGAAGACCAGAGAGATAGTACAGATAGTACAGGAGGTAAGGCACACAGCCCACTCAGGTTCAATCCCCAGAGCCCCATATGATCCCCCAGCATTGCTAAGAGTAACCCTTGAGTGTAGAGCCAGGAGTAACCCCTGAGCACAACTGGCTGTGGTCTCCCTACTCCCACCAAAAAAAAATATCCTGTGGCAGAGCTCATTTACAATGTGACTAAATTTTGTTAATTTGTTTATATTCCCATAACATTAAGAACATAATTTTGAGTGACCATAAGGCTCATAGAATATATCCAAAGACTCTATTTCTCAAAGCAAACTGGAAAATCAAGTTTTTCTGTAGTGATCACTAAAAAAAAAAAAAAGAGCTTGTTGGTAAAAAAATAATAATAACTAGAGATAAAGGATGATATAAATATATCTAATAAAATTTTGGATAATAGATAATATGAATAAATAAATAAATAAATAAATATATCTCCTTCTGGTTTTGGCAGCACATTAAAAATTGGAACAATACAGAATTAGCATGGTTCCTGATAAAGGATGACACAGAAATTTATAGAGCAATCTGAATGAAATCAGTTTGCAAGATTTTCATTATTCTATATAAATTTTCAAAGTTCTATATATGTTTTCTACATATAGAATTCTATGTATGTTTTCTAAATATATCACTGTATCACTGTCATCCCATTATTCACCGATTTGCTCGAGTGGGCACCATAACATCTGCATTCGTCCTAGCCCTGAGATTTTAGCAGCTTCTCCTTACTCGCTCTTCCCAAAAGTACCACATTGGAGGCTCTTCAGGGTCAGGGGAATGAGACACATTATTGTTACTGTGTTTGGCATATCGAATTCACCACAGGAGCTTACCAGTCTCTGCAGGGTGGGCAGGATATTCTCGGCAGATTGCCGGTTTCTCTGAGAAGGAGAACTAAATTATAAGAGCTCGCACACCCACATATGCAGCCACTCACTTCCAGGAGCTTTGTTTTATAGTCTCTGGCTCTTGGTCATTAATAGGATTTCATGGCGCCGGGGGCAGTTTGTGGGTGTAACTGCCTAGCTACTGGAAAATGGGGGATCTGGGTGGGTGGAGGAGGCTCAGTCCCGATCTGAGCAGGCTTGGAGATCTCAGCCCCAGGACCCACGCACAGGGGTTCCTCTGCCGGTTCCTTCATGTGTGAGGCTCATCCAAGTGTGTGGAGAGTGGCCTTGAGCGTGGCTGTGGCTGGGTACCGGAGGTCTGAGGCTGCCAGGGCTCTGGTCGGGGCAGGGAGGGAAGCCCTCCGAGGGGCCCCGGTGAAGACAGCCTGGCACTGTCTGTATATTTATATATTCTGCATATTTCCAAAGTTCTCTATATATTTCACAATAGAATATACCTACCACTAAACTGTACAGATAAAAAGTGGTGAAGATGTTCAATTTGGGGGCTGAAGTGATAGCACAGCAGGTAGGGCATTTGCCTTGCAAGCAGCCGACCCAGGTTCGATTCCCAGCATCCCATATGGTCCCCTGAGCACCGCCAGGGGTAATTCCTGAGTGCAGAGCCAGGAATAATCCCTGTGCACCGCCGGGTGTGACCCAAAAAGCAATAAATAAATAAAATAAATAAGAGACACTGCAAAACTTAAAAAAAAAAAAACGATGTTCAATTTGGGTATCACTCACACTCAGCTCAATGTGCAGGTTGAGTTGACCCCCTCTCCCACTTGCCCATGGAAACCCAAAATCCAAATTGCAATTAAAAAAAAACCTCGTGTCTTTAGGTTCAATCATGAAAAAAAAATGTTCAGTTTTATGTTTTATGTGTTTTATACCACATATGTTTTTCAAAAGTGATTTTAATATTTTGATATAGGTGATGGTTATCTCGATCTCATACATGTAAAAATACATACATTCCCCTTACTAAAGGTATGCTGTGCTTAAAATAATTTTTTTCTTTTTTTTCTTTTTTTTTTGCTTTTTGAGTCACACCTGGTAATACACAGGGGTTACTCCTGGCTCTCCGCTCAGGAATTACCCCTGGCGGTGCTCAGGGGACCATATGGGATGCTGGGAATCGAACCCAGCTCGGCCGCGTGCAAGGCAAACGCCCTACCTGTTGTGCTATTGCTCCAGTCCTGCTTGAAATAATTTTAACGACAATAAAACTGGGGACAGGGAGAATTTACAAATTAATCCTGCCTGGCTGACTCCTCTATTATATTATCAACATCATTACTATTTTTGTGTTCATATTTTTCATATATTACATACAGATACCTCAGTATGGATGACATTTGTTCAACAGATCGTTTTTTTGATTTGCTTCTGTTTTGGGGGCCACACCCAGTGATGCTCAGGGGTTACTCCTGGATCTTCACTTAGGGATCAATCCTGGTAGTGCTTGGGGTTCATATGGGATGCTGGGGATTTAACCTATGTCAGCTGCATGCAACACAAGTGTCCTACCCTCTTTACCATCCCTCCAGCTCCAACAGATCACTTTTTGTTTTTGTTTTTTTTAACAGATCACTTTTTTATATATAATTTTACTTATTGAATCACCATGAAAGCAGTTACAGAACTTTCAGGTCTAAGTCTCAGTCATACAATGAAACACCAAGTACCTTCTCCAGTGCCCATTCTCCACCACCAAAACCCCCAGTATACCCTCATCCCACACCCTCCCCCTAACTGTGGGGCAGATGTTTTCCACATTATTCTCTCTCTACTTTGATCACATTCAGTATTTTGACACCAGACCCACCATTATTATTTGAGATTTTACCCCAACACTCAGATCTGCTAAAAAGGCAACAGTAGACAACTTGTGTTCTATTGCTGGTTATGAATAACATATGATGTCATGTGGCTGCAGTAGGGCCATGTGATTTTGAAATTCCAAAATTTTAACACTTAAATCTGGAGGGATTTCTGCCAAAAGCCACTTGGTTTCGAGATTTGCTCCTGAGTCTCTGGGATCAAGGCCACTGAGCAGCTTGATCTGGAGCCAGAAAGGCCGCTCATGGGTGATGACTTGGGGTCTCGTTGGGACGGGGAGACCAGGACCGGCTCTCCCATCCTGTGAGGCCCAACAAGTGTCGTCACTGCGGGCCTAGACCTGACTGTCCAATGGCCTCTGGAGGATGATGGCCACCGAGCCGCCAAGGGGGAGCAGGCGGAGGGACAACACCCTTTCCTCCCTGGGGTGGCCCGGCGACAGTAACCTACTGCGGGGTCCGGATGCATTTCTGCCAAAAGCCGCTGGGTTTCGAGATTTGTTTCTGAGTCTCTGGGATCAAGGCCATTAAGCAGCTTGATCAGGAGCCAGAGAGGTCGTTCGTGGGCGATGACTTGGGGTCTCGTTGGGGTGGGGAGGACAGGCCCGGCTCCCCCCACCCCCAATCCCATGAGGCCCAACAAGTTTCGTCACTGCGGGCCCAAGCCTGACTGTCCAATGACCTCTGGAGGATGACGGCCACCCAACCGCCAAGGTGGAGTGACAACACCATTTCCAACTTGGGGTGGCCCAGAGACAGTAACGTAGTGTGGGGTCCGGATGCATTTCTGCAAAATCCACTAGTTTTTGAGATTTGTTTCTGAGTCTCTGGGATCATGGCTGTTAAGCAGCTTGATCAGGAGCCAGAGAGGCCGTTCGTGGGTGACGACTTGGGGTCTCGTTGGGGAGGAAAGGGACAGCTCCACCCCCATCCCATGAGGCCCTGCGTGTCTCGTCACTGTGAGCCCAAACCTGACTGTCCAGTGACCTCTGGAGGATGGCGGCCAGTGGGCTGCCAGGGGGAACGGGCCAAGGCACAAAATCTATTCCCACCTGGGGTGGCCCAGCGCCTGTAACTTACTTCAGGGACTGGACGCATTTCTGCCAAAAGCCGTTGGGTTTCAAGATTTGTTTCTGAGTCTCTGGGATCATGGCCGTTAAGCAGTTCAATCAGGAACCAGAGAGGCCATGCCTCCAATTATATAGCTGAACTGGAGGTGGTTTGTGTGTGTGTCTCCCACATACCTAACTTTTGCCTGTTTACTTTCTTGGTAAACTCTGCCCCACGTTTTTGGGGTCTGGCCCAAGGCACGGCAGCAATTTGGGGATACCTGGAAGTCTGAAGGCACCATCAGGCTGCTGATGCACTCGCCTCACAGGTACAGACTGACCTGCTGGCGGCACTATACCCCCAACAGATCACTTTTAAAGTAAATTTTTTTCATCAAAATTTATTTTTAAGTACAAGAATCAGATTGTACCTCTAGTTTAGCAAACTGTGGCTTGAGGGTTTATTTTTTTAATAATTTATTATTATTTTGCTTTTTGGGTCACACCCGGTGATGTACTGGGGTTACTCCTGGATCATGCACTCAAGAATCACTCCTGACAGTGCTTGGGGGACCATATGGGATGCTGGGAATTGAACCCGGGTCGGCCACATGCAAGACAAACACCCTACCTGCTGTGCTATTGTTCCAGCCTCAAGGGTTTATTTTTTAACTAGATCCCCCCCCCCAATACTTTTGTTATATCTATAGAAAATGACTAATAGAAAAGATAAAAAACATAAGAACTTTTTTTTGGTGGGGAAATCCCATGTAAAGCTAAGGGGACTCAGGGACCACTCCCAGAAATACTTGGCCCGGTGGCTGGTCAGTGGATGTGGTGTGGATGTGGTGTTGCACAGGCCCTGTGATGCAGTAGGCATCCAGGTTTGCATCCAGAGATGCTTGGGTAGTGAGTGGTGCCAGGAATAGAGCTGGGTGGGGTACATGCAAAGCATACACCCTAACTTCCAAGCCCTAGGACATTACTCTTTAGAAATGAAAGCTATATTCCTTAACATGGGAATGTTGTAAAGAAAATAATGATTTTTGACTAGGGAAATAAAAGCCTGATGTGTTCATCTCTTTCCTCTGTATCTTACCTTGAACTTCGTATCTACAAAGTAGTCTGTAATGATCTTGGCATCTTTTCGAGATTGCTTCATATAGCTCATGTTAGATGGCTTTATAAATATGACATAAGGTTTCAGTTCATGAGTTCGAGCCATTTGAATATACTACATGAAAAAGAAATGCATATTTAAAAACAGAAGTCAGAATTTCCTAGAGTCAACATGAATGCTCTCAAATTTTCTACAACCAGGAATTAGCAATTATTGTTAGTTAGAGAATAATTTCATGTGTCCCAAAGCCTTCAACTCAAAATATTTTCATAATTAACAGGGGGGTTATAGAACCAAAATTAAGTTCAAATCATGGCTCTTCCTCTAATGAACCATTATATCCTTATTAAAATTTCAAATAAAGATTTTATACATAATCTCATGAAATGTGAACAAAGATTCTCAAAGTAGCTGTATTCTCTTTTACACTTTCATTTATTATTTACTCTTGCTATTTTCTCACATTATATATTACTAATTGATCACCGGCTTTAACCTAAGAACTAATTTCTTGTCCCCAGATCCTCCGTAGCACATGAAATATTTTTTAATGACTACAAAAAATACAAGCAAAAGACAAGGATCATAAAAATTTGATGTGATATAATTTAATATGCAGTGATTTATGTGGTGATATAATTTAAATGGCAGAGCACTTTCCTAGCATGTGTGAAGCTGTGAGTTCAATTCCTTTGTACCACATGGAACCCACCATACCAGATGTGGTTCTGGTGGCCCTCCAAATACTGCCAAGAAAGGCTCCCATCAGTGTGACCTCTACTTAAAAAATTGATCACTGGGGCTGGAGAGATAGGGTAAAGCAAAGAGCTGAGCAGATGCTTTGCATGTGGGAAGGCTTTAATTCCTGGTACTACATGTTACTTTGTACGTCACCAGGAGTGACCCCTGAGCATAAGGCAAGAAGTTGCCACTATGTGTGGCTCAATTTCTCCCCACCCCCAAAAATGGGGCCTCCACATTGTATTTTCTTTTTATTTTTGGTTTGGGGGCTATACCTGGCAATGTTCAAGGCTTATTCCTGCCTCTGCACTCAGGGATCACTCATAATAGGGCTCAGGGGATCATGTGGAACGCTGGGATCAAACCCAGGCTAGTCATGTACAATGCAAGTACCTTACACAGTGTATTATCTCTCTAGTCAAGTCTGTTTTTAATCTTACCTTAACTTTTTCTTCCCTTATCCACTCTCCCAATGATGTTGGGATGATAATTATATATATGAAAATAAGGCATCACATCTCCTTGGGTAAAGCCATGTTTTAAGCCTTCTACAAGGAATTAATATTGCTACTTTGTGATCAAGGCTGAAAAGCAAGATTCTAACTTTTCTTTCTTTTTTTTCTTTTTGGGTCAAACCCAGCAATGCTCAGAGGTACACCTAACTCTTCACTCAGGAATTACTCCTGGCGGTGTTTGGGGGACCACATGGGATGCCGAAGATTGAATCTGGGTTGGCCATGTGCAAGACAAACGCCCTACTCTCTGTACTATCACTCTGACCCCAAGATTCTAACTTTTCTGCCTACATTTTAACTTTTCCTTATGTTACCTACTCAGTTCTGATTTTGTGTCTGAGGATAAAAGACCCCTTCAAGTGAACTAAAGATAATAATTGTCTATTGATGGTTTAGTTAAGGTCCTATCTCTTAGAAATGGTAAGCAGTCTGATTCTCAAAAACAAGCAGTAAAATGTGCTAGATCCTAGACCATGAACACAAAGTGAACAGTAGCAAGTCACCCCTTTGGGAGATGGAAATATCCCACACTACACACCTGAGGCTCTAAGTCCAAGACACAGATCTTGCCTTCCTCAAGCACTGCTTTCACTGCGTCCACACTGGTCCCATACAGGTGGCCTTTGTACTTGCCGTGCTCCAGCATCCTACAAAGGTAGGCAAAGTACACAAGAACCCTTCTTACAACTGTTATTAGTGGCTACATGGTGATAGACTACACAGGGAAGTGTTTAAATACATAGACTTTGCTAGCATGAAACAATAATTAGTGGATATCCAACGAAGAAAAATGTTTTAGTGCTCTGAAGTTTGCAATTTAATACTGCATCCTCTCCAAAAGAAACCAATGAGTGTTCTAATTTATCAATTTACATTTCCTCATTTAATTAAGTTTTCTACATTAACTAGAGATAATACCCTCAGTAATCCTAGACAATGCATACAAATAGGTGTTGAGTTTTGAGTGCAAAGGAGTTTCTGAACAATTAGCTTACCTGTGACTATACATGAGGTTTTCAAATGTTTCCTTTGACACATAGTGATATTCACGTCCATTAACTTCATAACTCTTTTTGGAACGAGTTGTATCTGTCAAAAATGACATTAAAATTCCTTACTTAAAATTTTTTATTACCATTATACAATTAATCTGTTCCATAAAAAATAAATGAGCACACACACCAAGAAATAAAATGCCAAGGGTAAAAAGAGGGAGGCCGAATTGGTGAAAGAAAGTAGAAGAGTTCTCATATCAAAATCAGTTTATTTATAAACCTGTTAGAGCTGATGTATATCAAGTCAAGAACAAGTTAAGTATTAAACCAGGAGGCCTTAAACCATGAGAACACCTCTTTTAAATAAACTCTGGTGAACTATATTTGAGCTATAACAGACAATGAAGGACCCTGGTGGCAATACTAGCATTTATGTAGTGCATTTCTCAAGATCTTAGCTCATCCCATTCCTAGCAAGGTGAACTTATCTATAGTTTACTGTTAAGCTTTTAGAAAGTTATATAATAGTTATTCTATGAACATAATATTAAATAAAGCAAAGTTGAATTGAATCAGAGATAGATGTTCTGCCTTCTCCTAGATCAATGTTTTCTCCTACACCAGATTGTCTCAGATTTAAAATAATAAAAGCCCCTGACACTTTGTAATCTTTCCCAGAATCATTAATAATCTAAGTGAAATGGTGATTACTTACAGTTCTCCATAAATATTGATGGAATATGGGTTAAACTCAACTCATGATATGATTACTTTGATTACAGATTATTTAATTTACATAGCCCCTGAAATAGAACATAAGAGTTCACTGAACATCTAAGAAAGATCCTTTGTTTACTCATCCACTTATTCACCTGATGTGCACTAGTTTATGCTATTAGGTATCCGAGATAAAAAAAAATAAGACTCTTAAAAGTCAAGTTATATCCAAGAGCACAGATGCAGTTACAACTCTGCAACCTACAAATACTATGAAGTTAGCACTCTAATCTGCATTCCAAAACTTATCTTTGCTCTTTTTTTTTTTCTTTTTTTGGGTCACACCCGGTGATGCACAGGGGTTACTCCTGGCTCTGCACTCAGGAGTAATTCCTGGCAGAGCTCAGGGGACCATATGGGATGCTGGGAAATGAATCCAGGTCAACTGTGTACAAGGCAAACACCCTAGCCACTGTACTATTGCTCCAGCCCCTATTCATTTTTCTAAAGGCGTGTCTTCATAATGTCTCCAAGTTTATAAGTACATGCAGATAATGCAAGAATCTGGGGGTGAGACGATGCACATGGAGCCTTTAGGAGGCTTGATACCGACTATAGGGGGGAATAAGGGAATACTAATGGAAACAGTTTAGACTTTCAGGATAAATGAAGATGAATTTCTCATAAGTCAGAAGTGGACCTCCAAAAAGAACCACCTTGTGCTTCTTATGACAGACTTTGTCTACTAAGGGTACCAAATGAAAATGAAAAGTATATGAGAGTATCTATAATTGCAAACCATAATGCCCATAATTAGAGAGAGAGTAAGAGGGAAATTGTCTGCTATAGAGGCAGGGGGCATTGGGAGATGGGGGAGGAGGAGGGATACTGGGCACATTGGTGGTGGAAATGTACACTGGTGGAGGGATGGGTATTCGATCGTTGTATGACTGAAACTCAATCATAAAAACTCTGTAAGTGTAGCTCACGGTGATTAAAAAAAGAATAAATAAATTTTTGAAAATTTAAAAAATAAATAGGCGTTTCTGCACAGAAGTTCTACTCCTAGAGCCTGGCAGCTTTACCGACTGCGATCCCCAGAACAAGTGATTTCTGTCTGTACCACAGAGTTCCTGCTGCATTCCAGCTAGTTCTACTAACAAAATCACAATCACAAATCACAAATCATCCTGTTATTCGTCGATTGCCTCGAGCAGGCCCCAGTAACATCTCCTTCATCCTAGCCCTGAGATCATATTCAAGGCTCTTTAGGAGAATGAGACCCATCAAAATAAGTGGATGAGTAACAAAAGAAAACAAAAAAAGGAATTTCTGGCTATGCCCCAACAAATACCTCTACTAAAAATGTGAGTATGACATGGTCAGTAAATATGACCCCTGGTGAGCATTACTGTGAGCCTCATGAATTCTGTAGTCATTGCATGCCTGAATTACAGAGTATGACACTGGCAAGTCCTCCAACTAAGGAAGGGTAAAGCTCAGTAAAGCACAGACATGCTTTTATGGATTTAAAAATGAATGGAAATACATATGCATATATTTTTAAATGTCCGAGTTAAAAAAAATAAGACTCTTAAAATCAAACAGATGGGTCAAGGACATAGACCAAAAACCTATGCTGTGGGCTGGAGCATGGGTTCAATTTCCGGTACCATATGGTGTCTGAGCAAATCAATGAACAACGGGAGGACAGTGACAGTGACATGGTGTCTGAAATACCATCTGGAGTGAGACCTGAGTGGAAAGCTGGAAGTAGCCCCAGAATGCCACTAGGTGTGGCCAAAAACAAAACTCAAGCAGAGTGTCAGGAAGACAGTAAGTACTCAATGAATATTAGCTATGATTGCTAAATGTCTGTCTTCCTAAAAGGTCATCTATATGATTGCTGAGAAATGATAAAGGATGAGTCAACTTTTAAAAGCCTACCAACTACATGCTAGCAACTCAATTCCCTTCATTAAAATTAGTATAGTTAGAAACATTATGGACTATCATATTCTTACAGCAAACATGGCATGACATAGTTTAGAGAGACCAGTACATCTGCAGAGTCTGTTAGCAAACATAACTGCTATGAAAGAAGAATGAGACATACGTGGCACAGCACTTTGAAAGCAGTTAGGATTAAGTTCAATAAGTTGTCTTCTCAGTTCATTTACTCCAACACCAGAAGGTCCTAAATACATGAACAATTATGAGATGTAGATAAGTGTCATGTAGTGAAATAATTATTTTAACCTTCCTATTAAAAAGATGAGAGCAACTTGGGTTTTTTTTTTTAGGGGGGGTGAATTATATAGCTTTCTTTCTCACAAATTGGAACTGTGGTGAAGAACTCTTGGCTTCCAAGGTGAGACAGGATTGGGCACATTCAGGGTGGTTATGGCTATGGACCAGTGAATAATAGCACAGTGGGTAGAGTGTTTACCTTGCACACGGTCAGCCAGATTCGATTCCTCTGTACCTCTCGAATAGCCCCGCAAGCTACCAAGAGTATCCCACCCGCCCAGCAGAGCCTGGCAAGCTTCCGGTGGCATATTCAATATGCCAAAAACAGTAAAGACAGGTCTCACAATGGAAACATTACCGGTGCCTGCTCCAGCAAATCGATGAACAATGGGACGACATGCTACCCCGTTTCATGAGATCCGCAAACTGGATTTTTGGTCTGAATTAGAAAAATACCCACACAACGCATTTCCCTAAGACATAGAACTGTGCCATCTAGGAAAAGTATCTAAAATATTTTGGATTTAAAGAACAAGGGAAGGTATGGGGTAGCATGAAACGGGATGGGATGTGAAAAACAAATCTGATAAGAGCATCAAAAGAAACTTGTGATTACACAAGTTAACAAATCCCACTGCATACCACATTTAGCTGTAGACTATAAAAGCACTATACAACGAAGTTTCATTGATTAAACCCATACATAAAATACAAACTTCTTAAGAAGACATGTTTTGGGGGTCAGATAGATACAGGTTCGGTGTGACTGGCCAGGGTATGATCCCTCGCATCCTACTTGGTTCGCCTCCTCCTCCCAGAAACGTCAGGCATAAATCCTGAATGCAGAGCCAGGAGTAAGTCCTGAGCATCCCCGGATGTGGTCCCGAAACAAAAACGTAGGTCTATGGGTATCTATAGTGGTCTCTAAAGAGTTGACTGTTCCTCGAGACGCAGGGCAATTGAGTCTAGAAGGAAAATGTCACGTGTGTCCCCAGAGGCGGCGCTGTCTGCGGGCACATACCCACGAGCACGATGGGGCGGTACTTGTCAGAGGGGCATCGCTGGTACCTCGCCACGTCCTCGTACGCTGCACTGCAGGCCTGGGCGCCACGGTGAGACTGGCGGCGGGAAAGGCGCATGCTGCGGCGGAAGCCCGCTGCAGAGGGAGGAATACACGGACACTGAGCCCGCGGCCCGTGATGGGGCCGATGCAGAACCCGCATCTGCTCACAGCGAGAAAACTGTAAGCAACAGGAAAGAAATGAGGCCGACAAAGTCGTTAGCTCCAAGTTGCTTCCAGTGCCTCCGATCAAGGGCGGGCGTCGGTGCAGACAACTAGCATGAGCCCATTTCTTCATGCAGTTCGTGTTTTAAGGAGAAATTTAAGAAGAGACCACAAAGGGGTATGTCAAGAGGTTGGGGGAGGGGGAGGCTTCTTCAAGTGGACACAGTCAGTGTCTCAGCAAAACTGACCCAGAGCAGGTATCTGAGTTAAGCAATGCGGCCAGTTAAGGAGGCATCCACCCGTAAGAACTATCCAGGTGAGGGAACAGTCGCTGCAAAGGTGCAGAGGAAGGAGCATGCCCGTGTGCTGAAGGAGGACAAGGAAAGGAGGTCTGTGTAGCTGTGGGTTAGTGCTCAGTAAGGGGTGTGGTAGACAATGGGGTTGAAGAAAAAGCCAAGGAGGTCACAGGGGGCCTAGGTCAAATGTTGGATTTTGGTCCCCGCAGACTGGGGACTGCTCACAGGAAGGTCAAGAGACAGGCATGACATGATTGGGTTTCTGTTTCTTATGAGGATTAGCAGGATGAAATTTATGGGGAGAGTTAACATAGACTCAGGTGAGAGCATCTGGGCCACTGCAGTGTTCCAGGCTCAGGGGAAATTGCAGAAGAAGCTTATACTCACATTTTTTCAGTGGTTGCTCACAACTGTGTGATCAGTGGCAGAGTTGGGCATCTTCACTGTGATTTCTAGATCCCTATTTAAATTGGCCCCTGAATCATGGGGATTCCTGTGTTAGCGCTGTTCCCTGAGAAGATGGAGCCACATTTCCATTTATTGCTGATGGATTCACCCTAGCCCTGCATATTCCAAGTGCTTAACACCTTCAGTGGAGACCCTCCTGGGGCTTACTAACCTCAACAGACAGATTTATTATCAGTTCTGATCATCTGTGCAGGACCGGGTATGGATAGTAGGAAGAGCAGAGCTCCACCCAGGTGAGGTTGCAAGGGATCAGATCACAGGAACAGCAGACCCCCTTCTCCAACTGCACCCACCGCCATGTGCCCTGCATGATGCCTCCCATTCTGCTCTGCCTCCTTCCCAGGGCTGCTTCTTCCCCACCTTTATGCAGATGCCTCCTCTGCACAGCGAATGAGTTAGAAATGAATAGAATTGTTCCAGAAAAGATCAGAAAGGTGGCTGCAAGTTTTTTAAGCCTCAATACAACCATTCTGGCCTGGAAAAGCAACATTCTACTTTATGAGGTCTACAGTCCTGTTGTTCTCTGTCTTGTGGAGGAGAAGGCCCAACCCTGGCATGGTTTGCAACAGATGGTGCTTGTACAAAGTGCTGTCCAACTGACAGATTATGAAAACGTGGCCATAAACTAAGTGTCCAGAAAATTGTAGATAATACAGTTAGATACATTATGAAATTATCTGGAAGTAAATACATTTTTGGCATTTGAGGCCAGAGAGAAAAGTTCAACAGCTGGACATGTGTTTTGCATGCTGAGGTTCAGGTTAGATCTCCAGCACCACACGGTCCCAAAAGCACCCCCAGGAATGACCTCTGAGCATAGATCACAGAGTTGCACTGAGCCCTACCAGGTACAATACAAAAAAAACAATTATTATTATTGTGTTTAGTGAATAATTAAAAACTACCCAGTGGGAATGAAATTAATTAAAATGAATAATCAATACATCAGCATATGGGCTTGAAAAATAAAGGGAACTAGAACAAGGGATATGTTTGGAAATGTCCATCAACAGATAGCATCAAGCTAGCATGAATAGAATTCAGAAAGTACAAAAACCTACCTTTTAAATCATCACCTACCAACAAAGAGCTTCTGACCATTGCCCACAAATTCCTCCTTGTCTGGAACAGAGAATAGCAGGAACAAAATATGTGGAGGAAAAAATTATTTAAAATGTGTGTGAAATTACCATCAGATTTTCAAATGACACTATTTCAAAATGGAGGAAAGTGTGCCTGAATTTAGTCTTGAACAGTTTGTTGAAGAATGATCTAAGTACTCTATTGCATGCACCCTACAAAGATGCTCTGCAGAGTGGTAATAACACATGAAGTCTATTCTGTCTAGTGTGGTTAAAAACACAATGCTATTTCAGGTTTGTCTAAAGTTATAGGACAGATATTGAGTCAGAGTGAAAACATAAAATATTTGGTATGTTTTTTAAACATGCCCTAAGAAACCTAATTATAAGAAAGAAATAGGTACATGAACTTTCATTAGCTTATGGAATCAACTAACATGTACAAGCTTTTTAACACATTTAAAATCTGATGGTAATTTCACACATTTAAAAAAACACATTTTAAAATATAAGAAAACATACAATATCAATTCCATCTTCTGAGAAAAAAAGTTTTCATGCTGGATTATATCAATAGTTTAAAAGGAAATATTTAAAATATATGATAATAAATCTTAATTTGCTTTGAGCTCAAATTTTCCATATAGTTGAATATTTCATCATTGATCTTTATCTACAAATTATATATAATGTCATAAACATCCTGTCAAGTATCAATTATGAGAAAGTGAAAATATCTTAAACAGCTCTTTGGGGCTTCCTCTGGAAATAAAAGGAAACAATTACCTTCAGAAAGCTCCTCTGGATATTGGAAAAGTGAAAAAACATAAGATATGAAAAAAGTAAGTTATTGAGAAGACCAAGTGAGTCATCAATTGAAGACAAATGACAAAAGTTCTGTTACTCTTATGAAAAGATGTACCATGGCTAAGGGAAACTGCCTTCATTAAAGTAGAGATATTTGTTGAGATAATTACAGACAGGGAAGAAATAAGAAAACACAAGATACTTGGAATTCAGTGAATAACGTTAAACTGTCCCAAAAGAATTAAAATCTTTTTTGAGATCTAATTTGTTACTAATGAGATTGTACTTTTGAGATACTTGATAATATCACATGTCATCAACAATAATATATATGTTTTTAAAAAAGAAGTCTGTGAACTACCCCACTTTTCAGTGTTCGTAATATCAGTATGGAGCAGTCAGAATATGTGGAATAAATTATTCAGAAATTTCAAGTAAACTCTTTATTCTGTTCAAGTGTCTTTCTCTCCTTAATGATTATATTCTAAACTTCTAAGCTTTTCATACCACAACTTGTAAAAATCTCTATCATGGTTGTATACTAAAGAATTGGAAAAAAAAAAGAATTGTGCATTTACTGGTGGTGGGACTGGTGTTGGAATATTGAAAGTAATAAATCATGAACAACTTTATAAAACATAAATTAAAAAGAATTGTGTATTTATTCTTGTGATGACTTTTGACAGCAGGACATTCCAGGTGCTGAAGAAGGCCACCATTCCTGATTCTTTCCAATTGAAAACCAGTAACACCCATAATCAACATGATGACCTAAAAAAAATGCCCATACAGAGTCTCAAACTACTCCTGATGAAAAACACCAATGAAGGTAAAATTTACAATGTCTCACTGTTTATGTACTTGAATGATTGTTTTATTACATCTCTTAAACTGTAGCGATAGTACAGCAGGTAGGGTGTTTGCCTTGCACATGGCCGGCTCGGCCCACCCAAGCTCGATTCCTCTGCCCCTCTCGGAGAGCCTGGCAAGCTGCCAAGAGTATCTCACCCGCACAGCAAAGCCTGGCAAGCTACCCGTGACGTATTTGATATGAGAAACACAGTAACAACAAGTCTCACAATGGAGACATTACTAGGCCCACTCGAGCAATTCAATGAACAACGGGAGGACAGCGTTACAGTGCTCTTAAACACGTGTATAAATTCAACTAAAGATGTATAACAGACATTTTAAAGATCCTAATACTCATTTTAACTTACCAGATTCAAATGTTTCTTCATCTGTAATTTTCCATGGCAGCAAAAACCCCAAAATGTCATTACATTACTACCCATTCCACATCAATATTTTTGCAGTCTTAGTCTTTTTTTTTTTTCATTTTGGGTCACACCTGGCGATGCACAGGAGTTACTCCTGACTCTGCATTCAGGAATTACCCCTGGTGGTGCTCAGGGGAACTATGGGATCCTGGGAATCAAACCCGGGTCGGCCTCGTGCAAGGCAAATGCCCTACCTGCTGTGCTATTGCTCCAACACCAGCAGTCTTAGTCTTTGACCTGTGCATCTGCATCTTATACAATCTTTAAAACATTTTCCACTCAACAGGCTGGGTACATGCTCTGTATGTCGGAGAAGCAGGTTGGATCCCTAGCACTGCATAGTCTCCTGAACATTACCAGGAATGACCCATAAGTACTAAGCTGTAACCCCCCAGTTCCAATGGGTATGTCAGTGTGGCTGAGAACACAATGCTATTTCATTCTGGTTTATTTAAGGTTACAGGACATATTATAGGACAGATATTGAGTCGGAGTGAAAACCTAAAATACTGGGTATGCTTTTAAATATGCCCTAAGAAACCTTAAAAAAACCTTTAAAAAACAAACAAAACCCCCACCTTTTTTTCTAAATCAAGGTGAAATTGGCATATATAAGCTGCATAGCATTAAGCAGCATAGCCATGATGAAAGGCTGGGAAGAAACAATGGAAAAACATTCCAGAAAACATTCCTGCCAATGACCAGTTATGGCATAACTCTACTACAGGAGAACTTTCAGTCATTGGCAGGACACACAGAGCCTGAAGATTCAGGACCTTAGCAGCAAGGGGAATGCTTGACTGTGCAAGTATTTCTGTTGGGTAAACTTATATAGGTGACTGGGAAATATTTGACATATACCAACTTTCTCATCCTGTGAAACGGTTGTTAGCATTTTTAATAGACATTAAAAATTAAGAAACTAGAATTTATAGAATGGATAAAATGTAACATTTTTAATTCAAATATAACATTACCAATGTGATTCCTGAGCCATTGTTAGTTCTGCCATTCAATTTGAAAGTATCCCCCCAATTTACAAAATAAATAAATATAAGAATAGAAACAGAAGTATTCCCAGGTTTTTCTGTTTTCATATTTGACATCTCAGTGTTTTCAGTATTCCACAAAAAGCACATGGTCTCCAGTTGGTCCACCTGAGTCTTGCTGAAAGTGATACCTGACATTAACTCAGAATATCTGAGATCCTTTCCAGGACTAGTTTTCTAGAGCACTTCCAAGAAAACTAGTTTGAAGCCTGGGAACAACCCACAAATGCGCTTCCCTTCCATGTGTCAGAACCATGGAAAAAGTATTGTGGGGTTAATATTCATTTAGCCTTCTGAGCCTTTTGGACAGACTTGGTAACCTTGCCAGCTCCAGCTGCCTTCTTGTCCACTGCTTTGAGGACACCCACAGCAACAGTCTGCCTCATATCATGAACAGCAAAATGACCCAGAGGAGGGTAGTCAGAGAAGCTCTCAACACACATGGGCTTGCCAGGCACCATATCAACGATGGCCACCCCAGTCTTAATCAGTGGTGGAAGAACGGTCTCAGAACTGTTTGTCTCAATTGGCCATTTAAGTTTAATAGTAAAAGACTGGTTAATGACAACAACGCATCGTAAAACCTTCTGAAGGAAAGGAAAATGTTTTGTGAACCATTGTGTGTGTGTGTGTGTGTGTGTGTGTGTGTGTGGCAGTTTAAGTTATTTAGTATTTAAAATCAGTACTTTTTAATGGAAACAACTTGACCAAATATCTGTCACAGAATTTTGAGACCCATTAAAAACAAAAGTTTAATGAGAAAAAAAAAGTATTGTGGGGATGGGATTGGGATTTTGGGGGGTGGCTGTGCTACCCCTGACCCACTCTGCAGCAAATAATCTGTAGCCAAGAGTAAATCTGCTACCAGGAGTAAATCTTTCACAAGGAAATGTTACCTGCTTCCACACACTTTTCATCAATTTTCATGTCATCTTCTATAAACAAGCACAAAAAAAGAACAAATAGCATTTAAAATATCTTAATAACCAAATTCTCCTATACATAGAAAAGTAGGCTACATTACAATAATATTACTTTTACAACTATTACTCACTTGAAGAGTTGAAAAAGGGGTAATGTGCACCAAAATGTTTGAAATGAGAGACTATATAACATAAAATGATTTTGTAAACTTCAAAACACAGAATTTAATCTTGAAATGTTTTCCAAATGTAATGAGGATAAGTAATAACCCTTACCAGATTAAATACTGCATGGGAAGCTCAGAAATGAAAATTATATTTACTTTTAACTTGGATATATATGAGAAAAAAATACCTAACTTTAAAATTCATTCAACCAAGACACAGTGATAGTAGTGCCCGTCTTGTAGTAGGCAAACTTAGGTTCCATCTCTGACACCCACTATGGTTCTTTAAACTCCACCAGGAGTGATCCCTTACATTTCTTACAATGAGTAAGCTCTTAACACCACCAGGTGTGGCCCAAAACCAAAACTTAATTGATTAATTAATTAATTAATTAACCATTCAGCCTAATATTCAAAGCAACTTAACCCAACTTTAACGGCTATTGTCCACTTCTCTATTTCACAATATCTTAGACTCTCATCACTAGCACTTTCTCTGTACCACTGCTCACACTGCCCTCTTTGCCTGTAATGCTTCAAATTCATCCCAAACCCCCATCAATATAAGCATTCCTGACAAATCTGCCCCTGTATCCCCATGTAATATTTATTTTGACTTTGAATTTTTCTGCCATTGCACAATACTCTACCTTGTAATATAATTTTTGGGTGTTTGTTTTATTCAGCCTCCAAGATAAGTCTTGACAGCAGAAACTTTTACTAAGTTTTATATACTTCACAAAGCTTAGTACAATATCTTCCACATATTAGATACATGGTAATGATTCATTAAATTGAATACAAATTTTCTTTCAACATCAAAATAGGTTACTTGAATATAAGTTCTGAAAATTATTTTTTTTCTTTCAGCACCTGCCATTTTGTACCTCACACAGGGCCCATCTCTCCCCAGGTAATTGACAAATAGTAGTTTAACAAGTAAATCTTACACATTTCCCCAAAGCGCAAAGCTATGACATTATAAAGTAATATATTGAGTTTAATAGTACCTCTCCAAAGATCATATTCTTAATGTTTTAAGGAAAAATACAATATTAAACTTTTATGGGAAAATGCTGTTTTTATAGAGATAGGAGCACAGAGACTTAGCAAACAATTTTAACTCTGTCATTCAATCCCTGTATTCATTTCGAGATTATTTCTCAGATGAGTAATTTTAATAGCAAACTTGTTATGTCCTCGAACACAAGTAGAGGTTTATTTGTGAAAGGTAAGCAAACTCCAGAGGTCACTTGTTTACAGAGGCTGGGGGCAAATCTCCAGAAGCATCTTTTTTATTGTGAAACTCAAAGAGCCCCTAATTCGCTTCCTCCAAATCCACAATTCCTCAGCAGCAGCTAGAGGGAGTGTTATGGATTGATTTATGTCCAACTTCCTCCCCAGTTTTACATGTTGATAATAATAGCTCCAGGCTCGGCGGACCCAGGGACAGAGCTTCTCTGCGTGCTCCCACCACCACAGGTGACAAAGGGATTCCAATCAGGAGCCCCACCCTACCCTGCCTGTCTGCTTCCATCAACCACCCAGGGATCGAATTATGCACAGGAGACCCACCCTACCCAGATAAATACCCCACTGGCAGACTTCCACTCTCGACACTACTTCCACTACCCAGCCGTCGCCACACTCCAGGACGCTTTCCGGACCCGCGCGGCAGCTCCGGCCGAGACCCACGCACGACTGAAGACCCACAGAACAAGATAAGCGGAACTCTCTGAGACCTTGGACTCCAGGCTCGGCGGACCCAGGGACAGAGCTTCTCTGCTTGCTCCCACCACCACAGGTGACAAAGGGATTCCAATCAGGAGCCCCACCCTACCCTGCCCTGTCTGCTTCCATCAACCACCCAGGGATCGAATTATGCACAGGAGACCCACCCTACCCAGATAAATACCCCACTGGCAGACTTCCACTACTTCCACTACCCAGCCGTCGCCACACTCCAGGATGCTTTCCGGACCCGCGTGGCCGCTTGCGGCCACGCAACACATCATAAGACACTAAATACCCATCTTCTGGAATTGTCATACCATATTTGATAGGGTTCAAATATGGTAACACCTACAAGGGTGATTAGAGGTCACCCCAAAAGCCTCTATCCCTCTCGGAAAGACTGGCAAGCTACAGAGAGTATTCCACCCGCACGGAAGAGCCTGGCAAGCTATCCACTGTGTATTCAATATGCCAAAACCAGTATCTACAACTGGTCTCATTCACCTGACCCTGAAGGCTTCACCGACATGGCAGCACTGAGAAGGATGAGAAAGGAGAGGCCGACAAAATCTCAAGGCCGACCTAGGCTGCCACAACGAAGGAAGACAAAAATGATCGTCTGTACTTTCAATGCACGTACGCTAGCATCAGATGCATCCATCGAGGACCTGATGGTACAAGCGCAAATGATCAAGTACGACATCATGGGTCTGACCGAGACAAGAAGGCACGAATCTCACCATGCCGTTTTTGACACTGGAGAAGAATTGTTCCTTGGAACATGCGATAAAAGAGGTGTTGGAGGCGTCGGTGTCCTTGTCAACACAAACTTGGCCAAGAGCATTGATTCATTCGAATGCCTAACAACCCGAATCGGACGTTTACATTTGAATAGATGTGGCTCACTGCCTGCAGTTTCTATCTTCGTTGTCTACGCACCAACATCTCATTATGATGAAAGAGAAATCGAGAAGTTCTACATGGAGCTAGAGAAGTTCTATAAAGAAGACCACACCTTCTACAAGATCATCGTGGGTGATTTTAATGCCAAGATAGGACTGAGAAGATCAGCTGAAGAACTTCACATCAGGACCCATGGCCTAGAATGGAACGAACAGGGTGAGAGACTGTCTGAGTTCATCATGTCGACCAAGACCATTCATGGTAACTCACAGTTCCAGAAGGCAGAATCTAAACGATGGACATGGGAGTCTCCCGGTGGACGATTCCACAACGAAATAGACCACATCATATTCAATCAACGGTTTTGCCTGACCGATGTCGCTGTTGTCCCAAAATTTCTAACGGGATCGGACCACCGTCTCCTTGGTGCAAAATTCTACTTCACAGAGCGGGGAGAAAGGGCTGCAAAGTTCAAAAAGAGAACTCCCAGAATGACCACCAACTGGGAACTCTTTGGTACTATTGCGGCAACATGGGAAGATGCCATTGTTGACAACATTGACGAGGAATACGATCGACTGGTTCAGCACCTCCATGAATGTGCGAGGAACGCCAAGAGAGAGATAGCCACAAAAAGTCGCCTATCTTCGAAAACTCTTGAGCTAATTCGCCAGCGTGGTTTGGCGCATGCCTCAGGCAACTGCAAGCTAACGTCCGAGCTTGCAAAGCAGTGCAGAGATGCAATCAAGGAAGACCTCAAAGAGAGAAGAGCAGAAGTACTGGTAGATGCGGCAGAAGCCGGGAAAAGTATTCGTAACGCCCGCCTGTCCTTCGCCAACTATAAGACCAAGATGACTGCCCTCCGACGTCCTGATGGTTCCATCTCATCCTCCAGAATGGCAATGGAGAAGATTATCCATGACTTCTACTCAAATCTCTTCAATAGCCATGTCCACTTGCCTACATACCAAATTCCACAGGATGGGTATGTCGTTCCCAACGTTCTCCCTTCCGAAATCCGACACGCCATTTTGTCGGTAAAGAAACAAACAGCACCCGGCCCAGACAAGGTCAGACCTGAACACCTGAAGAACCTGCCGTCAGTACTCATCAATACACTGGCTCGGCTCTTCACTCGCTACCTGTCTGAATGCAAGGTTCCGTCCCAATGGAAAACCAGCAGGACCGTACTACTGTTCAAGAAGGGAGACATCCATGACATTGGCAACTATCGCCCGATCTGCCTATTGTCTGTCATCTACAAGTTGTTCACTCGAGTCATCCTGAATAGGATTGGCAGAACACTAGATGAAGGACAACCATGCGAGCAAGCAGGGTTTCGCAAAGGATTCAGCACCATCGACCATATCCACACGATAACCAAGCTCATTGAGGTTTCTCGGGAGTTCAAGATGCTGCTCTGCTTAACGTTCATTGATTTAAAGAAGGCCTTTGATTCTGTTGAGACGGAAGCGGTCATTGAAGCCCTAGCCAATCAGGGCATTCAAGCCCAATACATCAGGATCCTCCGTGAGCTGTATTGCGGATTCACTACCAGGATCTCACCATTCTACAAAGAAGTGATTGTTGATGTCAAGACAGGGGTGCGGCAGGGTGATACCATTTCACCGAAACTCTTCAGTGCCACCCTTGAGAACATCATGCGACGACTAAAATGGGAAGGAATGGGAGTGAAGATAGATGGTCGGCAACTACACCACCTCCGCTTTGCTGATGACATTGTTTTAATAACACCAAACATCAGCCAAGTGGCACAAATGCTGGCCGACTTTGCCCGTGAGTGTGGAAAGGTAGGACTACAGCTGAATCTTACGAAGACAATGTTTATGAGAAACAGCCTTGTTCCTGACGCCCCATTCGCTCTCAATGGAACGACCATCTCCGAATGCAACAGCTATGTGTACCTAGGTCGAGAGGTCAACATGACAAATGACCTGGCACCCGAGCTGCGCAGGAGGAAGAGAGCGGCTTGGAACGCCTTCAAGAACGTCGAAGAAATAGCTAAGAGGACGAAGAACCTCCGGCTCCGGGCACATCTCTTTGATTCCACTGTTCTTCCTGCATTAACATATGCCTCAGAGACCTGGGCCCTACACAAACAGGATGAGAACGCTATTCAGGTCTCCCAAAGAAGAATAGAAAGAGCTATGCTTGGAATATCACGTTTCACTCAAATGAGAGAACGAATCTGGAGTTCTGACATCCGTCGACAATCAAGGATCAGGGACGCTGTCTCATTTGCCAAGGTGTCGAAAATCAGATGGGCTGGTCACGTAATGAGATTTAAAGACGACCGTTGGACTAGAGCTGTTACTGATTGGATTCCACGGGATGTCAAGAGACCGTGTGGCCGCCCACCTACCAGATGGTCAGACTTCTTCATCTAGATCATGAACGATTGGTTTGAGGCCCTTCATGTTCCCGGAGCGAACAGATGCCATTGGGCTACACTAGCACGCGACAGGGACAAATGGAGACGTTACTGGCGCCCTCTCGAGCAAATCGATGACTAACGGGAAGTTAAGTGATAAGTGATTAATAATAGCCCCCACTAGGGCTACGTTTACTCTTGCTGGTGAGCACAAAGGAAGAAGGTAGTGGTCTGTGGTCTCTTGCAATCCAAGCCAACTGAGACTTTGAGCCCTTTGCTCACCAGGATCCCAAGACCAGAGACCCAGATTTAAGCTCCTTCCCCTTATACAATCAGAGAAGAAATGTGGGTGGGGCTAAGATGGATGCTTTCCCCTCCACACATTAGCAGTTTGCTTTCTTTCGTGTGTGTGTGTGTGTGTGTGTGTGTGTGTGTATGTGTGTTAAGAGAGAGAGGGAGACAGAGACAGAGAGACAGATAGGTGACAAAGATACAAAGAAAGAGATCGTGAAGAGTTGTGGTGTCAGGGAATATTTGGCACCTCCCATCTTCAGAGCCAGAAGCTTTAATCAGACAACAAGTTTCAATTACCACTTCTGATAATACTCTTACCTTCTCCAAATTTCAGTCTTTCCATCATAAAAAATAACAAGTCTTGGACCAGAGAATTAGTACAGTGGGTAGAGTACTTGCTTTGCACCTGGCCAACCAGGGTTTGATCCCCAGCATCACATGTGGGTCTCTCAGCCCCGCTCAGAATGATCCTTGAACATAGTGCTATGTGTAAGCCCTGAGTACTGAGAGGTGTCACGGTCATGGTCCTCCCGTTTTTCATTGATTTTCTCGAGCGGGCCCAGTAATGTCTCCATTGTGACACTTGTTACTGTGTTTGGCATATCGAATACGTCACGAGGAGCTTGCCAGGCTTTGCCGTGTGGGCAAGATACTCTCAGCAGCTTGCCGGGCTCTCCAAGAGAGGCAGAGGAATCGAACTCCGGTCAGCCATGTTGGCTGCGTGCAAGGCAAACTCCCTACCGCTGTGCTATCGCTCCAGCCCCATACTGAGAGGTGTAATCCAAAATAAATAGAAACAGCAGCACAGCCTTACAGGGCTGTTGTAGATACTATGTGATACATTGAATGTAGTAAGAGTTGATAAATTTCACAACTTTTATTGCATTCTTACCATGTGGTAGAGCGGCAAATAAATGTCACCTCTTTCATTCTTCTCAAAGTTAGAATAATTAATCTGTGTTTGCAATCTTTTGACATTAAAAATATAAATTAGGGTTATTGTGACTTGTACTTTACTAGGTAATAGGAAAAATCCAATAAATAGCTGAAGCAAGTTAAGAAAAACACAAAAGGGGAGGGAGAAGGCACAAGGGTCAGAAGGAATCCTAATTGGATCTCTGGTACCACACCCCTACTCCCACCTCACGATTACCCCCACCCCCATCACCGTTTCTTACCTTCTTCCATAGAAATCACTAGGTATAGGCAAATGATTGAAACAGAAGAAAAAAAGAGAAACAGAAAACTATGCTATAGTTTCTCAGATAATTAGAAATAAAAAAGAGACAAATTCATAATAATACATATTCTGACCTTGTTTTCTAAAAATTTAGTGGCAATTTTTTTTATTTAAAAGCACTCTGTGGCTGTCCTATTGAAATGAATGTATTTATAAGATTTGTTGGAAATGAGGTTCTATCTGCTCTGGTGAATCGAAGTTCCTAATATTTAGGGAGCTCTAAAAGGATTGTGGTTTTGTTCATTACTAAGTTAATGTATGTCTTCTACTCATTTCTAAGTTAATGCACTTAGATGTGTACATTTAAGGAACTCAAATAGCTGGACTGGGAGAAAGGGAAGGAAGGAAGAGAGTGATAGCAATTATAAGCGCATTTTGATAAATAGCCTTCTTAAGAGACATCCACACATTTTTCTCCCTTGATTGATAAAATTGCCTCTACCTCATGGCTCAGAAATCTACTGAAGATGTATTCCAGTGATAACAGTTAAACAGAACATAGAGAGAATTATGTTTATTGCAGCAACATCAATAGCAATCACAAAGAAATGGCCTCATGGTTCAATAAACATCCTGGATCAATCAGAAACATTCCCAGGGTGGTAATCTTTCAAGTCAGTGACTCCAACCTTGAGTTCCAGAACTCAGAAACAGGTGAAAATAAAGATAGAAGCTTAAAACTATTTTCAGGCGAACTTTTCAAATAGACTAACAGAAATCAATTAGAGGCTACCCATGGAAATTAAATGTCAACCATAATTGGGAATTTCATTCATATTTCCATGGTTCTTTAAAAATGGAAAATGAATTTTAAACATTTTAGTTTAGTTTGGTAAACTTTCAAAACATTGGAATAATAACTACAGTATCACTATGAAGATTTATCATGAAAAATATTTCTGATAAAATGTTTGAAGTGATAAAAAGGGGGACCAGGGAGTTAGTACAGTGGGCCAGGCACTTGCATTGCACACAACTAAACCTGATTTGATCTCCAGCACTGCATAAGCTCCCTTGAGCATTTCCAGGAGGGACTCTGGAAAAAATAAAAATATAAAAGGGGATGCAGAGCAATAGTACAGTAGGTAGGGTGTTTGCCTTGCATGAGGCCAACCCAGTTTCTATTCCTGGCATTCCACATGTTTTCCCAAGCACCGCCAGGAGCAATTCCCAAACTCAGAGTCAAGAGTAAATTCTGAGCTTCTCAGGATGTGGCCACCACACGCACACACACACACACACACACACACACACACACACACACACACACACACACAGTAGAATTGCAGCTAGTACTGTCATCTTGTGATTGGGGAAGATGTGATCAAATAGTGCCAGTGGAAAGAGGGTTTCTGGTTTTAAAATGATTCTAGAGCTATCTTTTTTAATATAAAAAAGAAAAGAAAAAACAACATTTGGTGTTGAAAAATGAGAAATAAAAAAATAATGTAGTCAAAGGCAAATCTGCAACACTGATGTATACTGAGATACTTTGTGCCTGTGCAACCTCCTCTCCAGCCTCTCCTCCTCTTCCTCTCTTGGCCCTTCTTTAATCTTCTTTAATCTACATCCACAGCATGCTTGAGGGTCAGTTTCTAAAGGGCCTGACTCTTGCAGGCCCCAGGTGGGCTCTACTAGGCAACCTTCACTTGCCACCATGGATCCCTTTGCCATCCATACCTTCACTTCCTCTAAATCACAGTCCAGCAAACAACTTACATTTAGCAAGTAGCAACACAGTCCCATGTTTCCTCATCAGACACCATTAGCCAGAGTTCCCAAAGATTGTGACACATAACCCTCAACCAGAACCTGCATGAAGGTGTGTGTGGAGTGTGGGGTGGGTATGCAAACTTGCTTGCTGAAGTATGTGTAATGTATTCATACATGGATCAGTATGTATAACGTGTGCTGTGTATGTATGATTTATGGATCTCCAAGGACCTCACACTAGTCAGTGGTCACTGAAGCTGTCACCCCCATGAGAACATTTGCATCTTCAGAAACTGGAAACCTTCAAATTCAAAGGCATGAATGTTGTGGAGGTCATTTGGATGGGCAGGAAGCTGTCCACAAAGGAGAGGGAAAACCTCTGCCCCCCCCCCCGCCCCAACCCCCATGCTGCATGGGCTGGGTTTGAGGTATCTGTGCACATACTCACTTATGGGTGAATTGTGGTGGGTGTGAGGCTGGTACGGCTGAGACCACCAGAACTCCCGTTGCTTCCTGTGCAAATAGAAACATACAGTCAGGAAACAAAGAACAGTGGACCTGGTACCAGAGATCCAGGGCAGAAAATGCCCTAGAGTTCTGCTGTCTCTCCCCAGATGAAAAAGAGAGCCTTTCACAAACACTGCTGGGTGTGTTCTTCATATTCACAACCCTTCTTCTCGTTGTTTTTCCTGCTTCGTAAGATCTTTCAGGAGCAACACTGACTTAGGAAGAAAATCTGCCTCATGACCCTGAGTTCACATACCACTCGTATCTGGCCTATGGCCCATGGCCTCTTGGCCCTGGCAATCTTACCTGCTTGGCAGGTCTCATTAGGTTGCTCAAGTGTGCTGGTTTCCCTCCCAGGCTATGGATGCATTTCGATGTCCTGAATTTTCATTCTTCCAATTGCTCTTTTTTGTATGCTCCTTTTTGTGTGCTCAGACCCATCCTTGCTGTGTGCTCTGTACTGAACCCTCCCCACTTTCTGCCCAGAAGGACCAGAGGACTCATCTCTGTGGGGCCTTATTTCTGCCTCAGACTCCCCAGCCACTGACTAGCCCCTGCAAGGCTCTGCCCCAGGACCTTCCTCTCATGCTACCCTCATGGGACTTGCCCTCTGGGACTCCTGTTGCCTTTAGCTAAATCTTCCTGATTCTAGCTCTGCTTAGTGTCCCAGCTACACTCATGCTCCTACTGAAACCCAGTCTCTGCGAAGTCAGCACTCCACCACCACCCTTTATTCCCAGTGGGCAGCTAGAAATGGTGCAACTCTGACTGATTTCCCTCATTCTAGCATTGTAGTTTATTTCCAGCTGTGCTGCCAACTACACTAGCCAGAATGTGAGAACAGGGCCTATCAATTGTGTTTACAGAAGCAGGCTCCTGTTAACTGTCTAGGGTACCACAAACAGGGCCTTCATTCCACTGGGCCTGGAGCTGGGGTCTGAGTCAGTGATTCTCATGGCCATCTCCAGACCATCCTCCCTTTTCCCTGAAAGCCTAAACTTTTATCATCGTTTACCCACACCCTGCTTATTCCACCTGACTCTCCAGCTCTTAACACCAGTCTGTCATACTTCCCAACAATGTTGTTAGGCACATAAATCCCTTACCTAACATCCTTCTTCCTGGCTCTCATCTTCTCCAGAGGCCTTTTCCTGTTCTACCCCAACCTCCTCCTGTTCCTCATACCTGAGACCTTTCAGAACAATAACTGCAAGGTCTCCATTACCTCAATTTCCGGCATTTCTTCCCTCCAACAGCACTTCCTAATCCTAATCCCAGTCATCTGTTGATCCCCAATGGAAACATAAAAGTTATTGATTTTTGCCTCCTTCCACTAACTCTTACCCATCTCATCTCTCTTCTTTAACAATTTAAACACCATGGTTCCTCATGATTTGGCCCTCTCATGGGCTGGAGCGATAGCACAGAAGTAGGGCGTTCGCCTTACAAGCGGCCAACATGGCCAACCCGAGTTCGATTCCTCCTCCCCTCTCGGAGAGCCCGGCAAGCTACCGAGAGTATTCGATATGCCAGACACAGTAACAACAAAGTCTCCAATGGAGACGTTACTGGGCTGGCTCGAGCAAATCGATGATCAACGGGAGGGCCTTTACTTTACTTTACTTTATGGTTTATTATTAATTCCAACTTCCTGATGAATTTGAATCAACCCCTTTTCATCATAGGGAACTGTAAGATAACATTGTTTTGTACTTCCTGCATAGCCTCAGGTAGTTTAGGTTTATTGGGTTGCTCCCATTACAGTGGTCCCAGCCCTCTGTGTTTATTTGTAACTTCTTTCTTTGTGCTCTGTTGACTTGTAAATATTACTTTTCTCTTCTCCCTAAATCCTTTGCATAGTTTCACAATCACAAAAAACCCAGACTATAAAACCCAGCTCCCCGAAGCGCGCCGCATTTGCGGCCACACGACATCTTATCATCTCATTCCTACTTTAGACAAACTGGCAGGCTACCGAATGTAACCTGCCCACACGGCAGAGTATGGCAAACTCTCCGTGACGTACCTAATATGTCAAATACCAGTAACAATGAAGGGTCTCATTCTCCTAACTCTGAAAGAGCCTTGAATATGGTACTTTTTTAAAAAAAAATCTCAGGGCTAGGACGAAGAGACGTTACTGGGGCCTGCTCGAGGCAATCGACGAATAACAGGATGTTTGTATGGACACAAGAAGACTGTATATGCTATACTTTTGTAATGTGACTCTCAGTGTTATTTTCCTCCTGGGCATCTGTTCTCTCACCTACGCCTCAGCTGCCTTTACTTCCTAGTGCCCCCAAAACAGGGTCCAGATGAGGGACTGGATGGAACCAGGGCAAGTGGTAAGCTATGTGTTTACCCTGGCATGGAGATGGGCCTGGCTAAAGTGCCATAATGCTTAACTATAAGTTAAGAGCTTGGTCATGGACAAATGCTGTCATGATCCAAAAAGTAATAACTAGATCCAGACCCTTCTAGGGTTAGGAAAGATTAATCTGGTCTGAGCACTGTAGTCTGTGGCAAAATATTCCCAGGAGAGCTGTCCTACAAGCCTCAATGTATCTCTTACTGTGTTCATACAAAAATAACTAGTATTAAGATGTTGACAAAGTTACTGGACTGAGGATAGGATACCTAAAGAGGTATTTTGCCCTTGGGCAATCAGGAAGGGCTTTGGAATACCCCAGGTGGTGTTTCTGCCTTTGGGCCTGGCAGTCAGGAAGGGCTTTCTTATGTTGATTTTGCTACCAGACTAGGTGCAGTGTGAGCACAGAATGCTGAGTAGTTGGAGAGACAAGGGAGTTAGAGAGACAAGTGAGACAGAAGCTGGAGAGATGAGAGAGAGAAAGAGGTGCGAGATAGAGTGCAGAGAGACTAGCAAGAGGGACAGAGAGAAGGATGTAGGAGAAGAATACAGGAGCAGGCACGTGGAGAGAGAGAGAGAGAGAGAGAGAGAGAGAGAGAGAGAGAGAGAGAGAGAGAGAGAGAGAGAGAGAGAGCCTGGGCTGCGAGATGGAAGGCAGAGAGATTAGCAGGAGAGAAAGGAAGAGATAGTAATGAAGGGCAGTGTGAGACTAGAATGGGGGCTCAGAGAGACTGGGGTAGGCGCATGGGGAGAATGGAATAAACGGCATCTGATCAATCAACCAGCTTGGCCCTTGTTTCCTCCTTCCATCTGCCCCATGGCCTGAGTTGCCCTGGCTGCGGGCAGCGAGGGGGAGAGTTGTCGGGCCTCTCCCTGGCCGCCCCCTGGAGATTTTATACAGGCAACTGTATCTTCCATCCTCTAAATGGGTTATTCCCATTTTATAAAAAAATTCTCTCATATCATTTCACTTTTGTATACTAGAAAGTCCTCCATTATTCTTTTCTTCTTTATATCAAAGTGTTTTCAAGAGTTTTCCATGCTACTTGTCATCAATTTCTTCAAATTTGAAGAAGATTTTGGCCTTACCCCCTTGAAGTAATTTCTTTGATTAAGATCACCAATGACCTTTATATTGTGAAATCCAATGGTCTATTCTCAGTCCTCTCAGCAGCAGTTGCCATAAGACACTGATGATTTACATTCTGCTTCATTGGTCATTCCTATTTAGTCTTTTATAGTTCCTTTTCTTTTTGATATCTTAACATTGGCTAAGCTTTTGCACCTCTTCCTGTCTATATTCATTCCCTTGAACCTCAGTAGAACAGAGGTGAGGGTAGTAGATTCAGTAAATCAAGTCCAAGTTCAGGGTTGAAAGATTAATAGAGGGAGTCAGAATTACCTTTCAGAATTGAATTTCATTTCCCAAGTACTTCTTGTACTGGTTCCCCTGGTATTTAAGATGCATATGGCAAACTGATCAGTTAACATTTAGAGTTATAAATCAGTGTGTTGGTTCATCTGCTCATATTTCTTGATAGCATATTTGTTGAAAAAAGAGAAACCTAAAGAAAGCCTTCTAATTATCCTGAATTCTGTCCTGAGTCTCGGAGTGAAGACTTTTCTTACCTCTTCAGAAGGTGGTTAGAAGGGATTAGGCCTGCACAGGTCCCAATGTCTGAGAGTTTCCGAGCCTGCCACCAGAGGGCGTCATTCTGGTCCACAATCTGGAGGATGTCTCCCTTCTGAAAAGGCAGCCCAGCATCCATGCAGGGGATGGTGGGATCTTCCTGGGGCCAGTACTCGGTCATGGCACGAACGTACACCTGACAGAATAGTGCAATAAACAGAATATTTGCTCATTAAGAATTAAGACCTCTTTTTGCAAACCACAACACCAAATAAGAGAGAGAGAACAGAAGGGAATGCCCTGCCACAGAGGAGGGTGGGATGAGGGGGATTGGGGGTAGGAGCGATACAGGGGTCCGTGGTGGTGGGAAATGGGCACTGGTGGAGGGACGGGTATTTGATCATTGTATAATTGAAACCCAAGCACAAAAATTTGTAAGTCTACAGCTGTACCTCATGATGTCTCACTAATAAAAATTTAAAAAAAAAAGAATTAAGACCTCTTTTGTAATTAAGAGTTAAACTTTAGAGCCATTAAGAGTTCAAACCAATACCCTACATACTATTTGTGTATTTCCCCACCAGCCTCACCAAAAGAGAATTTTTCTCCTAAAGTATGAAAAATGATCTATGAAAAATGCAACTTTGGGAACAGAAGCTCTTAACTCTAAGAAATGTTTGCATAGATATTTATCATTCTTGATGCTCTGTTTTAGCCTCTTGATCGCCCATCTCCTTATATTGTATTAATTTACTGCTTTTCATGCTATGAATATTTTCAAAATACACAACATAGTATTGAACAAATGTTCCACACATTGTAGAAAATGACAGTATGATATGAAGTAGTTTGCTGTTATTATGTAAGACTTACTGTGTCAGAGTATAAAAGTTCAGCAAACGCTTACCATCTTCTGGCTATTAGTGGGAGGGTCAGAAACTGGAATCACCTTGAACATGATTGTACCACGAGAGAGAGCCTAGAAAATTTCAAAGGGGAAAAAAATGACATGCAGAGCTCATTGCATTGCTGTGATTGGTAAACAAAGTCATACTTCAACGCATCTAGAGGTAATGGTGGCATTTCCTCTGGGAACTTTCACAAGACTCCAAGAGCCTAAATATCACCACCCAGAAATGAAAATTAGGAAGAAACCCAGCACTGCTTGGGATCGTGGCAGGGTTCGAGTCACTATCTTTACTCCCTCTCCCCAAATCTTTGCCTCTCCTAGAGACTTTCCAATTTAAAGCCATCAGGATCATACCCCTATCCCCTTAGAAGAAGATGAAATCTGGACCTGACTTTCCCTCCCGAACCCTCAGACCTTCTGAACCTAGAAAACCAATTTCCTATACTGGGTAACCCAGAATGATGGGGGAGGCGTGTAGAAGGATGTCCCACTTCCTAGGGAACTGACAAGCTTTCTGGCTAATGAAAATGGGAGCCCCCAAATATTTGGTGAAAATAATGAATCTTTCATCGTGATGGGCAGAGGTAAGAATTGCCACCACATACATGAACATGGACATTAGGGATTCAGAGATGAACTAGACCCCATTCTCACTCTTAGAGACTTGACAATTGTCCTGCAGTACTCTCATTGGTACCAAAGGGGCTGAGTGTGTCCATGGCTGGCAGTACATTAAGCTCCCTTTGCAGTAGCTTACTTACATTTCTCACCAGTTCTTAGAACAGTGGTTTGCAAAATATTCCAGTGCTTGAGAGAGTCATTTAACAGCCCCCTCACTTCAGTCCCTTAACACAATACCACCCAGTCCTGCAAGAACCTATCCGAGCATAATTGATCTATAGAATTATAGGACACAGAGCCAGCAATCATGTCCTACCTGTGGGATGCCCTCTGCTAATTCTCTATACCCCGCCCCCAACTTCCTCCAGGAAGATGGTGACCAAGTTTAGCTGTATTAAACATTTAGGAGCCACAGGTGTTTTGATGAGGTTCAGACTGTCCTCCATGGTCTCTCTTTGCCCACCTGATCTCAGCTTCCAGAGGAGCAACCTGGGAGATGGGGGTATAGAAGCTGGAGGGCCTGAAGAACTTCCTAAGGCTGGAACTGCAGTTTGGGGAAGAGAATTTCCCATCAGGAACCAGAATGTCTCAGGGGAGAGAGCTGCTGGGGTATGAACAACACAGAAGAGATAAGCTCTGGGGTCAGAGAGGAGGAAGCTACCCAGAGACCAAACTCCCTTCGCAAGACCTTGTAACCTACCATGGGCTCAACACAGGCCAGAGCAGCTGTAGCATTTCCTCCCAAGAGGAAAGAGGAGACTCTTACCAGAATATGGATCACTTGCTCGGGGTCCAGTCCCTCTACTGAAATGCCATTCACTTCCACCAGCTTGTCCCCAGCATATAACAAACCTGCGCAAACAGTAACACATACTAAATAAGCATTCAAAGAAACTGGCAAAACACAGAAGCAGCTATTCCAAGGCTGTTTAACAATTTATAACTCAAGTTTACCCTAATATTATTCTGAAATAATATTAATAGGGCTGGCACGTCCTGTTCGTACCACCATCAGAGGGCATGAGAATTGTTCTACATCTTCATCAACACTGGACAGGAGCTGATAGCGATACTTTCATTTTTGCTGACCTGATGCTACAAAATGGAAGCAGAGCACTGGTAAAAAGATAACACTGCTGGGGCCAGAGTGATAGGACAGTGAGTAGGGCATTTGCCTTGCACGAGGCTGATCAGAATTTGATCCCTGATCCCTGGCACCTCATATGGTCCCTCCAAATACCTCCAGGAGTAATTCCTGAGTGCAGAGCCAGGAGTAATCCCTGAGCATAGCTGGATGTGACCCCAAAAAAATCCCCCCCCAAATAGAAGATAACACTGCAAATAAAGAGGTCAGCGTCCTCAGTAAATAATAAAGGGGAAGGGGAAAGGAGGTGACATTCTTCAATAAAGCACATGGAAAGGATCCTGGGAGCTTGGAGTAAGCTTGAGAAACATGAGGGGAAGTCATCAGAAAGAGAGAAGTAGGATGGTGTTGTGGAACAGAAACCAAGGATGATGGATATATACAGAAAGCAACATCAGAAGTGCTGGAGAATAAAAATAAAACTGTGGCTGTAGGAAGAGCCAGTAGACACAGAAACTAGGCATCCCAGAGGCAATGACACCCAGAGTCTTGGCATGGGGAGCCTGGGTCAGTAGGGAGTATGGGCAGGCACAAAAGTGTTAGTTTCAGAAACACATGAGTGAGAGGAAAGAAATTCCACTCACTGGTAGAAAGGGGAAGTACCAGGTGTTTTAGCAAAAGCAGAGGGATCAAGGGGAGCAGGATTAGGAATGTGGAGTGAGGCACACCTGACTTGAATCCTGACTCAACCCCAGCAAGTAAGTCCGTCTTGTTGAGTCTCGTAAATAACATGGCTTGGGGACACTTACTCTTTAGGTTTCAGAAATAAACTGAGAGCCATTAAAGCACTGTATAGTATGGGAGGGATTCAATAGACCAGAAGAACAAGATTTCTTCGGACTATTTATTCCTTCCATTTACATGATTTAAAAAAAAAATTACACAGCTTTTCTTTGGAGGTTTTGAAAGGAAGGAGGGAGAGAAAATGGGAGAGAGGAGAGTAACTTGCTCAAGAGAGAACCTGGGCTTCTCCAAGGGCAGGGAGAGCCCCTACACACACCCCAGCATTAGACATGAAAGCATGAAAGCACACATCTCAGGAGGGGAGATGCGAAGGACACATCAGGCACCACATGTGCTTGCTAGGAGGGCACAAGCAGCACATGGGCTCAGGCAGCATATGCACCTCCGTTTACATGATTTTAACCAAGCAATGCCACTTTAATAATCCTGATCTTAACTCCAGAACTGAGACTGAACATTGAGGCTATCTTTCTTTCTTTCTTTCTTTCTTTCTTTCTTTCTTTCTTTCTTTCTTTCTTTCTTTCTTTCTTTCTTCTCTCTCTTTTCTTCCTCTTTCTTTCTTTCTTTCTTTCTTTCTCTCTCTCTTTCTTCCCTTTCTTTCTTTCTTTCTTTCTTTCTTTCTTTCTTTCTTTCTCTCTCTTTTCTTCCTCTTTCTTTCTTTCTTTCTTTCTTTCTTTCTCTCTCTCTTTCTTCCCTTCCTTCCTTCCTTTCTTTCTTTCTTTCTTTCTTTCTTTCTTTCTTTCTTTCTTTCTTCCTCCTTCCCCACCCCCCCTTCTTCCCTCTACCTCCCACACCTCTCCCTCCTTTTTTGGCGTTTGTATCTTTCTTTCTTTCTTTCTTTCTTTTTTTTTTTGCTTTTTTTGGGTCACACCCGGTTACGCACAGGGATTACTCCTGGCTCTTCACTCAGGAATTACTCCTGGTGTTGCTCAGGGGACCATATGGAATGCTGGGAATCAAACCTGGGTTGGTCGTGTGCAAGGTAAACACCTTATCCGCTGTGCTATCGCTCCAGCCCGTTTGTATCTTTCTAATCACACTTGTCCTTGTTGTTCCAGCTTACCACTCCTCTCTGCCAGCCCACCGTGGATGACTCTGGCCACAAGGATGTCTCCTGTCATCTCATGACGCTTGATAGTTACTCCCTGGGGAGACAATAGATCCACCTCTTAACTTCCACAACCATTTGTCTGGGAGCTTTCCTCAGTGTAGCTCTGGTCATTCAGTTGAGGCTTTTCATACCCACTTGGGTCATCCCATTCCACAAAAAAGGAAAACATTCTTAACCTTGACCTTCTGAAGGTTCAGTTCAACCATCAAGATATAAAAGAATATTTATATCCTTCCAGAGAGAAAGAAAACTCCCATGATTACAACCTAATCAAGAAAATAACTAATGCATTAGTTTTCCATTCACAGAGGAAAAGATTTTGGCAAATACATTGGATTGTGTGAAATAAATGTATACATTAGAGAGTCAAATAATAAAAGTAATGTTTTATGGGGCCAGAGTAGTAGTACAGCAGGTAGGGTGCTTGCTTTGCATGTGGTCAACCTGGGTTTAATCCCCAGAAACCCATATGGTATCCTGAGCACCGCCAGGAGTAATTCCTGAATACAGAGCCAGGAATAACCCCTGACCATCACTGGATGTGGCCTCCCCAAACACAAAACCAAACAAAGCAAGTGATTTCTTATTGCTCACCAGTCTCTAAAAAATTCAAACGTTAAGGGTCCAGAGGGATAGTACAGCACATAAAGTAATTGTCTTGCATGAAGCTGACTCAGGCTCAATCCCTTAAGCCCTCTGATGAGTGATCACTGAGCATAGACCCAGGAGTAAGCTCTGAGTATCTTTGGGTATATCTCCCCCACAAAATATCAAACAATAAACAATACTCTTCCCCTTGTGAAGACACTCCAACATATTATGTGTTTGAAATTATAGGCAAATATCATTATGATATAATTTAGTCTTTCTTTTTCCTAATCATATTTGTCTGTTTATTTATTGAGGTATCATAGTTTATAAATACTATTGAAGTCACTGTCTTACTGTTCCAGACTACTGCCCCAGTTCCTCCCCCAGGGTTTCAATATCCCTCCACTGTTATCTTACCCCACCCCCCACGCCCACCATCACCCTCTACACCCCCCATTCCACACCCCAGCCTGCTCAGTTGGCAGTTCTGTTGATCGTGTCTCAGGGGTTGTTTGCACTGGGGTCTGTCTAATTCTGCCCTTCGTTTCATTATTCTCTGCATGTTTCCCCTAGTATTTATCTCACCTGGTATTTATCTTTTACTTTCTGATTCACTTCACTTAGCATGACACCCTCCAATTTCATCCAAGCTGCAGCAAAATACAAAATTGTATCTTTTCTCCATCTAGCCATTATTATTATGAATTCCCCTCACATTTTATGAATGACTCAAATCATATCTGATCACAGGCAAGAAGATTGCCCAAGTAATTTCTAGAGATTATTTAATTCACAATGAGCCATGACATAATTCCAAAGAAAAGAATATAATTACTTCCTTACCAGAGGCTGTTGGTTTTTCACGAGACAGACAATTCTCATGGCTTCCTCACTCTCAGGGATATTGTCTGGCAGTGGAGGGAGAATGGGCTCAAAATCTTTCTGGGCTACAGTGTCATGGGCACTAAGTAAGGCCTGGGAAATAGAAGGAAAAGATGGACAAAGGTCACAAGTGGGATGGGCACTGTCATATAGGAGATGGTGACTCCATACTACATAAGATATAAAACCACCACCAACACAGACATCTGGGCACATAGTAGTTTATGTAAATCAACTCAATCTTTCCAACAACCAAGTAAGGCATATGGATTTACTCTCTCCATTTTACAGATAAAGAAATGAGGTGCAGAGAGCTAGAGCAATACAGTAGATGTTCTTTCATTTGTGCTAAAATATATTGTTCTGTCATTTTCTCATTTCCTGGAAATGTACCTAATCTATGGTACTCCTATTTGCTTGAACCTTTGCAATATTTTTCTTAATTGAGGCATAATGGGGTGTCATTAATTAAAACATCTTGCAAATTTATCAGTAATACCTGAGGGCCCATGTGGGAGATGATTAGGAAAAGGAGTTGCCTGGGGAAGGGTACAGAGATTTCTAAGGTCTCAATGTATTAAATTTTCATTTTGTGGTTTGGGGAAGCATGTCAGAGCTTACTGAAAGAGCTTCACTAGAATTTAAAGAAAATTCTCTAGGGTAATCCTGTGAACTAAAACTTTGGACTCATAAATTTCATTGTTTACAGATGTAGATTTCTCTTAAAATTCTAATTTTTTGATAACTTGATTCCAAAAGAAGAGAGAGGTTTCTGTAATTGTTCCTTGTAAACCCCCTCATAGAACTGTTCATGATTATATTATATATTCCAAATACCTTCACCCACTTTATCTAAAACTTCAAATACTCCCAAGTTGTAGAAAAATTATGTTACTCTGATTGCCCCCAGAATTTTAGATAGACAAAAACTTTTTGGGAAAACAGACACTGGAGAAAGTTCTCAAAAATGAGCATGACTTCTCATAAATGTGTTGAATGTTCCCCAGCCATTCAACTGCTGGGTCCACATATTTAGGTCCCATCTGTTGATCGCTCTGGTACAAAGAGAGGACATCTCTTCAGAGACCATCTTTTTTTTTTTCACACTCATTACACCTTCCTAACTTTACCCATGTGCCAAAAGAATGATGTTTTTTTTTTAATTTTTATTAGTGAAACACCATGAGGTACAGTTGTAGATTTACAATTTTTTGTGTTTGGGTTTCGATTATACAATGATCAAATACCCATCCCTCCACCAGTGCCCATTTTCCACCACCATGGATAATATCCCTCCCACCCCCATCTCCCCCATCCCACCCTGCCTCTGTGGCAGGGCATTCCCTTTTGTTCTCTCTCTCCTTTTGGGTGTTGTGGTCTGCAAAAGAGGCATTGAGTGGCAAACATGTTCAGACCATAGTCTACTTTCAACATGCATCTCCCCTGCTGGGAGGATCCTTCAAACACCCTTTTTATGGTGCTCTCTTCTCTATCTGAGCTGCCCTTTCCCCTAGAATGCCCGGCTGGCCTCTAAGCTATGGAGTAATCCTCCTGGTGCTATCTCAGCTATTCTTGGGTATTAATCTCATATTTTGTTACTTTATATCCCCCAGATGAATGCAATCTTTCTATGTCTATCCCTCTCTTTCTGACTCATTTTTCTTAGCAGGATACTTTCCATATTGTACCACTTGTATGTAAATTTCATGACTTCATCTTTTCTAACAGCTACATAGTACTACATTGTGTAGATGTACCAAAATTTCTTTAACCAGTCATCTGTTCTTGGGCACTCAGGTTTCTTCCAGTTTCTGGCTATTGTAAAGAGTGCTGCAATGAACAAACAAGTGCAGATGTCACTTCGACTATACATTTTTGTCTCTCTGGGATATATTCCCAGGAGTGACATTGCTGGGTCAAATGGGAGCTCAATTTCTAATTTTTTGAGAATCGTCCATACTGTTTTCCAAAAGGGTTGAACCAGTCGGCATTCCCACCAACAATGAAGGAGTGTCCCTTTCTCGCCATATCCGCGCCAACACCGGTTGCTTTTGTTCTTTTGAATGTGGGCTAGTCTTCTGAGGTGTGAGATGGTATCTCATTGTGGTTTTGATCTGCATCTCCCTGATGATTAATGATGTAGAGCATTTTCTCATGTGCTTTTTTGCCAATGAATGATCTGTTTTAGCCAGCACTTACCTTAAAGTGCGGACCCTGGAGGATTTGCCTCAGCTCTTGGATCTCAGGGGAACTATGGGTTTCATGTAATATCTCTGCAACCTGGTTGATAAAATGAAACATCTGACTTTCGGGGTAGTATTAATCACCTAATAAACAATCTAGATTGGATAACAGACACACTTATTTTTTAATTGAATCACTATGGATTACAAAGTTACAAAGTTATTTATAATTGACTTCCAGGTAGACAATGTTTCAACACCCATCCTTTCACCAGTGTTCACTTCCCCCCCCCCAGTGTTCCCAATTTCCATTCCATCCTCCTTAGCCTGCCTGTATGGCAGGCACTTTTTTCTTCTATTCCCTACCTTCCATCTTCTTTTTTAAGTACTGTGGTTTACAATACTGTTTCTGATAGGGTACCTCCTTTCAGTAGCCCATCCTCCTCCAGGGTGATCACTGCATCATTGTCATAGTTGGATAACAGACACACTTATTAGCCAGGATACTAAGACCTAAGAAAAGTTTTACTGAAACCTTCTTTTTCATTTTTAAAGTCAGTAACCAGAAAATTTCTTATTAAATCAAATTTCCTACAGCAGGTAGAATCCATGATTAGGGATGGACCCAAACTTTATTGTACTAGTCCTGGCATCACAGGCTTGGAAAATATCATAAGATAATTTTTGAATATCATATGCACCAAGACACTTTCCTTAGAGAGTAAAGTACCTGCTTGATAATTTGAATGCTTTGTGGGCTGAATAACATCCGAGTTTCTCCAGGTACAGGTTCTAACTGAAGAGTTCGGGCAGTTTCATAGCCTGGACTGACCCACTACTCAGTTGGAAAATGGAAAGAGTAATTTATATTTTAGGGTTTATTGCTTTATTAGTTGTTGCAATAAAAAGTGCTAAGCAGGATACATTCTGATCTCTTAGTTATGATTTAGGTGTAGGCTTGCTTTCTGACAGGTTATAAAACCTTTCAAAATTTTTATCAGTCCATGAATCCTCATGAATCAATGAATCCTCACCAATCAAGCATCATAACAAACAGACAAGTGAAGCAAATAGTTTGCTAATAGGGATATTGGTGGTGGGGAAATGTACACTGGTGGAGCAACGGGTGTTGGAACATTGTATGACTGAAAATCATGAAAGCTTTGTGACTATCTCATGGCTACATGGTAATTAAAAATAATTTTAAATCCTTATCATTCACATGGAATTTAATTCTAGAGAAGAGATGTGGACCATAAATAAAATATACATATAGCATCAACATATATTTACATATATAAGTCTGCACAAGAAAAGCTTCAGGATGGTGAGAAAAGTCAGGAAGAACTCTAAAAAGCAGGGAAGGTGGCGAGACAGGGAATGCTATCAAGGCTGCAATTGTAGACAGGGTAGCTAGGGTGAGTACTCCATGAGAAAGAAGGTGACACGAATGGAAACTAAAAGGAGATGAAGAATCAGAAAACTATTTGGACAAAGAACATTCCTGGCATAGGGATTGGCAAGTGGAGAGGGCCTGCCTGTGGCAGGAGCATGTTTGGTTAAATAACAAGGGGGCAATATGTCTGGATCAGAGTGAACATGAGGGAAAGATGGGAGTAGGTAGGCAGAGGAATTATGGGGATCACAACACGTGTGGTCAGCAATCTAAGAATTTTCATGTTCACTCTGAGATGGGAAGTTCATGGAGTGGTTTGAGCAGAGAAGTGACTTGATTTTACTCACCTTAAAGAACACCATGATTTGGGGAAAACTGTTGTGTTGCAAATAGACAATTGGACAGAAGCAAGGGAGCAGGTTGGAAATGACATTGCAAGTATCTATATGAAGGAGATGATGATGAATATATTTTCAAGTTAGCATGGGGAGGCTTTTCTATCCATCTGAGGAAATGAGAAAAAGGGAGCATCAAAGATGAGCCCCATGCTTGTGGCCTGAACACTGGAAAAAAAGATGTCACTGCTGGGAAAGGCTGGGGACAAACAGGAGTGGGAGTGGGAACTCTATTTGGAACTTAAGTGTAAGAGGTCAATTGGACATATAAGTAGGACAAGGAAGGACAATGAAAGATAAAGACCTGAAGTTGATGGCGTCAGGCAAGAGATATAAATTAGTCTGATCTTGTTCACATGAATTGAGTCTGAGGTAAAGGAAAAAAAATAAATGGACACATACTGAAAATGGGGGGTTGTTTTAATTTAGTGAGCTCATGGTTCTTCTCCCTGTTAAAGCTGTTAGAAACCCTTATTAGATGAACCATCATCATCATCATCACTTCCAATAGAGTCTTTTATTTGTTTAGAGTAGAATAGCTTCACATTAAAGCTCTAGTAATGATTGAATGAAAATTTTCCAATCTCAAAATAAATAAATAAATAAATAAATACCAACCTCACAGGACAAGGCCTTTGCATGGAGGCTGTGGGGAATAAATTTCTTTTCTTTAAATTCTTGGAGGCAGTCATACACCTAAAAATGGACACAGTGGGAAAAGAGCACAGTGGTTAAGTGGGCCAAAGGGAAAGAAGAGTGTGGGCAATGGCACACGCAGCCAAGTAGCATAAGTGTGCCAGCTTTAGAGATATCGCTAGTTGTTAAAGACAAGGAAACTTGAACATGCTCTAATGCTTCAGATGCTATTGGTTGCCACTGGGAATTGATCTTTCCCAACTAATTTTATTAGCAAAAAGAAACTCAAACTTTTGTTATGAGTGGGGTTTCCTGAAGGCCAGAAGAACTGGTCCTTAGTTGGAGCTTGCTATAGAGTGAGAAAGGAATTAGACAGGAAAGGAACCACTAACGACAATGATAGCGAAAGTGGTCACTCTGATCAAGAAATGATAATGAAAGGAGGTAGAATGACATGCACGATACCCTTTCAGTTACAGTACTGCAAACCACAGTGCCTAAAAAGAGAAAAGTAAAGGAAAGGCAGCCTGGGGGTGGGGGGCAGGGAAACTGAGGACATCAGTGGAGGGAAGTGGACATGGGTGAAGGGATCAGTATTTGAACATTATACACCTAAAATTCAATCATTAATAATATCTGTAACTTTGTGATTCAATTTTAAAAATGTGGGGTCACCAGGGCTGAGGCCAACAGAAGTTTGGGGATAAAGTTCTCTGAGCATCTGGATCCTGAGCAGTTGGGCAGGGCCTGGGGCTCAATTCACCCAACCATCTGGAAAAGGGGCTAAAGACTACCCAATTATTTGTACTCTGCTCTTACATAAATGTTTGTCTGCTTTTCTTCACTTAATTATAGAGTGAAAGTTCATTTGTGAAAATTACAACTTGGTCTCTGTAGATCAAGATCTTTGCAAATGTTTTTCTAGTTTAGGACAAGACTTGAGAAGAGTTCGCCAAAACCATTCCATCTCCACAGTATAGCCTTAGTTTTGTTTTAGGACGCTCATTTCTCTGGCAAATGGAGATAAGCCCTGTTTTTCTCCATCTAGGTCTGGGATCATGATGCTTTCCCCTCTGGCTCAATGCCAGAGCCTGCCCATATCTGGATGGGCTGATGGACCTGTGCTTGGAGTACAGGATACAAACAGCCTGCCTAGGTGAGCAAGGGCAATGCTGAGACATTAGCCACCGACACTCCTGTTTTAGCTAATCCCTAGAAGAAATAGCTGGGGCGGGGGTGGGTGGGGGTGGTGTGCCACATTTATAATTGACACATAATCTTATGTCAGTTTAAGGTGTGCGACACATTGATTTGACACATATACATGTGTGACCATAATGAGATCAACACCATCACTTCACATATTACGATTTGTGTGTGTGTGAGAGAAAGTGAGAGACAGAGAGAGAGACAGAGACAGAGACAGAGACAGAGACAAAGACAGAGAGAAAGAGAAGAGAAGGAAGGTGGGGGTGACAACTCTCTCACTATACAATTAAAGATCAATTCCTTTAGCAATTTTCCCTTAGCAAAAAAAGTGTATACTTCAGCAGTGATGCGAATGGTCTCTATTTGGACATTAGATTCACCAGAAGCCATCTTATTTTTGGAAGATTGTACCTTTTGATCAGCATCTTCCCACCCCCTAATCCCTGGCTTCTACCAACTATCTTTCCACACAGCATCTGTAAGTTCTGCCATGTTAAGAGTCAACATATACCTGAAAATAGTTTTTGTCTTTTTCTACCTGACTGACTAGACTTAATGTGATGCTCTCCATGTCCATCTATGTTGTGGCAACAAGAAAAATGTTCTTCTTTCCTGTGGCTCAATAATATTTCACTGCATATCCCTCTTCTAGGTAGACAGCTGAAGGAAATGAAAACATTACCTCTGAGAGGTATATGCAAGCTCATTATTCACATTAGCTGAGATGGGAAGAATTCATGTGTATAACTATGGATGGCAAGATAAGGAAATCGGTGCTCAGTGGATGGCTTAGTGACAACATGAGGTATGTATGAGCACTGCAACTAATGCATGTGACCTCACCCCACGAGCACAACTAAGCAATATGTGAACACTTGGTCAGGAGTGGTGCTCAACCGAGGGTCACACACTTTCCCACCCACAGTGTGTGTGGAAACCACTCGTCCAGATCTGCATGATCCTGTTTTCACAACAGTGAAAGGAAGGGTAGAAAAAAAACAGATTGTGCCATTTCACAGCATAGTAGTCATATATCTTATACCAAATATATATTTTTTGTGAAAGAATGGGGTGTGACTATTTGCTCGAGCGGGCCCAGTAACATCTCCATTGGAGACTTTGTTGTTACTGTGTCTGGCATATCAAATACTCTCGGTAGCTTGCCGGGCTCTCCGAGAGGGGCGGAGGAATCGAGCTCAGGTCGGCCATGTTGGCCGCTTGTAAGGCGAACGCCCTACCCGCTGTGCTATCGCTCCAGCCCCGGGGTGTGACTATTACATGAAATTATTTCATCTTTTTAAATAGTGCTGGTATTACTTAAAAGCGGTACTTTACTACAATGTAGTAAAATGAGATACTTTAAAAGAATGGGAAAAAATGGTGTTTCAGAAGGTGTTTGGGGGAGTACTTCTTTGCTTATACTAAGAATATTGCCACATTTCTCTTATTATGTTTTATTTTATTTACTTTTGGTTTGGGGGCCACACCCAACAGTGCTCAGGGACTAATTCTAGCTCTGTGCTTTGGGGGCAGAGTATTGGGTGCAGGGGTGCAAACCCGACTTCCCATTTCCAGGCATGCTTTCAGCCCTTTGAGCCATCTTCCTGGCCCCTTTTAATGGCTAAACTATTAGCTTGCATCATGAGGCTGACCAAGTTTCTTAAGGATACATCATACCCCTTAAAATAGCTTCAAATGAAATTTCTTATGAATACATTTGCTCAGAGGAAGAATATTCTAGTAGATAGTGGATGCTAATAGTGCAAGAAATTTTAGTAAGAACAAAAATATACCTTCAGACTAAAATTTGTACCAAAGTATAAGTTTTAAACAAGATATCTAAGTTTTATTCTGACACATAGGTGATAGTGCGATGGTTAGAATACACGGGTGGCATGCACCTGACCTGGGTTCAATTCCCAGCACTACATGGTTCCCAGACCATCACTGGCTGTGGCTAGGGATACCCCCAAACAAAAATATCTTACATGTAAACAGAATTATAGATCCCTTGAGAAAACAAAGAGGAATCCTTTAGGTAAGCATTTCATTTGTCCTGAGTGGGCTTCTGTTGACAGTTGATAGTAAAGGTGCAGGGGGAGTTGCCAGAGGCCACTGGTTTACTGGGAAAAGAAGGGAAAAGAAGGGAGCTACAGTGCCTTTTTCATGGATGTGAATTCCTTCCCAAGCTCTTCTTAAAGGGCTGCATCCCTAGACCTGCAGGTTCAATTCCCTTCCACTGGCCACAGTCCTGGGTGTGAGCAGTTTCTGTGGAACCTGACCATGCACAGGCTGACCTTCAGCAGTGCCTGCAGCCAGGGCGTGTGAAGGAGATCATACAGCAGACTCATACCCATCACGTCACGACTGTAGAACAGATCCAGCTCCTTCAGCACAAGCCTCAGGATTTGGGAGAGTCCTAGAAAAAGGAGATGACAGAGATGGGTACTGGATGGGGTTCAAGTAAATGTGTGAAAGGCAGCTCAGTCAGGACACATCACACGAGGTTCATGGGAAGGGCAGACACTGGATCTAAGCTCAAAATATTCCTGTAGCAGTGCTGTGGAGAAGTTAGTGTGAACTTGAAGTCACACAACCCTCTGACATGCAACTTCCTGGGGAGGAAGGATGACATGATGGTTTTCCCACAGCCGGTGAGGAACTTTCAGCAGAATGATAATCCCAAAATTCAGCTGGAGGATAGCAGGAGCAATATAGTATATTGCTTCACCCCCCCCCTGCAATTATCTAGTGTTTTCTTCTGGACCCTCCTCTTTTTATTTAGAAAAAGATAATTCATTATAATCATCATTTCTTCCCCTATCTGAAAATTTCTAGTTTGTGATTGGAAACCCTCAGTGTTTCTCATGCTTATCTTGGGATCCCACTGGATAAAGAACAAATTTTAGTAAACGTTTGATTTTATTTTTACAAACATTTCTCAAGAACTCTATGTGTTACAGTGATACTTGGAAAGTGAACAAGTTATGAAGATTTAAGTTTAACCAAAAAATGTCATGGGGTAGGAAAAATATGTGTTAGGAATTCACCACATTGAGTTTTCCATCTTGCCTGGAAAATTGCTGAGACTTACAACTGAGAGACTGTAGGGAGACAGTCAACAGTATGAAAAGCCCTTACAGGAATCACAGTAAACCAATCAGAATTTCTGCCCATTCATTTGGTCATATACATGCTTTAGTTAGTTGTTTATTTTTATATTTATTTGACTTTGGGTCACACCCATTTTTGCTGACTGCTACATTCAACTCTGTGCTCGGGGGTTGTTCCTGGTGATGCTTCAGTGACCATGTGGTGCCAGGGATTAAACTAAGAGATCTCGAATATTAAGCATGCGCTTGACCCATGGAATGATCTCTCCAGCCCTTAACCACATGTCTAGAATGATCTTCTAAAACTGTCTGGTCTGGAAAAGGAGTCCTGGAGTCACATACCATTCTCTGGGTTGGCTGCTGTAGAAAACTCCATGTACTTCTCAGATGAACCTTTGGCTTTGTCTGACTGTGTCATTCTCTCTGCTCAAGCTTCTAGAAAGAGTTCACAACTAAGAAACAGATCAATAAACATCATCACAGGGCTCGCTTAACCACAGCAGTCAGGCAGCTCTTAGCACACTGGGATATATTTTTCAATAGCATTTTCTGAGCCACACCAGGCATTGTACTGCACACAGGAATCCATGAAACTATAAAACAGACCTGCCTTATATATTAACCATCCTGAAATCATTGGCTGTGTGAAAGGAGAAAACTGCTACTTCTTCAGATACTCCACCTAACTCTTGAAAAGCAAATGATGTATTTCTTTTCTACCTCTGTCCAGACTTGATTTTGTTCCCTCTCTACAGTCTTTCATGACCCTGTTATGGGTTGCTGTTACAGCACAATCTTTAAGTTTACTTTCTATATTTTCAAGAAATAGAAACCCAAGACAACAGTGGATTAGGAAGGTGGAATTTTATAATCTTTGAGCCACATTCAGTATTTTGGAAGGCAGGGGGTTACTCTCAGTGGTGCTGGGGGGACCATGTAGCATTGGGGGGTGTACCAGGGCTCCTTCACTTGAGCCCTGGTCCCCAGAAATTTCTATTTTGCTTTTGCAAGGGTTCAGAGGCAGAGATTATCCATTTTAACAGCTTACATTGAGTTCTGAAAACAGGGCTTGCCTGTCCTCTCAGGTTCCTGTGGCACATTTTCTTTTCCTTAACTCTTTTATTGGATCACTGTGATGTAGACCATTACAAAGCTGTTCATGATTGGATTTCAGTCATAAGTATTCCAACACTCATTCCTCCACAAGTGTACATTTACCAGCACCAGTGTCCCCAGGTTCCCTCCCATCACCCCCACCCGCCATCCCTTGCCTGCCTCTATGGCAGGCACTTCTTTCTCCCTCTCTCTCTCTTCCTTTCTCCCCCCCCCCCCCTACTACCTCTCCCCCATTTTGGGCATTGTGGTTTGCAATATTAATACTGAAAGGTTATCAAGAATATCCCTTCCCTACTTTTAACCCTCAGATCTTGTCCAGCATGATCATTCCCAGCTATTACTGTCATAGCGGCTCTTCCCTATCTTACCTACCCTCAGCCCCACACACACTTGTGTGGCACATTTTCTATGCATTGAATCGTGTTCCTATCCAGTTCATATGCTGAAGTCCTAAGCACCCAATGTGATGGCATTTGGAAAAGGTCTCTGAGACATACTTGAGATCAGGTCAGGAGAGTGGGTTCCCAGGTGGGTTGAGACAATTATCTGGGAGGCTGAGTGCCAGCTTTGCCCATGGAGCCCTCAGTTCCATTCCAGCACTACAGGATCCCTGGCTAGTGATGGGAGTGGTCTTGTGCATGATGCAGTGTCCCATGCTCTCTGATGTGCAAATTTTCAGAGAGCACACTCTAGCCCAAAAAAAGGCTAATTCACTTTGGGGCCAATGATGTAGCTCAGTGGCAGATCACCTGCCTTGCCCTGGTCTGACAATAAAAGAAAAATGGAGGGGCTGGAGCAATAGCACAGTGGGTATGGTGTTTGCCTTGCACATGGCCAACCCGGGTTCGATTCCCAGAATCCCATATAGTCCCCCAGGCACCGCCAGGAGTGATTCCTGAGTGCAGAGCCAGGAGTAACCCCTGAGCATCGGCTGGGTGTGACCCAAAAAGCAAATAAATAAATAAATAAAGCTTCCACATGTGATTATTGTCCTAAAAAAGAAGAGACTCCAAGATTGGGGGATAGCACAGGGTCAGGGGCATATGCTTTGCAAGTCACTTTAGGATCTGAGTTGTTGATTCTATTATTTCAAAAGGGTCTCAAAGCTACCACTCCAAACTCAACCCTGGTTCAGTCTTCAGCCCTTGCAATCCTAGGACAGCTTTGTGAACTCTCTAGCATGCAGAGTTCGAGGATATCCTCACCCTTTTGTTGAATGATCAGGCCTGGTTGGCTGAGTAGCAAATGGATCCTGAGCCCTCTGAGCACTGTTTGGGAGTCCTCCTTCTTTCCTTGTCATGTTAGGATACAGTTTTCACATCAGGAAGAGGGTCCTTATTAGAACCCAATCATCTCAGACTTGCAACATCTACCTCCCCATCCAGGGCTCTGGCAGCCGAAGAACTCCAGAACCAGCCACCACCATGCTGAGACCACTCTCCATACGCATGAAGGTACCGGCAGAGGAACAAAGGCATGCGGGTCCCGGGACTGAGATCTCCAAGCCTGCTCGGATCGGGGCTGAGCATTCTTCACCCAGATCCTCCATATTCCAGTAGGCAGTGGTCACACCCACCAACTGGCCCCCTGGCGCCATTTAATCCCATCAACGGCCAAGACCCAGAGACTATAAAACCCAGCTCCCAGAAGCGCACAGCCGCATTTGCGGCTGTGCAACATCCTGTTATCTCATTCTTACTTTGGACAAACTGGCAGGCTTCCAAATGTAACCTGCCCACACGGCAGAGTCTGGCAAACTCCCTGTGGTGTACCCAATATGCCAAATACCAGTAACAAGGATGGGGCTCATTCTCCTAACCCTGAAAGAGCCTTTAATGTGGCACTTTTAAAAAAATCTCAGGGCTAGGATGAAGGAGACGTTACTGGGGCCTGCTCGAGGCAATCGATGAACAACAGGATGGTCATGATTGTCGTGACCTCCCCAATTGTGAGAAAATGCAGTTCTGTGGTCCAGGTAAGTACCCGCACTCATAGTCATTTGCTGACAGCTCAAGCTAAGACAAAAGATTGACAGAAGGAATACCCAGAAAATAATTCCCCTCCCTTCATTCAGGCAGTTAGAGAAAACTGCTGTCAAGAATTATCCTCACAGACCCCGAGTTTTCACCCACAAACAGCTCCTCCTGCTACTTATTGAGCTCCTGAACGGCCGTGATCCCAGAGGCACACAAGTCGAACTCAGAATCCAGCAGCTTTTGGCAGAAATCCCTCTAGACTTAATTACTAAAATATTAGAAATCCAAAATCACATGGCCACTATCGCAGCCACGTAACATCATATGCTCATCATAATCAGTAATAGAAAATAAATTATTTAATGATCCCTTTTCAACAGGTCTGATTATTGGGAGAAAATTCCAAATAATAATGGTGGGTCTTTTGTCGAAATAGTAAATGTAATCAAAGTAGAGAGAGAGTAAAGTGGAAATCATTTGCCACACAGGCAGGGGGAGGGGTGGAATGGGGTATACTGGGGTTCTTGGTGGTGGAAAATGTGCACTGGTGAAGGGATGGGTGTTTGATCATTGTATGACCGAGACTTAAACCTGAAAGCTTTGTAACTGTTCTCACGGTGATTAAAAAAAAAAGAGAGAATTATCCTCACAGCACTTCCCAGTTCTTGCACCTTACTCTGCTCTGGGTCTAGCTCCTGTGTGGGTCATGCATTGGAACCTCTGCCTCCTCCCTGTCTCATACTCCTGATCTGCACTCTCTTCCTTTCAGACTTTGAAATTTGGAGCTACAGTTGATCTTGACCTTAACTATAATCAGTAGAATAGGTAGCAAAGTTTTTCCCTCATTGATATAATGAGTCCTGGAAGACGGTATGTTCTGGCTAAAGATTGTGATGTCTCTTCCTTGCTTGCCTTTTTCAAGGCTCAGCACTGTCAATGGAGACTCGCCTATTTCTGCTGTCTTGTGAATGAGAATTCTTGATACTGCAAGTAAATGCCAAAGGCCATTCTGATGTTAGCATGGGAGGAATGGTCAGTCCTGATCATAACTTAGAAGCTGCGCTAGGATTAGTAAGTCCTAAGAGATCTGACCATTAGAAATCACTATTTCCACAAAATTTTTTAAAAGTTGTGATTATTTTTTATGTCATTCCCCATCCCTATTATGCCTTCCACGATAATTTCTGCTAGACAAAGCCTGACCTAAAACAGCACTCAGGAATTTGGAGAGTTGTAAATGGCCTGACAGCAGGCTTCCTCCGGGGCTAAATGTTGTTGATTAAGCAATTTTATTCTCAAATTTAATCAGTCTTCATTACCCCATACTTAGTGGTTTCTCAAAGGAAAACCCACTCTTTGTAAACATAAAATTCTCCATATAATCTGGGTTACCATGAAACTATTTTAATTATTCAGAATTATAGCTTTAGATATTAAAATCTGGCTGAAGAAATAAGACATTTCCAGATCCCTTCTAGTAACTGAGGATCATTTGGCAAGGTCTCTTACCTGCAAGACTGCAAACATGCAATGTTGTTTTTGCCCAGAAAAATCCTTTAGTTCAGTGCTCTTCACCCTTTTTCTACCCACAGACTGGTACTTGTCCTGCATATGGGTCCATGGGCTAGCAGCTATGATCACAGTGGTATTCCAGCGATTTCCAACCTTCCTACACCTGCGGATCTATACTGTTCCTGAACCAGTGGTTGAAGATCACTCACCGCTTGATTTGAAAATACTAGTGGACTTTCATCTGCCAAAGTCACCTCCCTGTCTAAAAATCTCTGCATATCCTCTTAATCCATGGAAGCCTTCCCCTCACAAATCTTCTTAAAATGGATTTACGTCTAATTTACATAGTTTTCATCTGTAACTTTAGTAGGTTCTTTCTGAAACTAAACAGTTAACACTAAAACCAGTGAATATTTTTATTGCAGTTTCAGAACAGTGGGCACTCCGCAGAAGATGGTATGTCTGTCTGAGTAAAAGGGAAATCTGTGGGTATATCTGAGACCTATTAACTTCAGGTGAGAAAATTATGGAATACTCTTCAGTCAATAATGGCTAAAAAATTCCTCCAATGTCTGCATGAAACCCTATCATTAAGGGTATTGTAAGTTGGGGCCAGAGAGATAGTACAGAATGTTGGGTGCTCACCTTGCATGTGGTCAATGGGGTTTGATCTCCAGCATCACAATGTTTCCCTTGAGCCTTCCAGGAGTGATTCCAGAGCACAGAATCAGGAGTAAGTCCTGAGCACTGCAGGGCATGGCCCCAAACCCAAAAACCAAAAAAACCAAAGTATTTTAAGTTACAGTGACCAAATTAAAAAAAAAAATTCCCCCTTAAACAAAAAGTTAAGAAGTTCTTTCTGGAACAAATCCCCTTTTAATACGCCATTCTCTATGTTGGGTTTTTTTTTTTTTGTACACTACTCAATGAGATTTTGCTCGAGCAGGCCCAGTAACATCTCCCTTGGAGACTTTGTTGTTACTGTGTCTGGCATATCGAATACTCTCGGTAGCTTGCCGGGCTCTCCGAGAGGGGCGGAGGAATCGAACTCGGGTCGGCCATGTTGGCCGCTTGTAAGGCGAACGCCCTACCCGCTGTGCTATCGCTCCAGCCCTCGGAGAGCCCGGCAAGCTACCGAGAGTATTCGATATGCCAGACACAGTAACAACAAAGTCTCCAATGGAGATGTTACTGGGCCCGCTCGAGCAAATCGACGATCAACGGGAGGGCCTTTACCTTTTTACCTTTACTCAATGAGAACAACATTTGAAAGAAGGTAGAACAGAGAGGAAGAGAAAGGGTACCATGAACAGTAAGGCAAATAACATGAATTACACAGGCCAGGAATGTGATACATTGGTGATTGGAGCACAGCACTTTTTATTTACCAAAACCACCTCATTTTAGGTACAGTTTCCCTCCCTCCCTCCCTTCCTTCCTTCCTTCCTTCCTGCTCTGCTCTGACAGTGATCTTAAACAGCTGCTGGGGTGCTAAACATTACTGCTTAGATACAGTACTTTCCCGTTCCACGAAAACTATAAAAAGTTCTTTTTGGGGGCGTATGCGGTGGAAAGGGCCAGAGGCTGCTCCCACATCTGATCAATTAACCAAAATGCAGGTCAGCTTGGGTCCTTCCTCCAGTATATTAGGGCCACTGGTACTGCTCAGGGGCTTCCAGGGATATATCTGGTGGGTTAGGGGATGGTGGGGAACATGTGCTGCAAAGTATTTGGGCTTGACCACTGAGTTATCTCCCAGACCCTGAATCCCGGGGCATAAAACTGTAGTTTTAATACACTAACAAGTACTCAGTATGAAGAACTTAACCAGTTTCATTCAAGCCTCCAAGGAAAAGCTGAATCTTTACTTTTTTTTTTTTTTTAGCGAGGCCCACAATCATTTGCAAAATTTTTCATGGTTACATTTTTACTTGCCCACTTCCACAACTAGGCTGTATCTCTCTCCTTTTAGGAGGCAGGGGCAAGGAAGGGGGCAGTGGTAGGGACACAACCCAGGGCTCAAACACAGGAAGCACGAAATTTAACCTCTGAAAGACACTCCTGCCCTTAATTTCTCTCTCTTAAAGGGATTAAAGACAGTCTGCAAACCAAATGTGAAATGTATGAGTATTTATTCAAAAGTCAAAATAATCCCTAAAGGAAAGAGAAAATGTCTAACCCAAACCATATCCTGTGTTGGTGCATACTGAAAAACAGGCAAGCACCTTCTGGTAGGAAGTAACTCTGTGAGGTCAAACTTGCCTGATTACCTGGGAGGTAAGTAATTAATGCTCAGTATTCCTAAACAGGACTTTATCTTTCCTGGAATCTGTTTAGGAGAAAAATAACCAGTAACAAGCAACATCCACATTTTATCCAGCTAAACATTTCTTTAAAAACTCTTGTCCTCAGGTTATTAGAACCAGAAAATTAATGTGTTCTTTGTCAGCTAAGGTTCTATAGTTATAAATGTACATTTATCTTAAAGAGAATGATCTCTTAGAGGAAACTCTGAGGCCAAATATGAGGAAACCTGCATTATGATGTAGTCAATAACTACATAAATGTATTTATTAAACATACATATTTAAAATAATCTGGGCTTATTTTATTTTCCTGGTGGACTTATTAATTTTAATTTTTATTAGTGAAACACCATGAGGTACAGTTGTAGACTTACAATTTTTTGTGCTTGGGTTTCAGTTATACAATGATTGAGTACTCATCCCTCCACCAGTGCCCATTCTCCACCTCCAATGCTCCCAGTATCCCTCCCATCCCCCATGCCCCCCATCCCACCCCACCCCTGTGGTGGGGCACTCCCTTTTGTTTTCTCTCTCCTTTCGGGTGCTGTGGTTTGCAAAAGAGGCACTGAGTGGCAATCATGTTCGGTCTATAGTCTACTTTCAGCATGCATCTCTTGTCCTTGGAGGATCTTCCCAACACCCTTTATTTGGTGCTCCCTTTTCTATCTGAGCTGCCTTTTCCCCTAGCATGTGTGGCTGGCCTCCAATTCATGGAGTGAAACTCCTGGTACTTATCTCGGCTATTCTTGGGTGTTAGTCTCCTATTTTGTTATTTTATAATCCAATCTGTACTTATTTTAAATGTTCGGGTGCATCCTTATTTTTGCAATTATAAAACCACCCCATAAAGATGAATATTCTTTTATTATGAAAATTGCTGCTACATTACAGCCAACATTCCGAAACAGTATTTTAATAAACACTTATCCTGATTATAAAGTAGAGCAGAAACATGATCCATTTATTCAAAACTGATTAACATTTGCTGAAGCTACCCTAATTCAGAAGGACACTCCATACGCTCACCCTGGTGTAGGAGATGAGATGAGAAGAGCACCTATGTTATTCAAAACAGCTACTAGTGTTACTTGGACAGTATAAACCAACCACTTACAATAGGGCATTTTAAAAAGCCAAAAAGCAACACTAAAATGGTGAGGTGTCACACAATACTTCTGGGATGGGGAAAGCCATATAGCTTATTTCCTTTTCTTCCCCTCTGTGATTCAGTGCGAGGTACAGGGAAGAATCACAACACTAGGTCATGGGTGGATGCAGTTCTTCACATCCATATGTCTCAGCTTTATCTAATCCCAAACACAGCCTGCATGCAAAAGCTCTTCAGACTCATTCACAGGCTTGAAAAACAGCATTTGCACATGAAGGAAGAAGTCCCATAGCAGCTCTGAGTCAGTGTTTGAATTCCAGTGTAATGATCACTTTTGTAGCATGGAGAGGAGCCCAAGAATAAAATTCTTGTGCGCTTTCTGGTCAGGAGGCAGAAGACTCCTATTTGATGTGATCCATGTCTGGGGTCAAGGTGTGGTAGTCACTACATAGAACCTCTCCCATCATGAATACCCTGGTGGAAAAGCTTAGAAAAAGTTAAAACTGCAGTTTAAAGTTCCTCTTCCTCCTGCCCTTTCAGCAAAGAAGATGCACACATCATTGCAAGGGATTTAGGAAGGCGTAGTGTGGCTGCTTGTAGTTTCAAGTACAATCTGCTCCTTGCAAAGGGATCTGTGGTAACTGCAGGCAAATCAGAATTTAGAAATTCAGATATCCATCAACTTCTTTCATGTGAGAAGCCATACCAAGAACTTTTCTTAAAATTTTGAGTAGCTGGCATATTCTTTACTGTAGGAAGGAATATCTTCAATGGATGAATGATATTTTTGCAATTTAACATAGGCCAGAGACCAGCCAAGTTGACTTCTACTTCCTTATCAAGTCTCCCTTTAATTATACAGTCCTTTTTTCTGGGCTCAGGGCTCATTGGTAAGGCTCAGAAGTAATTGCCAAAATAAAATGTTCTAATTTCACTATCACGACAGGAAGACACCAGATGGTACAGTAACTTTAACCCCCAAAAGAACAGATAATCTGGTTGTCAACCTGTAATGCAGCCTAATTAAGCTTCTCACGCTGGATCTGGTAGTAACACGCCTGGAAAAAAGTTCAAAACAATTTCAAATTTACTTTGAAAGAAAATACATGAACAAAGCAATTCACATGGGCAAGGGATTTTTGTTATTAATTACTCATGGCTTAACAAATTAAGTTGCTGTTATTTTTCATTTTTTTCCAGTTCCATGCATTGCCTAATTTTGCCTAGTTGTAAGTAGTAAAGGTAAAATTTTTTACTATCACTAATTCTTAAACTAACAAGTTTATGAGTTCTATAATCTTCACTAATACCATGATTTGCTAATCCATGATTTATGAGATATTTAGAATAGACTGAACATTATAAGGCATACTTATAACAATTATAATTAGAATCACTATGTTTGATAGACATGCAGATTAAATATTATTCCAGAGCTAGTGAGTCATAATTTTCAATAATGCATTTTTAAGAAGCATTCCCTAGAGATTCTGAAAGTGTTCAAATTTGGGAGTTAAATTAAAAAGAACACCTCAGTCAGATAATATTTTCCTTTCTTTAATGTCTTAGAATAAATCTTCAGAAGTGGGATTACCAGTCAAACTCCACAAAAACTCTTTATTGTACTGATACAATGCTGTAATATTTAAAAAGCTGCTATCTAATCCATTACCTACAATGTGGGAATAAAACTGATTTTATTATAATCTTAATAACAGTCACTGTCAGTCACAGTCCTCCCGTTGTTCATCGATCGTTTCTCGAGCGGGTCCAGTAACATCTCCATCGTGAGACTTTGTTACTGTGTTTGGCATATCGAATACATCAAGGGTAGCTTGCCAGGCTTTGCCGTGCGGGTGAGATACTCTCGGTAGCTTGCCAGGCTCTCCGAGAGGGGCGGAGGAATCGAACTCGGGTCGGCCATGTTGGCTGCGTGCAAGGCAAACGCCCTACTGCTGTCCTATCGCTTGAGCCCAATCTTAATAACAGTAGGTATAATTTTAAAACACTTAATTTAGCAGGCACAAAATGGGACCTTGTTTCAATTTGCATTATTATTAGGTATATTAAATAGTGATACAATAGTATGTGATACTATAGTATACTTTTAGGATGTTAAGAATCTTTTTTGTGGGGCTGGAGTGATAACACAGCAGGTAGGGTGTTTGCCTTGCATGCAGCCCGACCCGGATTCAATTCTCAGCATCCCATACGGTCCCCTGAGCACGGCCAGGAGTAATTCCTGAGTGCATGAACCAGGAAAACTCCTGTGCATCGATGGGTGTAACCCAAAAAGAAAAAAAAAAAAAGAATCTTTTTTTGTTTTTTTCTCTAGAGTTACACTTGTAACACTCTACCTTTGGGTACTGACAGTACCTGTTCATTCAAATACTATCAATAATGTTCTAAAGACACAAAATGGTGCTAGAATTTTATATAAAAAAGAAAATGATTAATGAGATTTTTATAATGCAAGATTTATAATGAGAAATTCAGACTTGAAATCTAAATTTAGATTTTAAAGTGTTCAGTAACAGTCGATTTACCTTCAAGGTAGTAAACATTATGCCCTGCTCTCCATGTTGAAGATAGGGGTCCATCAGATCCTCAATCAGGTGTACTTCAGAGCCCAAGTTCCTAATCCTGCCTCAACGAGAAGATACACAGTTATTTCCATTTATATGTGCACCCTCCTCTGAATCTATTTGAAAGTTAAAGAAAAAAATACTTCAATCAAAAGGTCATACCAAACCGGAAGAGGTTAAAGTGAATTTTCTCCCATGAAGAAATATATTCTTGTCAATATATTCTTGTTCAGAAAAAGCAAGGGGAAGGGCTGGAGCGACAGTACAGTGGGTTTGATACTAGGTGCCCCATATGATTCCCTGAACCCGCCAGGAGTCTCTGAGCACAGAAACAGGAACCCTCCCCCCAAAAACAAACACCGCCCCCCCCAAGAGCTAGAGTTACTAGTATTAAAATTGGAAAGGACTAATCACCTGGCCCGTAGCACCACATATAAGAAAACAGGAAACAAGTCATCCATGGACCATAAGAAATCTTCCTGAAGTGATGCCAGAACACTCTGAGAGATCTCTTCAAAAGTCTGCTGGATGACTTTAAGTTTGTCTGACGGGGTAAATGTTGTGCTGTGGCAGAAGAGAAAGAACTAATTACCTTATAGTTTTCTTTATACAGTCTTTTGATGTAATTTTTGACAATATACTCTCCCAGGATTCTAATGCGCAAAGCTGGACATATCAGGCAAAACTAGTCATTAGAAGAAAGGGCTTTTGAGAAAAGCCTTTAGCTATCTACGGTTTAGGTGGAGGAACTCACTAATTCAGAACTCACCTTCTTTTACCCATGTGTAACTGTATTTTCCTAATATATGCTCTTTCCTTGTCAAGAAAGGGTTATCTAGGGGCTGGAGCAATAGCACAGTGGGTAGGGCGTCTGCCTTGCACGCGGCCGACCCGGGTTCGATTCCCAGCATCTCATATGGTCTCCTGAGCACCACCAGGGGTAATTCCTGAGCGCAGAGCCAGGAGTAACCCCTGTGCATTGCCGGGTGCGACCCAAAAAGCAAAAAAAAAAAAAAAAAAAAGAAAAAAGTTTTCTCATCTCGAACTTACCATCTAGTATGACTATCTAGGGGTAAAAGGAAGGTTGGCACTTAAGAGTTTAGGTAAAAAAAAAAGATTTCACTGGGGCCAAAGATATAGACCAAAAGTAGAACACATGCCTCGCACCCTCCTTCTGGATCACAAGGTCCTAGGGTTCAAATCTAGAGTCAGAGGCAGGGGTGAAGAGATACTACAGGAGTTAAGGAGCTTGCCTTGCATCCCACTGATCCGAATTTGACCTCAGCACCTCAGGAGGAGGAGGAGGTGGAGGAGGAGGAGGAGGAGAAGGAGGAGGAGGAGAAGGAGGAGGAGGAGGAGGAGAAGGAGGAGGAGGAGGAGGAGGAGGAGGAGGAGGAGGAGGGAGGAGGGGGGAGGAGGGAGAAGGAGAAGGAGGAGGAGTGAGGAGGAGGAGGACGAAGAGGAAGAAGGAAGGAAAATATTTCATTTATATAATAGGGTAATTACTATTTTTTTTTGTTTTGCAATGTCAAGGGATTGAACTCAGAGTCTACCACATATAAGACAAATGCCCTACCACTGAGTTACGTCTCTGGTCCCACTACTACTTAGGTTTTTGAAATTTTCAGACAAAAAAGAAAGTACCTGATTTGCTGCAGACATTCTACAGCTGAGGCAAAACAAGCATCTTTTGTGGTTGGCAAAACCTATAAAAAGACAATAAAAGTGGTTGAGGAAATCTACCTATGTAGTACCAATAATTCTGATATTGATGGCATGATACATGTCTTTTGTGAATAGCTAATGCTTAATACTATTCTACCAAAGTAAAATTGAATATTTTTTCTTTCACATCAGGAAAATGCACATTTGCTGGAAAAACAAATCTACCATACCTTTTTACTCTCTCCAAGAATTGACAAGGTTACCGGCCAAAATTTCCTACAATAGAAATTTATTCAGAATTAATACAAATAGTTACTTTCAGTAGATTAAATCCCTTAAAAACAGCAGGTGACTATACTAGTTTCTTTCTCTCCACTTAAAATAACTTTCACAGTAAGTTTTTATTTTTTAATTTATTTTTATTATTTAAAAAGTTTTTGTTTTGTGCTGTGCTCTGGATTTTTTCTTGGCTCTGTGCTCAGGGATCACTCCTGGCTGTGTTTGGGGACCCATATCTGATGCTACAGATACAATCTGGGTAAGCCACATGCAAGGCAAGTGCCCAAAGTCAAGATTTAATAACATTCCAGACGTAATCTAATAATTTTACCATGCTTCCTCAATTTTCTAATAACCTTACATATTTGGCTATTACCAAGCATTGGCCAAATTTTATGATTAAGTTTTTTTCAGTCGTACAAATAATTACTGAATGGTGGGTAAACAACTTTGTCATGGCATTAAAAAGAAGGTCGAAACACTTTGCATGAGAAACAATTCTTCACAACAAAAAAGAGCTAATTAGCAACAACAAAAAAATAATTCTAAAGTAGAAATCATGGATGAGAGAAGGTAAGAATACCAAAGCAAACAATACATAACATTTTCTGAGAATGTGATTTTTTTTTTTTAAGGAGCTGCAAAATATCAGACAGAATAACATTTGGTTTCTGCACACATGTAAATAAAACACACATTCAGGGCCATAAAGATAGACTAATGGTTAAGGTTGCTGCCATGCATGCAGCTGACCGAGTTCAATTCCTAGAACTATATAAGGTCCTCTGAGCACAGCTGAACACAGATCTGGGAGTGACTTGGAGTGGCCTCATAACAAAACAGATGCACAAAAGCCAAAAAAAAAAAAAAACCCAAAAAATTAAAACACATTCAGAAGAATAACCAGGTAGTATACTAATCTTTTTAAATTCTTAGAAAAAAAATAAATATAATTAACTTGCTGAATAAAACATACAGGCAACTACATTGCCTGCACGAAAGCAAACTACAAAACATATAGTTACCAAAGAATCGAATTCAAGATGATGTTGCCTGTATTTTAATTAAAACCATTTGATCCTGTTAATAAGAACAGTACTTACCTCTGTACCCCAAGAAAGCCCAGAAGAGCAAGATCAGGCTGCTTATTTAGTCGCAGAACACATTCCCAGTAAATATCTTCTTCACGATCATTATCCAGGGCATAAAGCATAAACAGTGGTGGGTAGAGCCGAGGTAGTAACACAGGAAGCAATAACCCAGAACTTGTTACCACGTAACTACAAAATATTGGGTTGAGGAGAAGCATCAATATTAAAACTGAATTCAGAATCAATAATATAACTTCAGTTTTTAGAAGTGGAAAGCAAAACACAGGGAAACGTAAACTAGGAGCAGTTACTGTACATACAACTCTTAACATATAGAATTCGCATGAGGTGTTTACCTCATGTTATCAGTGTTTTACTTTGGACCAATTTTAAATTCATTTCATTAATTAAAAATCTAACTTAATTTGCTTCCACTTCCACTTTAAAGCTGATTTCTCTGTGAGCACTAGGTCAACTGGGTGGTACTTTGCTCAGGTGTCTTTGTGCCCAGTCACTGTCATGGAGATAGGCTAATTCAACTTGATACCTAAAAGAATCTTGAAGATTTCTTCGCCCCACCATATGATTCTGGAAAACAGAAGTTGGGATCTAGAAAATAAAACAACTTCCCCTGAAATTCTGTAGAATTCCCCAGTTTTTTCCTCTCTCATCTCCAGTCAACTCCATTTACCCTGGCTCTGGCGATTCGGATCTGGAATCTGACTTCCCCGTACAGAAGGATTTCCTTTCAGTCGGTAGAGGAGCAGAGAGAGGAATTGTGCTGCCCTCTTCAGGAAGTTCAGGAAATAAAAACCTAAGTAAAAAATATATTTAAAATTACACAAATATATGGCAGAGAGGCTGAAAAGAGTAAAACTACAGTTTCATTATCTAAGGATCTATGAAATAAAACTTTGTATAAACCAAAAAATTTACCTCCATCAAACTTATTTGTTTTTTGGTTTTGAGCCACACCTGGTGATGCTCCTGGCTCTGCACTGTACTCAGGAATCACTTTTTGTGGTACTTGAGGGATTTGATTGTACACTGGGGATTGAACCCAAGTCACCTGTGTGCAAGGAAAGCTTCCTGCCTGCTGTGCCATCTCTCTGACTCCTCCCTCAGATTCCTAACTTGTGTTTCTTACAGGATCAAGCTGAGTGTGTGTGTGTGTGTGTGTGTGTGTGTGTGTGTGTGTGTGTGTGTGTGTATGGGGGAAGAGGGGAAAGGAACGGGGGAGAGGGAGAGACAGAGAGAGAGAGACAGAAAGCGCGTCTGGTGCTGGGATGACTAAAATCCAATCATGAGCAGCTTTGTAAAGTCTTTCTCATAGTGATCCAACAAAAAAGTTTTAAAAAAAGATGACCCAGAATTGCAAAATAAATAAATAAATAAATAAAAAGAAAGTACAGGGGTTACGGCACTTTTCTTGTACTGTCTTCAGTTAGATCCCTGGCACTGCATATATCCCTGAGCACCCCGAGTAATCCTAGCACAAAATCAGAAGGAGCCCCTGAGCACTGCTGGGTGTGACCCCTGCTCAAATATTGAGCATGTTTTAGGCTAATGAATAATACCAGTAGAGAAAATCTTCATGAGCTGAGCTCTACTGAAAATTTGCACTAACTCTTCAAACAGAGACCATTATTTTGATAATATACTGAAACATTAGTTAAACGATTTAAGCATACACATTAAGAATAAAAATACAATTAAAAGAATTTTATAAAACAGTTTTTTGGAGAAAAAAAAAACCTTCACAAATGATTAACAGCTAGGTAGTTGAGAATTTTTTCCTCCCAAGCCTTGAATTTTACCTAAATTTTCTCTCTGGACTCTTATACGCAAATAGTGGGCTCTATCATAAACAAGTTTATAGTTAACAGCTTGCAATCTCCTCTATTTCATTATGCCTATCTAGCTAATGTTGGAGCTGAAAATGCTCCCAGCCCAGTGATCTCCTTAGATCACACTGCTTTTTCAAATGTAAAATATTTCCAAATGCTTTTTATTAACTTAGAAGATAAAAATATAAGAAGTTTTCTGGGACAAATTGATAAACTTCTACATAATTATCTCAAATAGTTACTAGCTAGGTTAAACCAAGTAAAAGAGAACAAATTTCTAAGTTCCAAATTCACTTGTTGAAAAACTTTCTGCGAAGATGCTTATTTTTTGGCTTTATCCCTCCTTTACAGTCTGTGCTCAGATATTACCTTTTATACAGGTTTCTGAATTTCCTATTTAAAATACCATCCCATTACGGTTATTCAATAAACTTAAAAAAAAATACCATCCATCATCATTTCCTCTGACACACTGGAAATTTCATTTATTTTTTCTACTACAATGTGAGTCCGTGAGAGTAAACTGATGGTAGGACAGTGGGGGGTCTGTCAAAGTATGGGGCATAAACAATGTCAAAAACTTGCTTCCACCATTTAATCCATTTGACAACCTTTGGCACAAAACCATTTTCAAATAAATAAGTTCTGTGATAAAGTGGAAACAGTAATGATTCTTTGCAAAGCTGTGCTCCCTAGACTCAGGCTGAAATATTCAAACACTAAAAAAAGCTATTTCACACTTTGCAGACTTCAAAGCTCTCTTACCTCACCAACTGGAAAATTCGCTTAAGGTATGACTTAATCTCCTTCACAGCCTCTTGTAAGAGCCTGCGGTTGGCTCCCACACCCACATATGTCATCCTATACACGGCAACCAGTGTCTCCATGAGCCTGCCCAGAGGGTGCAGAGGCGTATCACAGGCCTGAGCAGGAAGAGAATCAATAGTCAGTCAGAGCATTCTATGAGCAAACTTTGTAAATAATTTATTTTACAAACAATAAATAACTTTCACAGTATCAGTGAAAATCTACATGTGTATATAGTACATTAAGTTCATTACTAGAAGTCCAGTTCTACTTTTTACCACATAATTGTCCTTTCTGTATGAAATTTATATAATATGTTACGTCACTAAAAAAGTTTTTGGGGGGTTTGTTTTGGGACCACACGTGGCAATGCTTAGGGATGAATGCCCAGGATTGAACCTGGGTCTGCCACATGTAAGGCAATTATCTTACCAGCTAAATTATCTCTCAGGATTTTCAATTAACAATGTCTTAATAAACACACTCACACAAAATGTCAGGAATCAACATCTGAACCAGAAAAACTCAGTTACTTATTTTTTGTAAAGTATTGTGTCTATCCAAATAACATATATTCCTAGTCTCAATCATAGAATTTTCTTAATATCTTGGTAAAATAAATAGCTTTGGGCGTACTGCTAAAAAAAATAAATCACTGTAGGAAAAGTTCTATCATACTTTAAATTTATACTAAAAGATAAAAAAAATGTTACTCCGGAGAAAACTATCTAGCTAATACTACTAATATAAAACTAATTAAAGACCAGAGGTGTGGTCTGGCAGTAGAGAACCTGCCTGACATTGTGAGGTCCTGGTTTTGATCTCTGGCAGCATCCAAAGGAAAAAGAAAGTCTATAAAGCTCTGTTTCAGTTTTTAAGAACTTCCTTGAACACTTAACAATATTTACAGTTCTGGTGTTCTAAAAGGATAATTTTTGTGTAGGAAAGTACATTTAGTATAATAAGTAAATTAACAAAAGAAATACTTCGACAGTGAAAACAAAACTAAAAAGTATGAATATATGTGAATGACATGGTGCCAGATGCATCATTAACTCACATCATTAACTCAAGTTAATGACAAACCACACCGCTGGCCCGGTGTGTGTGTCTTGCCAAGGATAAAACCTAGGGCCTCATACATACAAAGTCCATGCACTCCCACAGAGCATATCACTGCCCCAAGACCAACATAATTTTCCTTCCAGTTTACCTTTATTAAATATTTCTTGATGTCATCATATTTCTCCACAGAGAAAGCACCAACATGCTGAGGAATGAATTCTAAACTCTCCAGGGTTTGAGTCTGTGAACGACTTAATATCTCTGGACTATAAAAGGGCGGAAGGAAGCATATTATATATTTCACAACAATAAAGCAAGATTATTGTAATATGCACCTGAAACAGTCACCATTTAGTAGATGACCGAGCAGGTGGTGTGATTTGCTCATTTTATCACAAATCAGAAGTATATCACTGACTTTTAAATTAAGTTATACATTGATATGAAATGTGGCGATCCTTGTATGTAGGTTTTAAGTTTCATCTTCCTGATGCACTCTGCTCTCTTCTGGGCAGACTCTCAACTCACCTGGCCCGGTGCTGGCGCCGACTGGTGGTTAGGGCCACAGCAATGTTTTCCCAGGCTTTCCAAGCTTCCCCCTGGCCAGGGACGTCACAGCCCAACTGACGCCAACATTCATCAAACACAGCTTTCCACTTCTCATCAGCAGGCACTGCCAAATTTCCTAATTTCCTGCTAATAAAGTCATGTCAAGAACTGATCACTTCTTTTGTTAAAAATAAAAAGGCCAATTTTATTAGAAAATCCTAAGAAATTTCCTAATATGTAATTAGATACAAGTCTTCTAGTGACTAAAAGTAAGTCCTAGATTAAAAATTAGATCTATAGTTTGTAAAGATATATACCCGATAACCTTTCAGTATTTGTATTGCAAACCAAAAGGCTGAAAAGGAAGGAGGGGTGGGGAGAGAGATAGGGAGGGAGGGAGGGAGGGAGGAAGGGAGGGAGGGAGAGAGAGAAAGGGAGAGGGGGAGGGGCGGAATTCACAGGCCGAGCTCACACTGTGCATGCAGAAGGCCTGGGTTCAGTCCCTGGAATCACATGGTCCCCTAAACACAGAGCTGGGAGTAGCCCCTAAGTAACACCAGATCTACCCCCTCAAACCAAAACACAAACAGAAAAAAAAAATTGACAAAATACACTTGCTATACATTTAAAAGTATAAAAGCAAGACAAGTGAAAAAATTCAGTAATTAGTCCAGAACTAATACTGGTTACTCACAAAACTTTGGGTTTGTCTTTATCACTCTCATATAGACTGGGCTTGAAGTAGCTTCCAGTGATTTTTATTCCAGATCCCCACTCTCCACTGAAGTAACCTTCAATGTAATCTCCATTTGGCATAGTCAGTGTTCCCTAGGTAAATAAGAGAAATGTGGAATTAGAGAAAGTAGTTCAATTTCAAAAATCCAGAGAAAGAAAAAAAAGCACTAAGTAGTTAATATTTACCTTTTGAAACTTATTCTTAACCAGTCCTAAACTCAAATACAAACAAAAAATGAGGGCCCACATGCACGCGTAAAAAAATGCATGAAAATAATTGCGGTTTAAAAGAAAAAATGACAGGAAAAATAAAAGAATTGTATTTTTTTGGTTTCTGGGCCACACCTGGCAAAGCTCAGGGCTTCTTCTGGCTGTGCTTAGGGAACATTCCTGGTGGGATTAGGGGACCATACATGGTGCTGGGGGCCAAACCAGAGTTGGCTACATGCAAGGCTCTGCTGTACTATTGGCCTGGCTCCAAAGGGAAAGATTCTGACTAAATAAAAGGAACATATAACTTACCAAAATTTATGCAGCACTGTTAAGTCAAATATACAGCTGAAAGCATTTATGTTAAATTTTTTATTCTTGGGGCAAGATATGATCCCTAATACCACATATGGTCTCTTAAGCACCATCAAGCTTAATCCCTGAGCAGAGCCAGGAGTAAGTCCTGAGCACCATCAGTTGTGACACTAGGAGCCAAATATATAAGTGTGTGTATACATGTATATGTATGCATACATTCATGCCCTTCCCTGGATCTCAGGGACAAACTTTGTTATAGACACTTAAAAAAAAAAGCATAAAATGACGAAGTCAAGAATAAAATGGGGAGCCAGGATGAAGCTTGGTGGCAGAGCTTTTGCCTTAAATATATATATATATAGAGAGAGAGTAAGAGAGCGAGAGAGAGCAAGACAGAGTGAGAGAGAGCAAAAACGAGAGAGCAAGAGAGAGACTGGGTTCAATTCCTGGAACTGGAAAAATCAAAACCAAAGAATCTTTAGTTTTGAAAAGAATCTTTCTGGCTTTTTTTTGGGGGGGGGAGGTGGTGTTCAGGGGATTGAACCCAGTGTGTCATAGCCCAAGTCAGTTTTCTTTTAAATTGGCAAAAGAGCACATTTGAGAGAGAAGAAAGTTAGTTTCCAACCTTTCCACTTAGAGTCCAGTCATCTGAAAATTCTCCCTCATAGATAGTATCATCTTCAGAAAGTAACACTCCGTTTCCCTAGGTAAGAAACAAAAGTCACACATATTAAAAAAAGCAGAGTAAATTAAAGTAGATGCAGCCAATAGCCCCCCCAAAACCTTAAGCAGTACTAAGCAGAACATTAATAGATGATTTAAACAGTGAAGGACACTGGGGGTATGGTGCCGCCAGCAGGTTAATTTGTACCTGTGAGGCGAGTGCATCAGCAGCCTGATGGTGCCTTCAGACTTCCTGATACTCCAAAATTGCTGCTGTGCCTTTGGCCAGACCCCAAAAACTTGGGGCAAAGTTTACGAAGAAAGTAAATGGCCAAAAGTTAGGTATGTGGGAGATATACCCACAAAACACCTTCGGCTCAGCTATATAATTTGAGGCATGGCCTCTCTGGTTCCTGATCGAACGGCTTAACGACCATGATCCCAGAGACTCAGAAACAAATCTCAAAACCCAACAGCTTTTGGCAGAAATGCGTCCAGTCCCTGCAGTAGGTTACCGGTGCTGGGCCAACCCAGGTGGGAATAGGTTTTGTACCTTGGCCTGTTTCCCCTGGTGGCCCGGTGGCCGCCATCCTCCAGAGGCCACTGGACAGTCAGGTTTTAGCCTACAGTGACGAGACAAGTGGGGCCTCATGGGATTGAAGTGGAGCTGGCCCTTTCCTCCCCATCCCAACGAGACCCTGAGTTGCTGCCCATGAATGGCCTCTCTGGCTCCCGATCAAGCTGCTTAATGGTCACGATCCCAGAGACTGAGAAACAAATCTCGAAACCCAGCGGCTTTTGGCAGAAATGCGTCGGGACCGCGTAGTAAGTTACTGTCGTCAGGCCACCCCAGGAGGAAAAGGGTGCTGTCCCTCCACCTGCTCCCCCTTGGTGGCCGCCATCTGACAGAGGCCATTGGATAGTCAGGTTTGGGCCCACAATGACGAGGCACGCAGAGCCTCATGAGATGGGTGTGGAGCTGGCCCTTTCCCTCCCACCCCAACGAAATCCTGAGTTGCTTCCAACGAATGGCCTCTCTGGCTCCTGATCAAGCCATTTAATGGCCATGATCCTAGAGACTCAGAAACAAATTGCAGAACCCAGCGGTTTTTGGCAGAAATGCGTCCAGTCCCTGCAGTAGGTTATTGGCGCTGGGCCACCCCAGATGGGAATAAGTTTTGTGCTTTGGCCTGTTCCCCCTGGCGGCCCCATGGCCACCATCCTTCAGAGGCCACTGAACAGTCAGGTTTGGGCCCGCAGTGACGAGACACGCCTGGCCTCATGGGATGGGGGTGGAGCGGGCCCTCTCCTCCCCCGTCCCAACTAGACCCCGGGTCGTCGCCCATGAATGGCCTCTCTGGCTCCTGATCAAGCTGCTTAATGGCCATGATCCAGAGACTCAGGAACAAATCTCGGAACCCAGCAGGTTTTGGCGGAAATCCCTCCAGATTTAATTTTTAAAATTTCGGAATTTCAAAATCACACGGCCACTGCTGCAGCCATGCAACATCATATGTTATTCATAACCAGCAATCGATTTGCTCGAGCAGGCCCAGTAACGTCTCCATTGGAGACTTTGTTGTTACTGTGTTTGGCATATCGAATACGTCACGGGGAGCTTGCCGGGCTCTGCCGTGCGGGCGAGATACTCTCGGTAGCTTGCTGGGCTCTCTGAGAGGGGCGGAGGAATCGAACTCGGGTCGGCCATGTTGACTGTGTGCAAGGCAAACGCCCTGCCGCTGTGCTAACCAGCAATAGAAAACAAATTGTTTACTGTTGCCTTTTCAGCAGATCTGAGTGTTGGGGTAAAATCCCAAATAATAATGGTGGGTCTGGTGTAAAAATATTGAATGCAATCAAAGTAGAAAGAGTAATGTGGAAATCATCTGCCCCACAGGGAGGGGAGGGTATGGGATGGGGGTATACTGGGATTTTTTAGGGTGGAGAATGGGCACTGGTGAAGGTACAGGTGTTTCATTGTATGGCCGAGACTTAAACCCGAAAGCTTTGTAAGTGCTCTCACGGTGATTCAATAAATAGAATCATAAAAATTTTTAAAAAAAACATTGAAAGACATAAGAATTCTAAGAGGTCAATAGTGATTCACTGTCACTGTCCTCCCACTGTTCATCAATTTGCTTGAGCAGGCCCAGTAGCGTCTCCATCGTGAGACTTGTTGCTACTGTTTTTGGCATATCCAATACGTCATGGGTATCTTTCCAGGCTTTGCCATATGGGTGAGATATTCTCAGTAGCTTGTTGGACTCTCCGAGAGGGGCGAAGGAATTGAACCCAGGTCGGTTGGGTCAGCCACGTGCAAGGCAAACACCCTACCGCTGTGCTATAGTGATTATATGCAAATATTCCACTCACCATCATTTTATTAAGGTGAAAGTTTCCTTCATAGTATAATCCAAACTGGGTAACTACAACACCATTCCCTTGACATACATCATCTTGCCACATTCCCATATATTTCTCCCCTCTGCAGAGAAACAGAAGGAAAAAGGAAAAGCAAAATCAATGACGAAAAGGTGAAGTTAAAAAAAAAAATTACCACATGGGAAAAACTTAGTTTAGTATCTATCCTAATTCTCTAGAGTGGTTAATTCTAAATCTTCAAATATGGCAGTACAACTGCAAGGCATTTTACTCAAAGCACTATTTTTTACTCAAAGCACTGTTTTTTTTTTTTTTTTCAGAATTTAATATAGTCTATCAGACAAAAATCTATATAGGCTCCATGTATTTCCTTGGTAATTTTAAAACATCGGTTTTGTTTTTGGTTTTGTTTTTTAGGCCATATTCTGGGATGCTCAGGGACTGTATGTGGTGCTGGCAATCACATTTGGGTCAGCCACATGCAAGGCAAGTGCTTTACCTGCTTTACTATCTACCTCTCCAGCCCCTATGTAATTTTCAAAAAGACAAGAATTTAGAGGCCAAAAAAAAAAAGAGATTAGTACCAGGAGGTTTGCTCTATGGCTTGGAGGCCAGCCACACATGCTAGGGGAAAAGGGAGCTCAGATAGAGAAGGGAGCACCAAGTAAAGGGTGTTGGGAGGATCCTCCCAGGATGGGAGAAGCATGCTGAAAGTAGACTACAGACCAAACATGATTGCCACTCAATGCCTCTTTTGCAAACCACAACACCCACAAGGAGAGAGAGAACAAAAAAAAGGGAATGCCCTGCCACAGAGGTAGGGTGGGATGGGGGGATAGGGGGTGGAAGGGATACTGAGAGCATTGTAGGTGGGGAATGGGCACCGGTGGAGGGATGGGTACTCAATCACTGTATAACTGAAACCCAAGCACAAAAATTTGTAAGTCTACCACTGTACTTCGTGGTGTTTCACTAATAAAAATTAAAAAAAAAAAAAAAGAATTTAGGGACCAGAGCAATAGTAAAGCAGATGGGGCTTTTGTTTTGCATGTAGCCAACTTGGGTTCAATCTCTGGCACCACATACAGTCCTCTGAGCAAATCCAGGAGTAATTCCTTAGTGCAGACCCAGAAGTAAACCCCCAACACCACCAGGTGTGAGCCAAAAACCAAAACCCAAAAAAAAAAAAAAAAACAACAACAACAACAACAAACACCCCAGGAACTTAAACTCTAAATAATTTCATTCAAAATGTAATAGGTAGGAACTTGGGAGATAGTACACTGTTAAGACACATGCCTGGGTTCGATTCCCAGCAACACATAGTATCCTGAGCACCAATCACATTTCTAGGCCAATCCTGGAGGCTCCCAAGCATTGCTGGGTGTGGCACTGCTGGGTATACACTGTACCCCCACACTGCTGGGCTGGTCTGGGTAACCTGTGCCCTGGACAGCCCAAGCACCATCACATCCTTGGGCCCCTGGGCCTCCTGAGCACCATTTAGGAAGCCAAAAATAAAAAAGAAAGAAATTTTTAAAAAACAGTAATAGGTAGAATCAAACCTATGCACATTTTTTTCCTTCTTTTGAACAGTTTCCACTATTTCCTAGACCTTTTGCTCCTATCATCACTTGGATGCAATAAATGTTTTTCTTTGTTATGATAAACATTTGAGACACTAGTTTTGTATATGTGAAGCTGAATTTTGAATGATACAAACAAGTTATTTTGGTTTAAAAAAAACTGGATAAAATAAAGCCTGATAATTCTGCCTTCTTATTAAAATTTTTCTATATACTGATAAGATTCTTGACCTTCATAGAATGATCACTGTTGTTGAAGTATAGGAAACTTAATCTTTCATATAAACTTTGAGATTTGAAGTGTAATACTATACCTAGTGATATCATCAAAGACACCATATCCTGCTTTCTTATCCATCACCCACTGGCCAATGAACATACTGGGAGAAGAGGAAGTCAATTTTCCACTTCGCAGAAGACCATGACCATGACGCATGTTATCTTGAAAACAGCCTTCAAACACTTCACCAGATGCATAACTGTGGTCAAAAATAATGAATAGAGAACACGGCATTGAATTCTGATACCCATGTTTACAAAGTCTATTAAATTCCAAACTGGATACCCATATCTCTCTAGTAACTATAATTATTACATGATTATTTTACACTAATCATAAACTTCACTTCTTAATTACTAAGGCTAATAAAGATATAATGTGTGATACTGGGTAAGATTGGAAAATAAAATGAATGTTCTCTAAAAGAGTAATAGGTTCTGTCCATAATTTGTTCATATTGTCCATATTTTGTTTTATTTGGAGGTCCCACCCAGCAGTGTTTGTGGCCTACTTCTAGCTCTGTGCTTGGGGGTTGCTCCCAACACTGGTTTGGGGACTACATTGCTTTGGGTGGTCCCAAACATCATACTCAGGTCTTCTGCATGTAGAGTGTATTATTTGGGAATTTAGGTATCTCTCCAGTCCAGGTTTTGTCCATACGAAGAGTCACACAATAATTACAAAATAAGGGCAGAAGCAGTAGTATAGTGGATAAGGCATTTGCCTTGCTGCCGGCTGGCCTGGGTTCAATCCCCAACAGCCCACACGATTCTCTGAATCTTGCCAAGAGTGATCCCTCAGCACAGTGCCCCACCTCCCCCTGGCCAAAATTACAAAATAAATTTAAAGTCAAGACATTTAGAGAATGCCAAGGACATTACAGTTAATGAGTTTTGTATATTTAGTTCAGAAAAAAATAACCCAATATTTATATTTTATGATAGATAAATAAGAGATATTCATTTATGCATGCATGTTAGTAATGGTACCCAGGCTTCACATTCGCAAGACTCCTCCACTGGGCCACATCCTCAGCTGGGTTAATCTTTAAAGATGAATTTATGCAGTTTCAGTAAGAATAAATTTTACTTCAAATTTTTGACTCTGCAAACATTCTCAGTTCATATATTTTTAAACAACAATGTCAGTACAACAATCTTTCAGTGTTGATTACCTATAGGTTCCCTGACCACACATTTTTCCTTCTTTCCAATGACCCACATAATGGTCTTCTTTGTTCAGTGCTTTGTTTGGGATTTTGTACTCTCCATACCTGCCACAGGACAACAAGAAAACATCAAAGGGTGCATTTATGACATACTTTTTTGTAGGTATACACCAGTAATAAGAAAAACAGAAAAAAAATTACCTATAGAAGGAAAAATAAATGCAATATTGATTTAAGCCTAGTTAGTATCTGAAGACTAACTGCTTAAATTGTGGTCCCATACTGAATGTAGAAGTAATGAAATTATGTTTTAAAATAAATTACTAAAAATAAAATAAAATAAATTACCGATTTATCATGTTACCTTGGGTTGTTAACCTATTTTTCATTTGTTTTGAGGGTACACTCGGCAGTGCTCATGGCTTACTCCTGGCTTTGTACTCAGGGATTAGACATGCCAGGCCCAGGGAACCATATTCTGTGCCCAGGATCAAGCCTGGGTCGGCCATGCGTGAGGCAAACACTCTACCCACTATACTATCTCTCCAGCCCCGGTATACCAATTTTATATTATCTGGAGTCATGAAAAAATTTCTTGGGTGCCTTTCTCGCCACAAACGATGCTGGCGCGGATGTGGCAAGAAAGGGACCCTCCTTCACTGCTGGTGTTCAGCCCTTATGGAAAACAATATGGATGAGTCTCAAAAAATTAGAAATTGAGCTCCCATTTGACCCAGTAATACGACTCCTGGGAATATATCCCAGAGAGGCAAAAATGTATAGTCGAAGTGACATCTGCACTTGTTTGTTCATTGCAGCACTCTTTACAATAGCCAAAATCTGGAAAAAACCTGAGTGCCCAAGAACAGATGACTGGTTAAAGAAACTTTGGTACATCTACACAATGGAGTACTATGTAGCTGTTAGAAAAAATGAAGTCAGGAAATTTACATACAAGTGGTACTACATGGGAAGTATCATGCTATGTGAAATGAGTCAGAAAGAGAGGGACAGACATAGAAGATTGCATTCATCTGGGGAACATAAAGTAACAAAATAGGAGAATAACACCCAAAAATAGCCAAGATAGGGGGCTGGAGCGATGCACAGCGGGTAGGGCGTTTGCCTTGCATGCAGCCAACCTGGGTTTAATTCCCAGCATCCCATCTGGTCCCCTGAGCACCGCCAAGAGTGATTCCTGAGTGCAGAGCTAGGAGTGACCCCTGAGCTTCGCCGGTTGTGACCCAAAAATCAAAAAAAAAAAAAAAAAGAGAATAGCCGAGAGAAGTACCAGAAGTACCAGGAGGTTTACTCCAAGGCTTGGAGGCCAGCCGCATGTCCTAGGGCAAAAGGCAGCTCAGAAAGAGAAGGAGCACCAAATAAAGGGTGTTGAGAGGATCCTCCCAGGATGGGAGATGCATACTGAAAATAGACCATGGACCGAACATGATTGCCACTCAATGCCTCTTTTGCAAACCACAGTACCCAAAAGGAGAGAGAGAACAAAGGGCAGGGGGGGATGGGGGGGATAGTTGGGGAATGGGAGAGATGCTGGAATCATTGGTGGTAGAGAGTGGGCACTGGTGGAGGGATGAGTACTCGATCATTGTATAACTGAAACCCAAGCACAAAATACTGTAAGTCTACAACTGTACCTCATGGTGTTTCACTAATAAAAAATTAAAAAAAAATGTCTTGGGTGAGAAGAGTTCAGAAGCGAAAAGTCTAGAAACCTTGATCAGAACTGAAGAATCTGGGGGAGGAGGTTATGAGTTAATAGTGGAGAGGTTGGTCTAAAAGCTCAGCAACTATAAACAAGGACATAAATAGTATTATAAATTGTGATACCTCAATAAAAAAAATTAAGAACAAACAACATTTTTTTATTTACTAAAGCTCTTGGGGAAGAAATGAAGTGGGGCTGAACATACTTTCTTTTTAAAATTGGCTGCATTTTGGGAAAAGTTCAATCCATTTAGCAACGTCCTTACTATTTATTCCAGCAACCGTTTGGACATTATAAAGTAAGGAGGGAACAGTACAAAATGATTTTTAAAATAAGTATGAATAAGTATTTGGAGGGTAAAGAACTAAATAAATATAAAAATAAAATAAAAAAAAAAGAGGCACTGACCTAAAACCATCTGATAAACATTAATGGAGTAAACCAATTAACCCCAGTACCTGGAGAGATTAGGCATTTTAATGGAAGACCAGTGAAAAACAAAAAAGCCCTTATTCCCAGGCCTATCTTTACTACTAATTAGCTAAATCCCTTTAAGTCTGGGTACCCAGTTCTCTCATCTGTATAACAATGGGGGGGAAAGGGAAGGATAAATCAGATACCTAAGTCTGTTCTCATTCTAAAATTCTATTCTAAGAATAAAACACATGATAAAAATTGATAAATTATACACAGGTCACCTAATCACTTTATACAATAAAACAGCTTTTGTTATTTTTTTTTGGGGGGGGGGCACTCCAGGTGGTGCTAGGAGTTACCCCTGGTGACCCCTGCCTCTATGCACAAGGGCTATTCCCAACAGTACTCATGCTCATTGAAAGTATGCTGCCTGCCTGCTGAATATGTCTCCAGGTCAATTAGAATAATGTTTTTGGTATAATACACCGAACTAATTCTTTAAAACAATGGAAAATATTTTATTCTAATAAATATAAAAATTTATCCTCAAACAATGTCATTTGAGTATCACTAGGAAGACATAGTAATTAGAAGATTACTCCTTTTACATATCACAGAAATAAAAGATGATTTTAAACCATTGGAAAGAAAATTTCTCTATGTCTTTGTGTAAAAGCAACAGTACTGTCATAATAGTCATACTAACCCAGTTTCTCAGCCTTCCAAACTGAAAAAGGAATAGAGAACTCCCATCTTATAGACGGAAAGCTGAATGACTAATCTGAGTTCATGACTACTGAAGTAAAAGATTCATTCTAGGTAATTTAAGATTGTAAATTCCTTGTTCTCTTTATCTTCCTATAAGCTCTAATATGCTGTATAGAGTTCTAAAAAATACCAATAAAAAATTCTACTATTTTTCTTGGAAATACTCTTAAATATATAAGAACATAATGCATGATTTAAGCTGAATATGTCCTAATGTTCTACAAATGTCTTACCCATCTTCCAAGCCATTCCTGAACATGCCAGAATACATCTTCCCATCTGGCCACTTCAAAATCCCTCTGAAAAGCATAAATCAAGAATAATAAAAGTCAATTCATGTATCAGATAGTCAATAATGTTTCAGCAATTATACTACCACCCTCATCCCAGGTATAAATCGTAAATACTTCTACCTGCCATGAGGCTTTCCTGAAAGCCAGCGCCCATCATAGGTTGCATCCTTCAGGCGAGGATCCTTGTAGAAAGTGTATTTGGCACTGCGAGATATGGGTGGTTCCTGCCGCTGAATACTGCTGCTACTTCCATACGGTGGAAGATCAGATGTGCCCCTCAATGCCTGATCCACAGCTTGGCAAATAGCCCGTAGCCACTTAGTCTAAGAGCAAAAAGAAAATGTCAATAAGCATAAAGTCATAACTCACTGAGCACTGCTTCGCCACTAGCTACCCTTGGCATGAATAATTTTTCTGTCATCTAATGCTTTTATGCTTTTCTTATTGAGCAATGCTAACTGGCTTTTGTAATTCATTGCTATATGTTTAGAATTAAGTCATATTTAAAAACAAAAACAGGACCAGAGAGATAGTGCGAAAGCTGGGATCTAGGAAGCCTTTGCTCAATCCCCATATGGAATGGTCCCAGAACACTGCACAAGTGATCCCTGAGACATGAGTTGGGGGAAGCCCTGGAGCACAACTTAGATGTGCACCCCCCACCCCTGCAACGACAACAACAACAAAAAACAAGTCTTGATTTAATGGTTTCTCAGACATAATGGTGGATTATTACCCAAGCAAGAACATTCCTTATTTCTTCTTAACTAACCAAAGATCAAAAGAAAACACCATGACACCATGATGGTCTGACCTTTTCCTGGGGTGTTGATGAAATGAGAGTGAACTGCTCCTCAGGTGTAGTTATTTTTAAGCCATTCCTGAAATATTCACACAGATGCATATTAACAAGTATGACATTATTGTTTCAGTCTTCAAAGAGAAAAGCAGCTTGTTTCAAGAGCAGTCATTTAAGTGTAAATGCAATCGTGCTCTGGTTTTGGTTCCCTGCAGTGGGAAAGGGCATAGAGTAAAGTGTCCCTGCGCTGAACAACAAGAATCTGCAATGCAGAAGTGTTACCAGACTCATAGATGACACCACGTCATCTCACTGTCTAGTGCTGAGAGGGCGAGCCTCGTTATGCAGGCTGGAGAGGCCTGCTGTGCTCTTGCCCAGGTGTGTAAAGAAAATTCTGAGCAACAAAGGGAAAGATCTGATGTTGAGGGTCAGAGGCACACTTACACACTACCAGTTTCTTCAGAAAGAGGTTCTGCCCATAGTGTGGCCAAAGGGAAAACATGGTGTGTAGAGAACTGAAAGAGAACATGGAGACACATCTCAGAAAGTCCATGCAGGTCACAGGGTCTCTGCTGTATAGCCCCCTTCAAATGGTTAAATCCACGGAGATGCTATAGTCTTTATTCCATAGGCAGCCCCAGTAGGCCTCATGGCAAAGATCTTTGCTACCAGGACCTCAACATGTCTAGGACCCCTTCATGTAGCTGATGCTATTTTCAAGTTAGAAGCTTAATATGGTCTTTGAAATCTGGCCATGCCACAAATGCCAACTTAATAACCATTTTTATTCAATAGTGGGAGCAAAGTCACAATAGTTTCTTTTAAAAAGATACCACACATAAAAATGGTATGATTAACTAAATCTAAAATCCAACTGTCCAGGTCCTTTTAGGTTGGAAATGTGACCTACCTGTGCATGGACAAGTGCATCATTAAAAAGAATGAACCAATTCACTGAAAATCTCCCAGCGTGCTGCAGAGACAGGGCTCGGTTACTGCTCTCACACAGCAGGCGGCGCTCTGGCCTCCTCAAGGAATCCTAGAATTTAGGATACTAAATTGAGCAACCAAAATTATTTAATAAGCACAGAGTAAATGAAAGCAATGTAAATCACATGTAGGAGCATTTGTTGGTTGGTTACAGCGTAGTCTGATGTTAAACCTCAACTTAAATGGGATCCACATGCTTAATAATGGGGTCAAAAGAGATTAAGAGAAAACAGAATCAAACAAAGAAGGTGAGTTAAGTCTTCAGAGAAGATTCCTAGAAATGAGGGAGAGTATTTATGTTTAGAGTATTGATTCCTGCAATCCTTTGAGGATCCTTAGTTAAGGCTCAGTAAGGTATTATCAATACAAACAAAGGTAGACAAGGCCAGAACAGTTGCTGTGGACATGCCTACCGTTTGCTAGAATAATAACAACTGGCATAACAAATGCTCACCGTCATTTTTCCAGGAAAGGTCTTCCAGAAGCCCAATGTGTATTCGGCCTCTTTCCTTTTCCTGCCAAGATGGACTGCAAGAGACTCATAACAAGAACTGGAATCCTGAAGTTTCTGGTATTCTGGAGATGTCTGAAAGTCAATAATTAAGGGGGGAGAATATAAAACATTTGTCCAGAACCAATAAATCACACTTCAGTGTGATTTAAGGTATGTTCTATTAAGAGGAAAAATAGCCTAAAAACAGACAAATGCACTTAAAGGAAGCTGGGTAAAGATTGATTTCAGAAAGTTCTACTACATATGGTATGGGGGAAGAACCCAGAGGAAAAGAAACCAACCCCAGCAGTTATTGATGATGAAAACCGAGAACCCAGAAAAGGGCAGGAGTTCCTGTTATTTTGATAACAGGATTCCTCTATTTTGCTTAGGTGGATTATAGCTATTGGTCACATGTGATTCACCATTCCATAACCCTAGTGAATGACCACTGATAGAATGTAATAAAACTTTTGTTCTAGGTGATACCCAATATTCTCAGGACTTATTCAAGGCTCTGTGCTCAGCATTCACTCCAGGAGGGGCTCATGGGACCATAAGTGGTGGCAGGGAGTGAATATGGTTAGACCATATACAAGGCCAAGTACTTTACCTGCTGTACTATCTCTCCAGATCCTAAGGTAGTAAAAGATAATGGAGGTCAAGTACTGACAAAACACAGAGAATGGAGTAACAAAGTCTTGAGGGAAGTCAAGTAGAGGGCAGAGCTACAGAGGGCATCACTTTCATGAGAAATGACTGTTGACTCACCCCTTGGTTTCCCACATTGAATATGGAGGTAGGAGTGTGTTAAGAAAGAAATACAAGGCACATGAGTTACATCGAGGGGATCTGAATCAACTTCTATAACACAGGGTAGATAATAATTCTAGAAACAAAAGGGGTGTTTTTCTGATAAGGAAGGGCCTTGGTTGCTAGAGTCTGTATACACACCCCCACCCCCAAATCTCCCAACCAGGGCCCTTTAGACTATAAGCAGTACAATATCAGACTCTTTACATTCCAAGTTACCAGGAAACATTTTTCTTTATCAACTGACATTTTGAAATGAAACCTGCTGTTCATGGGTTTTTGGTAGCTCAAATCTTCATACCTAAAACTGTCAGGGGCTGAAGAGAATTTAATGGGCTTAGAGTATGTTTTGCATGAAGGAGGCCCAGGTTTGATCCCTGGCAGCACATGGTCTCCCTGAGCTCCACTGGAAGCAACCCTGGAGTAGAAAGCCAGGAATAGCTCTGTCTCCCCAACACTGCTGGGTGTGGTCCCAAAACAAAATAAAATCAGTTGGGTTCAAACTGAAACTGAAGGAAAGTCCTCTAAGAGCAAAGCAGTTTCAAATGCAGAAAGCTCACATCAGTTCCCCAGTTGCTCTGAAGATTGAAATTTCTTCAGGTAAAGGGACAGATCTCAAATTTAAATAGATTCTAAACAATAAGGGAACTTAAGAGTCACTGTGGTTTCTCTCGAGCCCTTCCAAGTGGAAACAAACTCTTAACTACACATTACCATACAAATTAAAAAATGAGTAATGCCTGAGGACCAGTTAACACACCCCTGCATCTTAGAGCAATGCCAATTTTTTAGGACTCCGCTTAACTAATTTTATTCAGAGAGTGAACCAGTGTAGATTTGAGAAAATCCTTAACACTATGACTTCTCATAGCATATGCTAAGATGGCCAAAACACCTGGCATGAAATTATCAGGAGCCTAGGTCAGCTGGTGATTCCACCGCTATAATGGCATGAGTCATAAAGAAAGTCAGTTTTAAAAAAAACTATTTAACTTCTACTCAGAATGCAACTATTGAATGAGTAACCCTTAGTACTAGGTCTTAACTTGAGGTACAATTTCATAAAACGAATACGATTATTAATTACTCTTGATAAGGTCTTGACAGTAAATCTAAGGCAAAGAAAATGAGATACCTACAGTTATACTTTCTTATTTCCCTGAAGAAATTTAATTGATATAATATTAAATTAACAGAGTTCCATGTCTTTGTAGTACATAATTCAAACTAACAAATATGATTCTCAACTTCCCATATGTTCCAAGAAGATATATATGGCTTCTTACCACTTCAAAACAAGTAGCAAGTTTTAACAAAACTTTTGCATAATTGTGAAGTCGTTTGATTGGCAAGAAAAACAAAGTATTTAGTATTTCAATCAACTGGGTGTTATCATCATTCACTTCTGATAAATCTTGCAACAGCGTCTGGTTTTTATTTAGGAAATCACTAGAAGTGGAGAAAAAAATGAGTTTCTGTTATTTTGTTACTACCAATATACATGATGTTGAACAGAAATATTTCACTAGACAATATTTAGGATGCACATTTTTGATGCTATAAAATCAGCAAACAATCAAATGAAATGAACTAAATATAAAAGAATTTTCCTGTTTATAAAAAGGGGATTTTTGACTAGACTGTGTCTGATGTTCTAGGAAATGAATCATGCGCCCTACAGTTTCAGAAAGCAATCAGAAGTCAACTGACACCATTACCTGTTAATTTCAACACCAAAGTCACAGCAATAAACAGCTGATTTAGTCTCCTAATTTTAGTCTGCTAATCAGTTGTGCTACACAAAAATACTAAAAGGAAAACAAAGTTCTTTGCTTCAACAAACTGCTACCGAATATTAAAATGCATGTAATTTCTTCTTCAACTGCTAATCACTTAAGAGTTTCAGGGCTGGAGTGATAGTTCAATGGGTGGGAGCACAACTTTGCATGGAGGAGGGCTGGGCTGAATTGCTGTCACCACATATGGTCCTCCAAGTACTTCCAGGAGTGAAACCCAAACACTGAGCTGGAAGAAGTCCCTGGGCACTAGAGTATGGTACAAAAACATTGAAAAGATTATTCCAAGAAGAGTTATTTTAAAAATATAGTGGGGGGCTGGAGCAATAGCTCAGTAGGTAGGGTGTTTGTCTTGCACATGGCCGACGCAGCTTTGATTCCCAGCATCCCATATTGTCCCCTGAATACCACCAGGAGTAATTCCTGAGTGTAGAGCCAGGCGCAACCCCTGTGCATGGCTGGGTGTGACCCAAAAAGCAAAATACATACATATATATATATATATATATATATATATATATATATTGCTGTCACACTGTCCTCCCGTTGTTCATCAATTTGCTCGAGTGGGCCCAGTAACGTCTCCATTGGAGACTTTGTTGTTACTGTGTTTGGCATATCGAATACATCATGGGTAGCTTGCCAGGCTCTGCCGGGCGGGCGAGATACTCTCGGTAGCTTGCCAGGCTCTCCGATAGGGGCGGAGGAATTGAACTTGGGTCAGCCATGTTATGTTGGCTGCGTGCAAGGCAAACGCCTTACCGCTGTGCTATCGCTCCAGCCCATGTGTATATATATATATATATATATATATATATATATATATATATATATATGTACTGGGACCAGATGGAAAGCATAGGTGTTACGGTGTTTATCTTGCATTCTTTGGACCCTGGCACACAGCTGGTCTTGTGTATCATTAAGGGTCACCCCTGAGCACAGAGCCTGAAAAAGCCCCTAAGAACTGCCAAGTATGGTGGCCCCCAAAACAAATACAAATGTCTTAGAATCATTACTAAATTTAAATAAAACAGTAAAGAAAATGTGTCACTGTCACTCTCCTCCCGTTGTTCATCGATTTGCTCGAGCGGGCCCAGTAACGTCTCCTTTGTGACAATTGTTACTGTTTTTGGCATATTGAATACGCCATGGGTAGCTTGCCAGGTCTTGCCATGTGGGCAAGATACTCTCTGTAGCTTGCCAGGCTCTCCGAGAGGGGCAGAGAAATCGAACTCGGGTCGGCAATGTTGGCTGCGTGCAAGGCAAATGCCCTACCCACTGTGCTATAGCTCCAGCCCAAAGAAAATGTGTAAAGATTTCAAACGCCAATATATTGAAAAGTAAAGGTGCTGGTGGGAATGTGGTAAAAAGTAACCCTCTTTAACTGTTGGTTGGAATATCATTTGATTCAGTCTCTGTGATAAACAGTATGAAAAGTCCTTAACAAAAACTAGAGCTTCCACGTGACCCAGTAATTCCCATCCTTTGCATCTATCCCAGGAACACAAAAACGTTAATTCAAAAAGACACATATACAGATATATATGGTCATTGTAGCACTAAGAACAATATCCAGGAAATGGAAACTATCCTAATGCTAACAACAGATGAACTGATAAAGAAACTGTGGTATATGCACGCAATGAAATATTATGCAGCTTTAAGAAAGGATAAAGTCTTACAGCTGGCTATAACTTGGATAGAACTGGGGGCATCACATTAAAGTAAAATAAATCAGAGGGAGAACCAGATGATCCCACTCATCTTGGCATATACAGAAATAAGACAAAGAAACAAGACAAAAAAACAGACATTATTGAATGAAGAAAGATTCTTGTGCTTAGAGTACAAAACTTAGATGACCAAGCTGTGGGGAGAGCAAGGGAAGAGGCAGACTAGAGAAAACATGAGAACAGAGGTGGAGGGTCTTGGGCATTTTGGTGGTGGTAAAGGTGCATTAACTTTTTTTTTTCTTTTTGGGTCACACCCAGTGATGCACAGGAGTTACTCCGGGTTCATGCACTCAGGAATTACTCCTGGCATTGCTCAGGGGACCATATGGGATGCTGGGAATCGAACCTAGGTCGGCTGTGTGCAAGGCAAACGCCCTACCTGCTGTGCTATTTCTCAAGCCCCAGGTGTATTAACTTTTAACATCAAAGTCATGCAAGTTATACTACTGTAATCATACTAAACTTTAATTTTAAGAAAACATTCAAATACATTCCAAATTGAAGTCAACCTTTAGGTTTCAATATTCAGTTCTGTATGATTTCACTATTATAATCTTACTGTAAATTTTAAAGGAGATCAATAATAATTCACTGAGACTGTATTACCAGATCAAATACTTAAAATGTTTAAAGGAAGTGAGTTAATGAAGTGAAATAATTATTTGTACTTAAGCATCAATAATTATATGTCAGGCAGTAAGCTCAGTACTTTATAAGCATTACGCTATGATTCTTAACTACAAGACCTTGAGTAAGACAGTGTCATACAGGATTACCAAACAGTAATGAATCCCTACATAATCTCCTGGATAACTGCAGAATGAAGAGGTATTTAACTCAGAAATTGTAAAATATTACCTTGGAAAGAGAAAAAAATATTTATTTTCGCTTTTCAGGTCACATCTGGTGATGCTCAGGGGTTACTCCCGGCTTTGCACTCAGGAATAACTCCTGGCAGTGCTCAGGGGACCATATGGAATGCTGGAAATCGAACCCGGGTCGGCTACGTGCAAGGCAAATGTCCTACCCGCTGTGCTATCACTCCAGCCCCGAGAAAAAAATATTTAATCACTTCCAGGAACCCCAATGTTCAGATGGAAATCAGACTGTCTTATATTGAATTAAGAGATACAATGGCAAACCCAGCCCAATTTTGGCTTGTGTGGATGTTCTTACTTTTTCCATGTTCTGATGCTGCAATCAGTGAGGACACTTCAACCTTACATATATTTCTGGTTTGATATGATCTTAAGAGAAGGAGTCAGTTCAAGATGAATTCATAGTCCTGACAGCATTTCATCTTGGATGTTCTGTTCTAGATTTTAAAAAGGTTCCAATTCATGGAAGCTCTACTCTATGACTTTTCCTTTTGCTTTTTTAAAATCAACAAAGATTTAAAACAAAAGTAACAAAGGTAACAATGACTTAAGAGTCATATTTTATTGGATAGTATCTACCTCCTTGCTTTTGTTTCTTCACATACATACAATAAGTGTGTGAGATCACTAAAATTTGTTGTCTTGTTCTGATTATTTTCCCATACCATATAGTCATCTGTGTTGTAGCAAAATTCGCAAGTTCTAAAGTGGTCTTTTTATTAATAGCTTATTATTCACTATGCAATACGTTATACCACTTTTTACATATTTTTTACATCTTTTTTTACCATTTTATTTAAATACCGTGGTTTACAAAGCTGTTCATGATGTATTTGTTACAGGCATTCTCTATTCCAACCCCAATCCCACCATCAGTGTGACCTTCCCTCTACCCTTGTCCCCATTTTCCCTATCACCCCCCCATGCCTGCACCCTCAGCAGACCCAAAATAATTTATTTTATATTGTTTGTTACAACTAAATGACTAATGCAATTATGAAAAATACTTCAGTAAAAAGAGCATTTGTGAAAATTGTTACATCTCAAGATGGGGACATTAAGTTCTTGTCTGAGGGTTTACTAAGTTGTTGTTGCTAGCTGACCCTTCTGTATTAATACTTTTGATTACTGAGCTCAGTTGGGAACCATGTTATTTTCCCATCTAATTTGGTGTGCTCCTACTGGTATGTCAATATTGTAGAATTTGGAGGAGATGTTCTCCACAAACTCCAGAATATTTAACTGGGAAGTGAGTTTACATGGTAGCAGTTGTGGGATATGAGTGTGGCTGCTGGGACTTTAGAAGTCAGGGATGTTGGAAAAGGAGGCCAAGGAGGCTGCCCAAGAAGACCCGAGAATTCTCAGCCCAATGACCAATATCACTCTTCTTTATCCATTCATCTATTGTTAGATTACTTCAGTTGATTGCAGATCTTAGCTACTGTAAAGAGCACGGCAATAAACACAGGTGCATATATATCTTTCTGAATTGGCATTACTGATCCCTAGGAATGTAACTGCTGTATCATATTGTTCTATTACTTGCTAGGGCTCATTCATGTTCTTGCCTGTTTATTCCCTAAAAAAGTAAGATTCGGGAAAGCTGAGCCAGACATTATATTCAGTCTACTTTCACTTAGGAAATTTTTACCTAATATAATGGCAACAATATTATCGTTCTTCTCCTTAAATGGTTAGGTTTATACTTGTTACTCAAAAATAAATAAAGGTAGAAAATTTTAAGTGTCCATCAATAGATGAAGGAATAAATAAAATGGGACATATTCATACAACAGAATATTACTGGCCATAAGATGGAATAAACCTTTAGTATTTGTGAATGAATCTCAAAAACATGCTAGGGAGTTAAGCCAGACATATAAGAACAAATATAACTCCAGATTAGATATGTAAAATAAGCAAATTTGGTGTGGAAGAGAGTATAGTGAGTAAGGCACTTGCCTCACACAGTGCAGAGCCAGGAATAATTCCCGAGCACTGCTGGGTTTTGGTGCCCTCCCTACCCCCAAAATAACAAAAGCAGATTTACTGAGGAAGGGTTACCAGGAGCAGGCAGGAGAGGGAAAAGAGAAGCTAGTATTTAATGGATAGTTTTTGTTGATCTAAAATAGTTTTGAGGGGGCTGGAGTGATAGCACAGCGGGTAGGGCATTTGGCTTGCACGCGGCTGACCCGGGTTCGATTCCCAGCATCCCATATGGTCCCCTGAGCACTTCCAGGAGTAATTTCAGAGTGCAGAGCCAGGAGTAACCCCTGTGCATCGCCGGGTGTGACCCAAAGAGCCAAAAAAACTAATAAAAAAAAGAGTTTTGAATACAGATAACAGTGGTAACTTATATAAAACATAGCTATATTTGATGTCATAGAATTATAACATTTAGGAATCATTAATATGCAAAATTGTGTTATATACATTTCACCAGTCATTTTTAAAAAAATCTGTATGATCTTATCATCAGGCTGGTCTGAGCTGAATTTAATGAGTAGATTAGCTGAGCGAAGAGAGCTAGATTATCATTCTCCAAGATCTGCTAACTGCCATATAGGCTCAGTAGTAAGGTTAACAATAAAGCATTAGTCAGCAATTGCTATGGTCCTTCAATAAGTCCAAAAGTCACCCCATTTTGATGCTTCAATTTTCCACCTATCCTTACATCCTCCTGAAATTAAACTTGCTTTTCTTCAAGCGCGAATATTTGCTCTCAGAAATACACAGCACTGGGACTGGAGAGATAGCACAGTGGATAGGGCATTTGCCTTGCACGCAGCCGACCCAGGTTCAATTCCCAGCATCCCATATGGTCCCCTGAGCACCGCCAGGAGTGATTTCTGAGTGCAGAGCCAAGAGTAACCTCTGTGCATCGCCGGGTGTGACCCAAAAAGCAAAACAAACAAACAAACAAAAAACACAGCACTGAAAACACGATCCTTGGCTGCTGTGATAATTTTCTGTCTGTCAATGTCATTCCGTTATTCATCGTTTTGCTCGAGTAGGCACCAGTAATGCTCTTTCAGGGTCAGGGGAATGAGACACATCATTGTCACTGTTTTTGGCATATAGAATACACTACAGGAGCTTGACAGGCTCTGCCGTGCGGGTAGGATACTCTTGGTAGCTTGCTGGGTTCTCCGAGAAGAACAGGACTATAAGAGGTCTCGCAGTTGCATATGCTTCTGGGAGCTCTGGATCTTGGCCACTGATGGGATTTCATGGCGCTGGGGGCGGGGGGGGTGGTCAGTTTGTGGGTATAACCACCTAGCTACTGGAAAATGGGGAATCTGGGTGGAGGAATGATAATTAATTGGCAAAAATGCATTTGTTGGGCCAGAAAGTTAGTACAGCTAGTAGAGTGCATGCCTTGAATGCAGCCAACCTACGTTGAATCCCCGGCACCAGGTATGATGCCTTGAGCAGCACCAGTGATCCCTTAGCACAGAGTTCTGAGCACCACCGAGTGTGGCCATAACAAAACAAAACAAAAATACCCAATGCATTTGCTTACATGGCAGACTTAGCAAGAAGCTGGAATCCTCCCATAACCAGGAAATTAGTAATAGATGTGGAGTACCTTAAGCAAAAAAGAAAAAAAAAAGCACATTAAATGTAAATAGGTTTTTCAGAGTTTTCAATTAAACACCTGGAACAAATACTTCTTAGAACCTCACCAATGACTTTCAGAATTTTTCTGTTGTCAACAATCATGAACTACAGAGGACTAAAGAAAAGGACTTTTTATAATGACAACAACTGGTAAGAAATAACATTTTAGTAAAGATATCTTTTTTTTCCTTTTTTCTTTTTGGGTCACACCCGGTGGTGCTCAGGGTTACTCCTGGCTCTGCACTCAGGAATTACCCCTTGCGGTGCTCAGGGGACCATATGGGATGCTGGGAATCAAACCCGGGTTGGTCAAGTGCAAGGCAAACACCCTACCCGCTGTGCTATTGCTCCAGCCCCAAAGATATCTTTTTTAAAACACCTGGAACTATAGAGAAGATGCTAAAATGGTCATATTTTACTTGATAACAACCTTGAAAAAAATTGTTTTTGTTTTGATACTACCCCCAGTGGTACTCAGAGCTACTCACTCCCAGCTGTGCCTGGGGGATCAAACAGTGCGAGGCACAAAACCCAGGCCTCCCGCAGGGAAACCAAGCACTCAGTCTACCACACTATCTGCCCAGCTCTAAAATGGCTGATTTTAAAACCATTTTTCACTTTTCACATCAGGTTTCATAACGAATTAAACAAGCAATAAAGATATTTTTTTAAGAATTTGAGCTTAGATAAAAAAAATGTTGGCTAAATATTGATACACTGATAAAGAATGTCTTGACCTACTGCTTTGAGCCCTGTGATTATCTTCCAAATTCCTGAACTGGCAAGTGGAATAAATGAACTTGGAGAAGGAAAATTTCTATTAAATACAGCCTAAAGGGGCCGGAATGATAGTCCAGTGGGGAAGGTGCTTGCACTGCATGCAGCTGACCTCAGTTCAGTTCCTGGCATCCCAGGAGCGATCCCCTAAGTGCAATGCCAGGAGTAAGCTCTGAGTATGCCTAAGTGTGGCACCCCAAACTAAATAAAAACAAAACAAAAACAGCCCAAGGAGATCAAGCATGTGGCTCAGTGGTAAAGCACTTGCCTTGCTCGTGTGTGGCCCTACGTTCTATTCCCGTCACTGCATGGTCCCCCAAGTCTACAGGGATCAACCTGCTGCACCTAAACTCCACTGGGTGAGGCCCCCAAACAAAAAAACAACAAAAGAGAGTCCAAAGTATTATATATGAAATAATAGCTAAAATGCTGAACTTTATGTTGAGTATATTTTAACACAATTAAAATTGACTTTTGAGTCACAGATACTTTATTAGCTCCATCTCTATGAATAAATGTTACAAAAATAGACCACTACGTAGTGTGGCAGCACTGCAAGTACACAACAACAGTATTAGGTGCCCGGGCAACAGCATGGTGGATAGGGTGTTTGCCTTGCATACAGCTGACCCAGGTTCTATCCCTGGCACCCCATATGGTCCCCCAAGCCTACCAAGAATGACGCTTACTCAAGAGTAAGCTGAGTACAGCCAGGTATGTCCCTAAAGCAAAAAACAAAAATAAGTCAACAGTATCAGTACTATTTTTAACTATAATGATAACGCAGTAAAAACCTATTTGGGGGCTGAAGAGTAGTACAACAGGTAAGGCATTTGCCTTGCATGCACTGGGTCCAGGTTCAATCCCCCAAAACACTGCTGAGAGTGCCTTTGAGTGCAGAGCCAGGAGTAAGCCCTGAGAACTGCTGGGTGTGACCCTAAATCCCCCCAAAAAACAAAACACCAACAGAACATGAACTCCTTAAGGCAGGTGTTTTTCATTGTGGCTGTGATGGATTTTGAATTCTACACAGAGCATAGCACTTAGTGAGTTCTCAGTCAAGTCTGTTGGATTAAATATACATTTAAATAAATAACAATTAGCTCAACACCATAATGTAACTGACTTTAAAATAACACAAATTATGCCTCATAGGATAATGCAAAAATACAAATTAAGAACAAGAAATATTTAAACTTAAAATTTTAAGTACTGGGACATTTTACTTAAAAAAAAAGATGAAAACAAATCCTGGATAACAATAGTCTTAAGGAAATAGTTCTCTTTTAAAAGTAGGTTAATCTTTGAACTACCCAAATGTAAAAAAGCAGGCACTGAAACAGCTTCATACTTACAAATAGAAATTTACAAGTATCTTTTGAGAAGTTTAGCTATATCCTCAAATTTTAGCATAATTTACCCAAGTAAACAAAATAGTCCATTAAAGAATCATATTTACTATAGTACATTTTATGTAATTAAGTACAATGACATTCTGCTATAATATAGGAGGAAATATAAGAATACACTATTTTTAAGCTTTTATTCCCCTTAGAGAAAACTAAAATTTAGCAATGCAGGACTATTATTGGTTTAAAGTTAAAATGCTGCTTTGCAATTTCTATTACCTTATATCACTGTCCCTAATCTAGTCTCTTCTGATTAAGGAACTGTACTCCTTGGCAGAATAACCCTGCAGAGATTGAACATGACACAGGACTGGATACTTGCTCTGTATAACTATCCAAGAAGAGACTTGCATGCTTCAGAATGACCAAATTCCTGGCTTCCTTAGGCCCATGCAGGAAGTTGCTCAGTGAGACTCCGTGCTGACCGATTAGGTAACACAGCTTGCTGAATCGGCTTGCCACCTCCTGCAACAGTTGGACTGTACTTGCAGTGCCCAAATTTTCTGTAACAAAATGATGACTCATTACCTGAACACTTTATATATTCAGAGATCACAGGCTCCACTTAGTAAAATAAAGATTCACACGACCCTTACAGATTCTGACTGATTCAGATGGGTCAGTATGGACAGGTCAGTCGATCCCAAGGTGGGCACATTAAAAAGAAAAGTTTCACAATCTGTACTCCTAAAACACACAGAGGACTTGGAAACCAATGTTATTTCAATTATATTTTAAAAAAAGGGAAAAAAGAAAGGCTTTCCAGGCTGGAGAGTATACAGGTTAAACACAAGCCTTGCCTTGATTCTGAGCACTAATCAACCTTCCCAGCAATCTCAGCACAGCAGGCCTGCCCAGCGCCTCATCCCGCCCCCACTCCACCCCCCCCAAACAAAAGCTTTCCAGGTGATTTTGAAAATCAGTTCATGTGAAGAACCACAAAGCTCATTCAACTCCCCTTTAATTGTGAAAAGAATTAATTTGGAGCTTTGAGAAGGAGAACTAATTGCCTGACTCCATACAACTAGCTAACGAGAGCCAGAAATTAAACTCACTTCCATAGTCACAGCCTCATTAACATTTTCCACTTTTTGTGCTGACTTTTACCCTACATGCCTCTTGAGAAAGTTCAACCTTTTAGGGCAGAGGACAATCCAAAAATCAGACTTCCAGGGTTGCTTTGAATCTTAAAGAGGGCATCAGATTATTTGCTTTACCCCAAGTCCAAAGTTCCTAATTTCTAGAACATGTCTCCAAGCAATGGGGCTGATGAACAAACCAGGTAGGGTCACCATTGAAATCAAGAACTCTAAGAGGGAAAAGGCAGGCTTTACTCATCAGAGCAATACAGAAGCTTCTAGCTCCAGCTCTTTCCTTTCCCTTGTCCAAGTGGTGCACAGCTGGGCCCACCACTGGAGGAGAATTTACAGACTAGGACTTTAACAAAAACCAAACCAAAACAAAGCCACAACTGGAAAAGCACCTATCTTGATTTTAAAAAAAGTAAACACCAACAATTCCCACTTACAAAGGGCTCATTTCAAGAGTGACTGCAAGTTATTTGAACGTTTTTTCCTATTAAAATAATGGTCTGAAACAGGCTGAAGAGAGAGCGCAGTTGGGTTAACTTTGCATGCGAGTTTGATCTCCAGCAGGAGTCCTGTCTGAAGTAATCCTTGAGCACAGAGACAGGAATAAGCCCTGAACACTACCAGATTTGGCCCCAGACAACAAGAAAATAATATAAGGTATTTAAAGAATTAGTCAGGCCAGAAGGCTTATTTAGAAGTTTAGCTTCTAGGATTGACTTTCCCAAAGTTGTTTTTGCTTCTCTACTTTTAAGTATTCTGAAAGCTCCATTCTCTACCCCTACAGAAAGAAAGAGATCTGGGAGTAATCGAACAGGGCAGGGGCAGCTGGGCTAGAAAAAGTGCAGTTTATAAATTGCTGACTGTCTATATGTACCAAAAGTAGAAAAAGAAAAGAAGAAATCCATAACACAAACAATTTTTGTATAATTGAAACCAAAGCACAAAAAATTGTAAATCTACAACTGTAAAAAAAATAAAATAAAATAAAGGGGGAAAAAATTTATGAAATAGGTAGGATAGATGAAAAATGTCTTGGTAATTTATTTTGGGAAGGTAGAAAAGGGGTTATACTTACCTAAACTGAGAAGAGGCCTGAGAATCTGAGATTTGATATCACTTAGTTTTGAATAGAACCGTCTTTCTGTAGTAGCTAACTCATGAAGACTGGCAATATAGCCCATAATATTTTTGTCTGCCAAAGCTATAAATTTGTCTTTTCCTGCTGTCACTCTGCTTATATATCCCAGCTGAAACATAAAGAAGATTAAAGATAAAACAATTTACTGATAGCAATGTGGGCACTTAAGTTAGCATATACTAGCTCTTAAGAGTCACTATAATATTTAGGAATTCTGCAAGCTGGTTATTAAACCATTGGTAGCTTGAAATTAACAGTGAATTTGGCACATACTACAAATCACGATTTTTATTTTTATTGTAGAGCTAGCTTACCAGTGCACCACTGATTTATATTTGTATATATAAAACATTCATATTTACATTTATTGTGAAAATGTCTTTTATTTCATATTATAGTGTTGAGCCACAGATAACCTTATAACGATATGAGATATATATATATATATATATATATATATCTCATATCGTTATAACCAGAGATACAAAGATCCAAAGGTGAAACAGATCCATGTCTCAGGATGACTATTTGCATAAAATTAGGTCAGAACAAACATAGTATATATCAAAATATCAAATTTTGATGTTACTTAAAAGTACAATACGGGGCCAGGCAGATAAGTTCAAAAGCCAAGAGCACATGTTCTGCATGCAGCCCAAGTTCAATGCCTGATATTGCATGACCTCCTGAGCCTTGAAGCTGGATGTGGCTTCAAAACAAGGTATAATATAGGGTGAAGAAATCAAAAGACTGAGCATAAGGGGCTGGAGAGATAGTACAGTGGGGAAGGCTCTTGCCTTTCATATGTCCGACCTGTGTTCGATTCCCAGCACCCCATATGGTTCCCCAAGCCTTGCCGGAAGTGATCCCTGAGTACAGAGCCAGGAGTAAGCCCTGAGTACAGTTGGGTGTGGCTCAAAACAAACAAACAAGTAAACAGATTGAGCACCAGTTTTGCATGCAGGAGGCAGAGGTTAAATGCCTAGCATCACAAGGTCCCCCAAACACCGCAGGGAGCAACCCAAAATCCAAACCAAAAAAATACACTATAAAAAACTTTCCTTTAAAAGAACGATATGATATTTGTGAACTAGTGAGCTAAAAATTTCATTTAGAAAAGTTTAGCTCACAGGATCAAATTTCCCAAGTTGTTTCTGCTTTGTCACTATGTGTTCCTTTTTAGTCACTTATTCATGATGACACTGAACAAAAATATTTGGTGTCTTTTATTCACATATTCCTACTGAACTAGGAGACCAAGTTCCAAGCTGCAGATGTAAAGACTATTAATAACAAAAGAGTAACTAACGACACATATAAGCACTCCACCCCTTTCAGCAACCTCTTTCCTCCTTTATCTAGATGTGGAATCTTTCACAGGGAATGTGGAGTCAAGGCCAACAATTACAAAGCATCAGCTGGCACGGCTAGAATAACACTTTATATAGGTCAAGAGCCAAACCCTGACCAGTATTGCTTTTGGCCAGAGAGATTTTGTCCCTATACACTCAGAGCTTATGTAACTAGGCAAAAAACAAACACAAAGGATAAAAATATATACATGATGTGTTATTAAATAAGAACAAGAAATATAAAATACACTCGCTTACAGGGTTAAATTCCTTGCAGCATATTACATTGAGACTAGGAATTGCTACAACGGAGAAATAGAAAGCCAGAAAAAGACTGAAGTATATGAAAGAAAAGTATGAAAATAAATTCATATCAACAATTAAAAAAATAAGTGCAATAAAAAGTAAGGGAAAAGGGAAGTTCTGGGATAAAGGGCACAATTGGTGGGCTGTTAGATGAATCACAAGCCCTTTCTTGGGCCCCTTAAATTAAGTTTCCCATGTATACTTAAACATTCATCTATTCCATTTTTATTCTAATTCACCTCTGGGGGTTCCATGAATTCAGTAAGTAAAAATTCACTGCGAAATGTGCTTTTAATACTCCCATAAAAGTGTGTTAATTCCACAAATACTTCTAAAGTAGTAAATAGGATACTGCAGTAAATGGGAAGCTCTAAAATCCCCATTCTTGTGACATTACAGTTAAGATAGACAACAAACAGAACAAGTACACTGTTTAGTATATTACACAGTGAAATGCTGTGTAGAAAGAAATAAGGGAAAAAGAAATGAATAAATGAAGATAAAAAGGGGTTTACAATTTCAAGTACAGTAGAGATATTTAGTAACAAGTTAATCATACATACAAACAACAAAAGTAAGACTTCTTGTTTTTAAAATGTAGGCTTTAGGACCCAATTCCTGTTCACCTTGCTACAGGAGAGAAGTACTGGAGTCTTAGTACCACTGGGCTTCTCTGGATGGTCACTTTCTGTAGGGTCCTGCCGGCCGCTGTAATGTAAGCCAGGCTGGAAGTCTTCAGTATCCACTAGGAACAGAGAATAATCCTGGCCGGCAGCTATATTCCACACTCCGTTTTCACTGTTTACCTGCAAGAACAGCAATATATTGTCTATCCAAGATGAAAGGATCAGACAGAACTTTAGACCACAGGAACTGAAATGTTAGATTACAGCATGGTAAAAAATTAGTCATACCTCATACTAACAAAACTCAGCAATATTCCTGACCAAAAGCAAAATGGTTTCTGCTTTTAAATCTAGAACTCAATTGTTATTCTAAAAATCTGAAAGTCTGGAATTTAAAAAAAATCATAGATCTGATTTTTTTGTGAGAGATCTGGAAATTCCCATAGAATTTACACCATACTTTGGTCAAGAGTCCCAGAAACATCTACATTTCTACTCTAACCTTTATCTATATTCATCCATATGCACAAAAAAATCAATGTTAAAAGAAAACAACCTCAATCTAAATTCCCTTCTGATGAACTCAACCTTTAGGTGCTAACCAGATGTGGCCCCCAAACAAACAAAAATAAACAAAATTCCATTTGCCCACTTGGAACTCACTACCAAGTCTCGGATGTAATTTCCTGTGCTAACTTCTTTGACGCTGAAACACCCAGAAACCCTAAGAAGCTCATCTACGTGGACTCTTTTTTTTTCCCTTACATTTTTATTAGTGAAAAACCATGAGGTACAGTTGTAGACTTACAAATTTTTGTGTTTGGGTTTCAGTTATACAATGATTGAATACCCATCCCTCCACACATGGATTCTTTAGACCTGTGAGATCTCAACAGTTTTTGCTGCAGCACTAGCAGCAGCAGCAGCAATCAACTAAGACAAACATGTTAAGAAATGAAAATTCTCTCACCAAAGAAATAGCTCAAAGGTCTGGAGTATCTGCTTTGCATGCAAGAAGCACAGGAAACTTCCCTGGCACTGAATGGTACCTCAAGCACCCCTGAGCACCACTAGTTTGACCCCAAAACCAAATCCAAAAATTTTTTTAAAAATGCAAACACTCAGGACACAGAACTATGGAGGATTTGCAGGGTGGGGCGAGCAGCCTGTTTCAGCGAGCTTTCCAGGTGATTCTGATATATGCAAACATTTGTGAACCACTGTCCTAAACCAGTGATTTTCAAATTTTAGAAATCTCCAAAGTGATTCATGAGCCACATGGAAAGGTAGAGGGCCAGGGCTCTAGCCCACTACACTCTCCTGATGCTTTGCCACCCTAATTTACCAACTCAAGTAGTTTCAGTTTATCTATTTCATGTGAGGGATTCCATAAAACATTTCATTTGATGAATGTGTTCTGCAGGAATACTATTGCCCCCCCCCACTCCCTCGATCTAGTTTTTTCTGTGACTCATAGACTAGAGCATTTTAAATGTTTTCCACTCAGACCCCATTTTGCCTGAGGAATTAACACCACTGTTAATAATAGTTGTTGTTGTTTTTTGTTTGTTCGTTTTTTGGGTGCCACCCGGTGATGCACAGGGGTTACTCCTGGATCATGCACCAGGAATCACTCCTGGCAGTGCTTGGGGGACCACATGGGATGCTGGGGATCGAACTCGGCGCAGCCACGTGCAAGGCAAATGCCCTACCCGTTGTGCTATCGCTCTAGCTCCAATAATAGTTGTTTTTAGGGATGTTTTTTCTTTTCCACTTGAAAAAAAGACAAAAACTAAGTAGTCGATGAACAATGCAAAGTGGTAGCATTTTTTAAAAAAATTTGAAAACAAGTGACTTTATGTTTTTAAACCTTTGTAAGCACATCAAAATAAATTATGGCTACAAATATATTTCTCCCAACTTTCTGAAACATGAAGAAATATTAAATGTTATAACTTAGATTTCCAGAATCAAGTTGCTATAAAAATTATCAAATTCTCAAGAGTACCTTTGATAGACGAGGAACTGTTGTGGGACAATCAGAGTGCCCAAGTTGACCAAAGGTATTGCTGCCCCACGAGTAAACCTATTAGAAAACCACAGGAAAATGAAAGTTGTAAATCTGATTCTGCATGTGAATTCTGAATCTTTATCATATATATATATAACTTTTATATATGAAGACATTGCAGCAGAAACACAACTACCATGCTCTACCAGACAAGAAAACTAGATTATAATGACATAAAATAAAAATGGTTTCATTTTTTATTATGAAAGTAAATCATGGTATACTGTGCCAGCATTAAAAAAAAAAGAATGTAAAGACCACTGATGAATCAACAACTACTCTATATTGTTTGGGGGACACGCAAATATATATATATCTTTCCAGAAATTTAATGTATACTTGATATATGTATATAAAAAATATATTTGTACACACACAAAACAAGGTACAATATGAGATCATAATTCCAATTATCATGGCCTTTTAAGAATTCAAAGGTATCTATACACATTTTTCAAATATAAACATTATTTTTAATAACCACTTATAGGCACAGTTTAATCAATAAACTTCCAAAGAAAGAATATTATTAATAATTTTATAGTTCTTTAGTATGAAAGCTGATATTAAAAATCCTGTTAAGATTAGTTATCCCTTTCCTATAGTTTCATTTTCCATGGTTTCAGTTTTCCATGGTTAACTATGAGATAGTAAGATATCTTGAAAGAGAGAGAGATCACATTCACATAAGTTTCATTGGGACTGAGAGGAACTCAACAGGCAGAGCACATGTTTTGCCTATAGGAGGCTTGGATTCAATCCCAGCACAGGATGGTACCCAAAGTACCACCAGAAGCAATCCCAGAGCACAAAGCCAGGAGCAGACAAGCTGGCTGGTAGGGCACCAAAGCACATACCAATTAACTTTTATTTCAATATGCCATTTACAACTATTCTAGCATATTACTGGCTATTATTGTTAATCTCTTACTAGTTTATAAATGAAGTTTTATGATAGTAGGTATGTATTTTTGAAAAAGGTGTGTAGATGGATAAACAGAGGCTACTAAGTTGGATATATATACTCCAGCTAGTTTTAGGCAACTTGTGTGTGGGGGGGGGGTATGGATAGTTCCTGCAGATCAGAGGACTACTGCATTCATGCATCTGTTTCCTTAGGATCAATTCCTAGGCCACAAATGAAATACACAATCTAATTTTTGATAGGTATTAACAAATTAAAATTCCAGCAAGGTTTAAAGAACATTACTGCCAATGATATTAGTCCCTCTTCTTCACATCTTCACTAATACTTAATTTTAAATGTAGCACTGTAGCACTGTTGTCCCACTGTTCATCGATTTGCTTGAGCGGGCACCAGTAACATCTCCACTGTGAGACTTGTTGCTGTTTTTGCCATATTGAATACATCACTGGGAGCTTGCCAGGCTCTGCCGTGTGGGAATTTTAAATGTAATCCTTGATCATTTTATTTGTGACATTAAATTTTATTAAATTTTATATCCAACTTACTAGCCTCTGTCTATCCACCTACATTCCTTTTTAAAAAATACACACATACCCACTATCATATCACTTAATTTATAAACTAGTAAGAGATTAACAATAATGGCCAGAAATAAGCTAGAATAGTTTTAAATGGCATATTATTTCCTGAGAATTATATATTACTGTGGATTTTCATTTTGGGACCACACCCAGTAGCGTTCAGGACCTACTCCTGACTCTGTGCTCAGCAATTACTCCCGGTGGGGCTCAGGGAACTGTGAGATGCTGGAGATTCGATTCAGATCAGCTCCAGACAAGGCAAGCATCCAATCCACTATACTTTCTCTTCAATCCCAATCTTATTGTAATTTTAAATATTTTTGCAATGTGATTTGTCCATATTTTCATTCACTACTCACAATTAATAGTTTTTCCTAGAAATAATTAGAATATAAATCATTTGACAACTATTTTTTATGTTTTAGAGTAGTAACACTCTATCATATATGCTACAAATATTCTTTTCCCAGTATGTTATGCACCTTCTTTAGAAAAGGGCTGGGGGCTTCCAAGTGGTGTTCGGTAGGCTGAGGGGTCCTGCCAGCAAGTTTCAGTCAACCAAGTCTGCAATTCCATGTAATAGCAGGAGGATGTGATGTTTCTCAGGCCCTACAGTACCAGCGGTACTGAACGAAGGGACCCTCCGGGACCATACCCATCAATGTGGGATGGAGGGAAGGGGCACATACGGAGCCTGGAATAAGAGTTGGGTCAGGTGCATGCTAATTGCCAGGTGTGTGCCCTAAACTGTTGCACTATCTTTGGTCCCCTTATGGATCATAACATGCAGTGTTTTGGGTTTGTCTTTGTTTCCTTTTTCTATTAAAGATTACTGAATTATTATGTAGATAAACATCATTTTTACTTGTTGGCTTTAATGGCAGATTCTTTTCTAATGCTCAAACTACTGAAAAAAATTACCTTAACCGGTTAACAGTCAAGATTTTTTTTTTCTTTTTGGGTCACACCTGGCGATGCACAGGGGTTCCTCCTGGCTCATGCACTTAGGAATCACTCCTGGTGGTGCTCAGGCGACCATGTGGGATGCTGGGAATCGAACTCGGGTCGGCCGTGTGCAAGGCAAATGCCCTACCCGCTGTGCTATCGCTCTAGCCCTTCAAGGTTTTATTTTTTAACATGTACTTTTTTGGGGGAGGAAACCATACCCAGTGGTGCTCAGGGTTTATTCCTGGTTCTGTTCTCAGAATAACTCCTATGGGGACCATAAGGGTGTTGAGGATTAAACTAGGGTTGGCTTCATTGAAGGTAAATTCCCTACCTGCTATACTACTGCTCTAGCTCCTAATATTCACACTTTATTTAAAAAAAAAAAAAATTCCTCCCTTTACTTCAACACCATGCAAGGAGCTAGTGCTTACTAGAGTATAGAACAGTAATTGATACTCAATTTTGTTCCCTCAACTGAACTGAAAAGTCGACTTTTATCATATATTAAATTCTCATATGAATGAATTTGGCTATTTTTTTCTAGCGTATACACTTGTCTCAGTGCTTTGTATTTCTATATTTTATAATACTAATTCTCAGCCCTATTTCAGAATTTACCTGTTTTACCTTCTATATTTATATGTCTAGGGTAATTTCTGGGATTTTTATGCTTTATTGTATTGGAATATTTGTGGAATTCTATGGAATTTACACTGATTGTAAATCAGTGATCATTGTACTGATTCAATGACCTAAAGAGAAATAGCATTTTTGCAATAACAAGTCTTATCAATCTGAAAATAAAATCTCTCTCCCTTAACTTCAATTCTCACCCCGACTTTCATTCCCTTTGTTTTTATTGTCATTGATGATCAGGGGTCACATATACTTGGCTGTGGTGTCCACTGTGGGTTTCCAGTCATGATGCTCTGCTGTCAACCAAGGTTAGCACACGAGCCTGTGGAGTTGCAATGTGCCAGAGATCAAACACTTCTGGGGTTTCCTCGGAGCATGTGGTAGTGCCAAGCATCCAACTCTCATGCCTCATGCACACAAGGCCAGTGCTCTACCACTGAGTCATCCCTAGGGCTCCCCATTTTCTTCTTAGAATGAGCAGAATTCTTGCATTTGTTCTTTTCACATGCTCTATCAAGATTATTTCTATTTTCTTAATACTTCTGTGGTAATTATGTACAATCTTTCTTATTCCAAATAGCACCCCCCCACACACAGGTCCATATAAAGTCAATAGTTTTTTCATATCCTTCTGTTGGGTTTGGTGCAGTGCTGAAGATCACTGTCTGTCTCCAGTGTGCAAAGCATATGCTCAGTCCATTGAGATGTCTTTGTGGCAAAACAGATACATTTATTTTGTAGTTTACCACATTTCTATCTTCTTTTTTATGTCCTCTAGATGATCAATGTTAATAAAAATAAAATCTTGTTTTCTTTCAGAAATTAAAGATTTATAAAGCTGTTCTATTTATAAGCTGTTTATAAAGCTGGCGCCTTGTAATCCCATCAGCGGCCAAGACTCAGAGACTATAAAATCCAGATCCTGGAACCGCGCGGCCGCATATGCGGCCGCGCGACATCTTATCAGAACTTTTTTTATGATATCTTATTATCTCATTCCTACTTTGGACAAACTTGCAGGCTATCGAATGTAGCCTGCCCACAGGGCAGAGTCTGGCAAGCTCCTCGTGGCGTACCAAATATGCCAAATACCAGTAACATTGATGGGTCTCATTCTCCTAAAGAGCCGTGAATATAATCTCAGGGCTAGGATGAAAGAGACGTTACTGGGGCCTGCTCGAGGCAATCGACGATTAACAGGATGATGAAATGAAATGAAATGAAAAGCTGTTATTTTTGGCTAGCCTATTATGTGAAATTAGTTTTGGCTCATATAAAATTATTTAAAAACAAACAAAACACATACACACAGACATGCATACACATACACACACACAAAATCTTAAAGGGTTTAGGAATCTTTATTGAATTACTATAAAGTTCCAGAATTAGAATCTGGATTTAATCCATGGTACCACCAGATAGAATCACTGTCCTCCCGTTGTTCATCGATTTTCTCGAGCGGGCCCAGTAACGTCTCCATTGTGAGACTATGTTGTTACTGTGTTTGGCATATCGGATACGTCACAGGTAGCTTGCCAGGCTTTGGCATGCGGGCAAGATACTTTCGGTAGCTTGCCAGGCTCTTTGAGAAGGGTGGAGGAATCGAACTTGAGTTGGCCATGTTGGCTAAATGCAAGGCAAACACCCTACCCACTGTGCTATCACTCCAGCCCATGGTACCACCAAAGGAAAAAAAAAAAAAGCTAAGGGGGCTAAAGAGATAGCACAAGGCTGACTCGGGTTTGATTCCTGGCACCCTAAATAGTCCACTGAGCCCTGTCAGAAATGACCCCTGAGCACAGATCCAGGAGTAGGCCCTAAGCAAAGCCAGGTGTGGCCAAAAAAAAAAAAAAACAAAACAAAAATCCTTAAGACATCTGCTTTCTTAAGGAACAGCAAAAGCATTTCAAGTGTCTGTTCTCCAAGCTGAGGGTTCAAGTTCAAATTCCTTGTGCAAAGCAGAATCCTGGCAGCTCTGCTGTCTGAGCCTTGGTAGCTCCACTGTCTGTAATTCTTAATGCTGCAAGTGATTTTGGCTGTACCACAGCCAGGTTTATGTGCCACAAAAAAAATGGGTGCAACCCCTGGTGAGCTCTAGAACTAAAAAGATGTAGGAGCGCCACTGCCAGGCCCTGGCAAACATGTAAGCACCACAGTGGCCTCAACAAGCACCACACCTTAACTTGTGTGCAAACCTTGGAAAGCAACATGGCTCAAGGTGCAAGCACTTATGTACCTCATGTGCAGAACCAAGCTTGTGTGCCAATCCTGGTCAACACAGCAACAACAGTAACAAAGAGAAGGAGAATAAGGGCAGGAAATGAAAAAATATTTAAAGTGTAGTAGAGGCCAGGGATGTAGCTCAGGTGGCAAAGCACAGACTATGTGCATGCAAGGTCCTAGGTTGGACTCCTGGATCACTTTCCACCACTTTCCACCACTGCCACTGTAGGGAGTGGTCCTGGTGGCTCTTAAGCACCAATAGAAGAACCCCATAGTTTAGAAAAAAAAAGTGGGGGGGGGGGTTATGGATATGGTTTTCAATGATTCAAGAGGTCACTAAAGTTTTAAAAGAAAAAAATACCTTGTTAGTGTCTCAAGACTGTTAGTGTCTCACTTATGGGTATTATTCATTAGAAACTAATATAAAATATACCAGTATATTGAAGAATTTGGAGTTTGATTAAGTATAACAGAAAGTTGATCAGGCAAATCCAGGGCTAAATTCAAACTATACTATCACATGCGTGAACAGAATTTCTCTTATCCTCTCTTTCCTCATTTATAAACGTGTAGATAACACAACAGAAAACATTAGGAAGACCATATGAGTTATAGCACAGAAGACATTCAGTAAGGGATGGTACAAACCTTGTTGTGGGTGCTGTCCTTCCATGAAAATAAGATCAGCTTTTAGTCATTTGCCTCTTACCTGGGATTTTGCAGTAAGTGCAAGAGAATGGTAACCACCTGCTTCTAGATAGATTACTTCTTTGCCATCCAGACATTTAACGCAGAGTGGCTGAAGCCTTAAAGAAAAAACATGCACACATACACAAACTCTAAGTAAGAAATATGACCTTTCTCAAATTTAAGAGTAAATGCTTTCAAGTAAAAAACAAAAGTTTTAAAAGAATACACTGAAAAAAAAATACTTCATGTATGCAATTGGTTCCTAAATGTTATAATTTTGTGTGGTTTCAATTTAACTTTTGTTTGTAAATCACTAATTGACTACCATAATTCAGGATCTATTAAGAATCTCAGGGATGGAAAGATAGCTCAATGTCTGGAGCACATGTTTTGCATGCCCAGTTCAGATCCCTGGCACAACATAGAGCCCTGAGCACTGCACAGAACAACCCCCAAGCACAGTGTCAGAAATAGCCCTTGAACATCTCCAAGAGTGGAGCACATGTCTTGCATACACAGGTCCTGAGTTTGGTGCCTGGCCCAGCATGGGTCCTCCAGCACCCCAGTGATCCCAGGCACTGCAGAATGACCTCTGGTTCTCTGAACTCTGCTGCCAAGGACCCCAATCAAATAAAGAATCACAAAATTATTAATGATTTATTATGGCAGAATATAGTTGAAATAGAGGCAAAGAAAGAAATAATTTTATTTTAATCCCATACTTCACTCTACTAATAAACATTTTTATTTGTTTTTGCTTTTCGGCCATACCTGGCAGTGCTCAAGGGTTATTCCTGGCTCTGTGTTCAGGAATCACTCCTGGCAGGCCTGGGGTTATCACAGAGAATACCAAGGATAGAACCTGGGTAGGCCATGTGCGAAGCAAATGCCCTACCAGCTATACTATAGCTCTGGCCCCCAATAATAGATAATTTTATTAATTGGCTATTTTTTTTTCTTTTTGAGAGATTTAATGGTAATGATTTAATGATCTAGAGCTAAGAAAGAGGACCACATTGCTTTTATGAGGAAATAAGAGTCATTCACAGAAGAGAGTTAATTTGCTGAAGCTATTTTCTAGCTGTAAAAACCAGCCACACTTACCTGGGCAGAACATCGCCGTGACCCAATTGTCCTTCCTTCCCTTTTCCCCAGGTCCACACCTCTGTTCTCAGAGAAGGCAGGAGTGCATCTGCTTCCCCACTGTATGTGGGGGTCAGCACCACAGTCCGGGTTTTCACCCGTGCAGCTTTTCTTAAGAGCCTGGGGGAAACTGAAAACAAAGACAGGGTGAGGGAGAAACAGGTGGGAAAAGGTAAGATCTAGTAAAATGCTGTTTTGCAAGAGTGTGTATTAACAGTGCATTTGGGAAATGAACTTTGCTTGTTGGCAGGATATGTTCTGAAGAAAATCATCAAATGTTTCTAAGTGTGCTCTTACTCTTTTGATTGTTTACCTGTGCACCACACACAAAAAAAAAAAGGTGATCCTAAATGGCTAAGATCAACACCAGTTCCTGTGAGTAGTATATTTTGTATTGAGGGATTTAAATAAATCTACTTAAGTTTCTTCAAATACGTGCTCCTGATCATTTTAAAAGATATGGGGGGAGATGTAAATGTTATTTTTTCCCTAGAGCTAATAAATCTAACCTATAGAAATATTTGTTAATGGGACTGCATGATTCATGTGATCAATTAATCAAATCACAATTATGGCCCTAGGAGATATTAAATATGTTCATATTAGAAATTCCAAAGGACACTTCAAAACAAGACAATATTTTTTTCTTTTTGGGTCACACCTGGAGATGCACAGGGGTTACTCCTGGCTCTACACTCAGGAGTTATTCCTGGCGGTGCTCAGGGGACCATATGGGATGCTGGGAATTGAACCTGGGTTGCCCGTGTGCAAGGCAAACGCCCTACCCGCTGTGCTATCTCTCCAGTCCCCAGAACAAGACAATATTGATGAGGACCTTGCACACAGCCAACCAAGGTTCAATTCTTGGAACAATATATGGTCCCCTGAGATCTAGTGGCAATAGAAATCAAGAAGCTCTAGAACAGGAGAAGTGCTCAGAGAGCAGTTCTCAGAGAAGAGGAAAGAAGAACAAGTTTAGACACAAGGGGCAAAAAAATCAGAGACAAGGGGCAAAGCAGACACATAAAATTTAAATATAATCAAGTATTCCTAACTTTTTTTTCTTTTGCTTTTTTTTTGCTTTTGGTGTCACACTGGCGATGCTCAGGGGTTACTCCTGGTTCTGCACTCAGGAATCACTCCTGGCAGTGCTGGGGACCATATAGGATGCTGGGGATTGAAACTGGGTGGGCTGTGTGCAAGGCAAATGCCCTACCCACTGTACTATCGCTCTGGCCCCAAGGATGCCTAACTTTTAAGCTCTACATAAAATGAGATAAACCTGGAGCTAGCACTATAGCCCTGCACTGCACTGCTCTGTCCTGTCCTCCCGTTGTTCATCGATTTGCTCGAGCAGGCCCAGTAGCGTCTCCATTGTGAGACTGTGTTTGGAATGTCGAATACGTCAGCGGGGAGCTTGCCAGGCTTTGCTGTGCGGGCGAGATACTCTCAGTAGCTTGCACTATAGCCCAGGTGCCATATAGAGTATATTGCATATTGTGTAAATTTAGTTTTAATGGAATATGACTTTACTTTGTCACATATGTAGTCTGATGGATTTATACATCAAATAGCTGTAGCTGAAAATGTACATTCCAGAAATCATAATTCTGTTTAGCTCTTTCCAGAAAAAGTTTGCCAACTCAAGGTCTAATCCATTATTTCTCAAACTTTAATGTGAACCTTATCACCTAATTCTAATTCATATCTTTATTCAACTTTGGAGTAAAATTATGTACTTCCAACAAATCCCCCAATGGTACCAGTTTGCAGGCTACATTTCAAGATTAGATTAGATGACTGAAATTCTTGAACTGATCGAGAAATAAAAAAAAAAACAGTGTAATATTCCTAATATTCTGAGTTCATATCTTTGTTTTTGTTTCTTGGGGTCCACACCAACTAGTGCTCAGGGCTTACTCCTAGCTTGGTACTTAGGGACCACTCTTGGTATTGCCGTGGAGACTATATGTGGTGCTAAGATCAAATGAGGTTAGTCACAAGACTGCAAGACGTTCACCTTTAACACTGTACTCTCTCTCTTTCTCTGGCCCCTAAGATCATTTCTAAGTTGGTTTCTGAAATGAAACTTTTCTCTGAATGACACTTTCTCTCTGCTTTCAGGCAAAGTATAACAATTCTTCACTCTTAAAAAGGAACACACCTGGTACCTCATGGTGTTTCAACTAATAAAAAAAAAAGGAACATACCTACAGTTTCGCCTATCTGGAATAACAAAATAAGTTTTCATAAGCAGATGCAAGTATGAGTAGGTTAGGCTCTAAGGTTATTGGTAATGCAAAATATGTGACTTTCTTTTAAAAACCACCCTAGCATCTTGTATTTTGCCAAAAGTTAAGTTTACAAAATCTGGCCTTACCCTGTGACAACAATCCAGGGAGGGAGAGTCTTCGGCAACCTCCCTCTGACTCTTCTTCTCTGATGTCCACAAGACTTGAACTTTTTTTCCCTTGCATGGACTCCTGTTTCACCTGTTCTTCTCTGCTTTCTTTCAGACCTTCTGGGCCTATGGAACTACTGCCTGCCTGAGCACCTGGTTCACCAGGGGCTGTACTGTAGAAGCTCATCACTTTCTTAAGAGACAAGGCCCCGGCTTCATACGTAGCGGCCACTCTCACACCCACAGCAGATGCACAAGAGACCACAAGGCTGTTCAGAGCTGAGGTGCTCGTGGTTGGTGGGCTCTGAAGACTAGGAACGGCTTCTTCTACCAGGGGCTAAAAAATACACACGCACACACACAAAGGTATACAGCAGTCAATCAACAAAAAGAAAGTTTAATACCCATTCCCACTTGCAAATAGAATCTGAAACAACAAGAGATTTCTTCATCTCTAATTTAGAGGTTTTTCCCTTTGGAACATGAAATGCCTTTAACACATCATATGGAAAAGAAAACTGAATACTAAATATACATTTCCTTATCAAAAGCAATTCCTTTTGATTGAGTAGTGTGTTTTCCCACAGTATTTAAAAAATAAGTTCCAGCTGTCTTGATAAAATTAAACACAGAAGAGTGGAAGGGAAAGCAAAGCATGAAAAATGTGGCCTTTGAGATCCTCATATGATAAAAATGGGTAAAATGTTGAAAGATGTATTTTATCATTTGTCACTTTTAAGAAAGTTTACAGCAATTGCTAAGAAATATTAAAGAATGTATTTTAAAAATGTTTTTCCTAAATGTTTTGTAAGTAAAAATTTAGGCAGAGCAATTAAAAGTGGAAAAAGAAGTTATACCTCTGACAGGTCAGAGGTATAAAAGAACCCAAATTAAAGTCTTAATTTTAAGTCCTCCTATTAATGAATAAATTATTTTCCAAGAATCAAGGGCAAAGTAAACTGAAAAATTACCTTTGCTCTCAAAAACACAGTATGAGACTAAAAACCACAGACAGAAGAAACGGGGGCTAGAAGGACTGATCCATGGTTGGAAGTTTGCCACCAGTATGTGGGGGCGCAGGGCAGTTAGGATAGAGAAGGGACCACCAATATGACAACAACAGTTGCAAATGATCACTCTGGATATACATGATAAAGTTTCAGTACCTATATTGTAAACCACATGGGGGGCAGGGGGAGAGAGACAGAGAGAGACAGAGACACTGCCACAGAGGCAGGCGGGGTGGTGGGAGCATTGGTGGTGGGAAATGCATACTGGTGAAGGGACGGGTGTTGGAAGACTGTATGACTAAAACCCAATCGTGAACAACTCGTAACCATGAAACAAAGATGACTGAACTTTAAAAAAAAATTAAAAAGATTACCTTTGCTCTCTTCACCATGAAGAGCAAAGGAGTGAGTTAATAATTAAACATTGGAGGGAGCAGAGAGACAGTTGAACAGGTGGAGTGTATGCTTCGCATGTGGGAAGCACAGGCCTGATTTCTAGCACCAAATGGTCTTTCCAAGCACTGCCAGGCGTGGCTCCTGGGATCCAAGATCGAAGAAGTGTCTGAGTACCACCAGGTGTGGAAAAAATATCCCCAAATAATAACAATAACGACAATATTTGGTATCAGTGCTTACAGTGTGATTCATAGCTCCATTTGAAAGTCAAACTAGCGTCAAACAGATAGTAAAGCAGGTAGGGTGCTTGCCTTGCAGGCTGTGGATCATGTAACCAACCAACCAGGGTTCCATCCATAGCACCTATATGATATCCCAAGCACCAACAAGAGTGATTCCTGAGCACGGAGCCAGGAGTAAGATCTGAGCATCACCAGTTGTAGTCCCAAAACAAAAAAGGAAGTCAAATTAAGAAGTTTTCTGTACATTTTAAGAGAAAAATCAGTTGAAATTTATTCTATGCTGTCACGCATCATTGTTTATTAAAAAGAAATGGCAGAGGTAGTGGATATAGTTCAAAGTTGGGGAGAGCGTGCCTTGCATGTGAGGCTCTGAGTTCAATCCCTGACTCCACATGACTGTCTACTCCAAGCACTGCTGGGTGTAACTTTGGTCATCCCCAAGCACTGCCAGCCGAAGAACCTAATAGTCAGGCCCACAAAGCCAGAGAGCAGCCCCTGGGCTTCTGAATGGAGGAGGGCTCCTCCTCCCAAAGGAAGCTATCCCAGTACCTAATAAGTATAAAAATTGGGATTAGCAATATAGATCAGGACCTGAGAGAGTACAGAGGATGGGATGGATGCCTTGTACAAGGCTGACCCGGTATTGGGTCAGCCAGTATTACATTTGGTTCCTCAAGAACCATCAGGAGTGATACCTGAGCACAAAACCAGGAGTATGCCCTCAGCACAGTAAGATATGACCCAAAAAAACCAATTTTTTTTTTTAAAAACCGTAAGTCATAGTTTAAAAAATTTGCTTCTGAGGTCCCAAAGAATAGAAATGCAAGCTTTAACTTGTCCAGAATTTAAAAAATCATACTAATAAAGAATTTTGGGGGGGGCTTACTCCTCACTTGGTGCTGGGAGGTGGAGGGTGTGCTGCTCCTGCAGTGCTCTGGGGCCCATGCAGCGCAGGAATCAAACCCAGGCCTCCCGTGTGCAAAACTTGTGCTCCAGTTCTTTGAGCTATTGCCCTGGTCTCAAGATTTTTAAACAATGGTTTCTGATTTCCTGAAAGGAAAATCAAACAAATCTTGTTGCTAAGCTTAGAACCTGACAGTAAGTATCCAGGTACTGAGAATTAACGTGTTGAATTTCATACTAAATTTAGATAAATGATCTCTGCAAATGAGTCTCTCATTAAAACATTTATCAAAAATCATATGTGATGTAAAACAGAAGATATGTACATAGTTTATTACTTCCTTGATAATACTTTTTCCATTGCATATTCAGAACAACATCGCTATATTCCTTCTGTATTATCAAAGTCTCTTAAAAGCAACAATGATATTTAATTAAGGTTGACTATCTTAGGTGCTCTTATCATTAGGTAAAAGAAACTGCCACATATTATCTTTAAACTCTAGTTCCCCTACTTCAATATATTTAACATGAAATACCTAAACAAAACAAAAATACATAACTCATTAGAGAGATAAAGCTTCAATGGCAAGTATTACAGTTTATTTCACAAAAGTGAGATATTTTTTCAATTATATCTGGCCAGGGGGTGGGTGGGAACCTACATAAATTCTAGTGAATAAGCTGTATAATTAAAAAATTGTGTATAAAATTTAATTTAGCATAAACACACTACCAAAAAAGCAAAAGTGAACAATAAAAATATTATGTTTAATACGGTAAGTCAGGCCCTCCCGTTGATCATCGATTTGCTCGAGCGGGCCCAGTAACGTCTCCATTGGAGACTTTGTTGTTACTGTGTTTGGCATATCGAATACGTCACAGGGAGCTTGCCAGGCTCTGCCGTGCGGGCGAGATACTCTCGGTAGCTTGCCGGGCTCTCCGAGAGGGGTGGAGGAATCGAACTCGGGTCGGCCATGTTGGCTGCGTGTAAGGCAAACGCCCTACCGCTGTGCTATCGCTCCAAGCACAGCGGTAGGGCATTCGCCTTACAAGCGGCCAACATGGCCGACCCGAGTTCGATTCCTCCGCCCCTCTCGGAGAGCCTGGCAAGCTACCGAGAGTATTTGATATGCCAGACACAGTAACAACAAAGTCTCCAATGGAGACGTTACTGGGCCCGCTCGAGCAAATCGACGATCAACGGGAGGGCCTTTACCTTTTACCTTTTACCTTTACGGTAAGTCAACTCAAAAGAAAATGCAGTAACAATGATGATCATTTAACATATATAAATTTTTAACTTCAAATTAGAGAAATGGCTTTTTAGAAGTCAAACTTTATTTATAAGCATGTACAAATCTACAAATTATCTATGCGCGCTTTTGTTAAATTTCTTTTTAAAGTGCTGTGCTCCGAACAGCTTATTCTTAATTTAAAGAAAGAAAAAAAAAAGAAAGAAATTAAGTATCTACAAGGTTCACTAAGTAGATTGTGAAATAAAACTGATTCTTAAAAATCCTGTAAGCAGGGCCAGAGTGATAGTACCAGGTACGGCATTTTTTTTTTTTTATCTTGCATGCGGCTCCCAGGCATCCCATATTATCCCCTGGGCACTGCCAGGAGTGCAGAGCCAGGGTAATCCCTGAGCATCACCAGGGTCACCCCCCCAAAAAAAATTAAATTAAAAAAGTAAACAACAATCCTCTAATCATGTCCTCATTCTAGCAGAGTAAACAAGAGTAAACAACAGGAATAAAGAATTGAGGGGCTATATAGTTTCAAAAACATAAAAAAAATCACAGAATAGTAACCAGATGTCTTATTTGGTGTCTTAGAATTTTAACAAAAGCAAAACTGAAAAGCTTACATTGTAAGACTCAGTATCTTAATTTTTTTCTTGTTTTTATTTTGGGGTGGGGGCACACTCTACAGTATTCAGGGCTTACTCCTGGCTCCATGCTCTGGGATCATTCCTGGTGGGCTTGGGGGACCATATGGAATGTCAGGGATTGAACACAGCATCGGCAAATCAAGTACCCTACCTGCTCCAGCCCTGACTCAGCACCTTTTTAAAGCAATTTATTTCAAGCAGAAGACTCAAACTTTACTGTATGCTACTGGTAAACAGCTTCTCTCCATCACGAGTTTTCAAAATGAGATTAAGTTGAAATATTAAAATCATCTTTGCAAAAAAAAAAAGTCTAGTATGAACAGAGCTAGAGTTGAAAAAATAAAATCAAGTAATAAGCAATTATAGAAATTTTTTTTTCACTATGGCCAGTAAGTGAGGGATTCATCACAGAGCAATCTTCTCTGATTATAAAAAAGGAATGAAAGTCAGAGCCAGGGATATGGCTCAGAGTCATAGCACCTGTCTTGTATATCGAAAGCCCTGGGTTTGATCCCTAGCACTGGGGCCAAAGAGAAGGAAAGGAGTTTCAACAGAATCTAAAGAGTGGTATAGATGCAGGGTAGAGGAATCTTTGTGAATACACAGCTAAAAGAGATTCAGTAATTCAAAGGCCACCCAAAATTTGGTACCTATACCATGAGGGAAAAAAGCTCTAGGGGAGGGGGGGAGTACCATTTTTTCACTTAGAACTGAAGATTGCATGACACCTTTTAGCAACACAAAGGCCAGAATTTCAGCAGTAAATATATAAATATAAATATATAAATATTAGGGCTGGAGTGATAGCACAGTGGGTAGGGCGTTTGCCTTACACGTAGCCAACATGGCCGACCCGAGTTCGATTCCTCCGCCCCTCTCGGAGAGCCCGGCAAGCTACCGAGAGTATTCGATATGCCAGACACAGTAACAACAAAGTCTCCAATGGAGACGTTACTGGGCCCGCTCGAGCAAATCGATGATCAACGGGAGGGCCTTTACCTTTACCTTTACCTTTTTACCTTTTCTAGGTTTGCCTAAGAGAGAGTTTTGTTCAAACTTAAAAAAAAAAAATAACAAGAGCTTTGAAGCTTTAGGCGTTTTGACATTTCTAAAGAAAACCCAGGTCTGGAGAGATAGCATAGCAGGTTAAGCATTTGCCTGGCAAGTAATGAAGCCAGGTTCAATTTCCGGACCCCCAGTACGGCACTCTGAGCCTTGCCAGGCAGGATCCCTGTGCACAGAGTCAGGAATTAGTGCAAGTACCACCAAGTATACCCCCCACACCCCCCAAAAATAGAAGAAAAGAAAACTCAGGTGGCTGAACTCCAGAAATCCCATTACCTTATAAAATTTAGCAAATACCTGAGATGGCATTGGCTTTTCATGGTCCTCTGAGTTCTCTTTCACTGAGTGAGTGGACAGTTGCTGCACATTTTCATTTACTGCCTGAGTGATGGGGTTTAGGGGTGTATCTCGGAGAGAAGGAACTTCAGTTTGGCCCACGATGTCTTGTTGGGAGGAGATGGCAGCACCAGGACACATGGTCTCGACTTTTTCAACATTCCCCTCAGGAGCAACTGGCTGCTCATTTTCAACTCGAGTGGTCTCGAACACTTCTCCCGCACCATCGAAGGTGTTGGTGCCAGGACTGACAGCAGTGCCGGCCTGGTGTTCGGCCTGGGATTCTGACAAAGTCACACCTAATGGACAACAATGACTGTCTGATATAATCACATGGTCTTCTTTGTCCGTCATAGTGATGAGGAGCTGGCTGCACTGGTTGCATCTTTCTGGGACAGGTTTCAGATCCTGGGAAGGGAGGCATTGTACCAGGGCTAAACTGTGGAATGCACCACAGGCCACTTGTAACACGACTCTCCCAGCAAGATGTTCTACCTTTTGAGGTTTTGTCACTGGGAAAGTGGTAGTAATGAGACCCAACTGACAACCAGTACCCCATGCCCAAATCTCCCGGCTTAGGGACAATGCCAGAGTGTGTTCCTCGCCACACGCCAGCTGCAAGATCCGGACTGCTAACAGAGGGCTGCTCTCAGAATCCGAAATGCTGACAGGACTGGGTTCTGGAACATACTGCTGGTTGGCTACTGCACACTGGCCTGCAGAGTTCTCCCCCCACATGTACACCACGCCACTCTCCGTCACCGCGCCACTATGGAAACTTCCTGTTGCCACCGTGACAACACGTTGCCCAATCAGGGCATTCTCCAGAACAGGGCTACTTGGACAAATCTCTGCTGGTTCAGTTCTCCAGGGAAGAGTTCCAAAGCTGTAGACCTCACCATCTGTTGGTTACAAAGGGGGAGATGGGGAGTTAGTGGTAATTAGTGGTAATCAGCACTAATGGTAGTTAGTGGCAATCTACAAGCTTGCAGTTCTCACTTGCAGATTTAAAAAAATATATATATGATCTTTTGTTTTGAGGGACAGCACACCTGGCAGTGCTCAGGGCTGACTTCTAACTCTATGCTCAGAGATCACTAATGGCAGGCTTGGGGACCATATGGTATGCCTGGGATTGAATCTTAGTCTGCCGTGTACAAGGCAAGCATTCTACGTGCTATACTATCTCTCCAGCCCCCCAAAATACAATCTTTTAAGATATTTGAAAGCCAACTACTGAGATTTCACATTTATCTTTAAGTAATCTCTTAACATACTTTTAACATATAGTGAGAATTTTTGCAAAGTGCAGATTTCTTCCTAGTGACGCATATTGTATCTTTTCTTGAACCTTAATCTACAAACTTCTAGTATCAATCCACTCCTTATGGCTATCATTACAGGCTATTGGAGAATCAGATTCCAAGTACTCAAGACAAAATAATGGTCATCTTAAGATAAAATAAACAAAAAGATAAAGCAAGTACCTCACTATTCCATGCACTACTATTGAACAAGAGAAACAAAAAATTAACCAAGAGCAGAAAATTATTAGATTCAGAGGATGGATAGATAATACTGAGGCTGACCTGAGTTTGATCTCCAGCATGGTTCCCTGAGAAACACCAGGAGTGATTCCTGAGTGCAGAATCAGGAGAAAGCCCTGAGCAGTGTCAAGTGTGGGTCCCCACCCCATCAAAAAAAGTCAAGGTACTGGGTAGCTTTATAATTATAATGAAAAGCACTAGATGATAACCTATTTCTTATTGCCACAAAGAGGGGTGCAACTTTCCCAAAGCACCACAACTGAAAGATGTGCAAGTGCCACATCCAGGAAGTATAACCTCTGGCAAGTACATGCATGAAGAATCAATCCCAGACAAGCACCGTAACCATAACCTGTGTGCTCAACTGATATTGTTAGCCCTGGCAAGCAAGTGCAGACACCACAATTAAAAGAGTGCAAAGCTCAGTAAGTACTGTGTCCAAATGTGTGAGCACTGTAATATGATGTGGAAATCCCAGCAAACACAGCTAAAAATATGTGAGGGGGCATGCTTCCACCAGCAGGTCAACCTGTACCTGCGGGGTAAGTGCATCAGCAGCCTGATGGTGCCTTCAGACTTCCTGATACCCTCAAATTGCCACTGTGCCATTGGCCAGACCACAACAACTTGGGGCCAAGTTTACCAAGAAATTAAACAGACAAAAGTTAGGTATGTGGGAGCAACACCCACAAATCACCTTCAGTTCAGCCACAAGCTCATTTACTAGCCTTATTTCAGAGACCCATAAATCTCGAAAGAGATCAAAAATGCAGTTAGGACCAGCAGCGCACTGCTAGAGCGAGCAAGTGTGCTCTACAGGGCATATGCCAATTTATTTCTCTGGAAAAGATGGAAACAAGGGCCATGGTCCAGAGACACACAAAAGAATCTACGAACTGAGCAGTTCACTGCAGAGATTTCTCCAGACTCTAATTATCTGGAATTTTGGAGTTCCAGGAGCATGTGGCCGCAAGAGCTATTCATAATAAGCAATACAAAAGAAAGTATGGGGGAGATCATCCACCATAGAGGCAGGGGGAGGGGTGGAAGGGGGGGGATATCGAGGTTCTTGGTGGTGGAAAATGTGCACTGGTGGAGGGTTGGGTGATCGAACACTGTATGACTGAAACTCAAACAGAAAAGCTTTGTAACTGTATCTCATGGTGATTAAAAAAAATAATAAAAGAAGTAAAGTAAAAGTAAAGGCCCTCCCATTGATCACTGATTTGCTCGAGCGGGCCCAGTAACGTCTCCGTTGGAGACTTTGTTGTTACTGTGTTTGGCATATCGAATACGTCACGGGGAGCTTGCCAGGCTCTGCCGTGCAGGCGAGATACTCTCGGTAGCTTGCCAGGCTCTCCGAGAGGGGCGGAGGAATCGAACTCGGGTCGGCCATGTTGGCTGCGTGCAAGGCAAACGCCCTACCGCTGTGCTATCGCTCCAGCCCCAAAATAAAATTAACATTCTGATTTTTAAAAAAATGAATATGGAGTTCATGCTCAATTCAATCAGCTTAATCAATGGCTGAATCAATAGCAGTACTCCTACATTTAAAATAAATAAATAAATAAAATTAAAATATATGAGTACTACAGTCAGGCATGTGTAAAACCCAACAATATCATAACATTGACAATAACAAGGAAAGAGAGAAATATATATATGTATATATATTAAATGCCTTACAAAAACATGAAATAAAACATATAAATAAGTTCATAAATACTGGACATCTTATTGGAGGATTAATACAACAGTAACAGGGGTGCTGGAGAGATAGTACAGAGGGCACTCGCCTTGCATGCAGCCCACCCATGTTTAATCTCAGCACTACAAACGGTCAAATGAGCCCTGCCATTTGACCTGAGCTGCATGTGGTCCCCAAACAAAGTAAAAAACAAGAATAATAGAATCAGACTTAGTACTTGTTTGAGGACTATGTATTTTTAAAGCCCAGAGCAGTACAAAATATAATTCACATTTTTTAAGTAATTCTGACCCATTATAATAGTAGTATGAAATATCATGTATATTATAACAATACTAGTTATTATTATAATAGAAAATTATAAAAAGTTATATAATATTAGTTTAAAAAGAAAAAGCACAGCGGGTAGGGCGTTCGCCTTACACGCGGCCAACATGGTCAACCCGAGTTCGATTCCTCCGCCCCTCTCGGAGAGCCCGGCAAGCTACCGAGAGTATTCGATATGCCAGACACAGTAACAACAAAGTCTCCAATGGAGACGTTACTGGGCCCGCTCGAGCAAATCGACGATCAACGGGAGGGCCTTTACTTACTTTACTATAAAACCACTAACGCCAAATTTTAGCTTGGTTTCTTTGCTCCTACAAGGAAAATGTCAAAACATTATTGACATTTTACAAATGCTTACAAAGCAGAAATTTGTAATTAGTGAAGTTTATGACAGTCCAGGCCCAAATCAAACTTGCCAATACAAAAAGTAAACTACCATCAAAAATAAGGGCAACTTCCTATATAAATTATAGCCCATGTTTCTTTGTTACAGAATCAGTTTCATTTTATGTTCTAAGGAGCCACCAAATTATACTGGAGAAAACCTGCTGCAATAATGTAACCGAGTGGCTTTAAAAAGCATGCTGTGAAAGTAGATTATACACAGAACATGATTGTCACTCAATGCCTCTTTTGCAAACCACAGCACCCAAAAGGAGGTAGAGAACAAAAGGGAAAGTCCTGCCAAAGAGGCGGGGTAGGATGGGGGGGGTGAGTGGGGGAATGGGGGGGATACTGGGATCATTGGTGGTGGAGAACTGGCACTGGTGGAGGGATGGGTACTCGATCATTGTATAACTGAAACCCAAGCACGAAAATTTGTAAGTCTACAACTGTACCTCATGGTGTTTCACTAATAAAAATAAAAAAAAAAAAGAGAGAGAGAGATAGTGAAGAAAATAAAATTAGGCCATATTGGAATAAAAAAAAAAAAGCATGCTGGTCATCAGACTGGGGTTTTAATCCAATCCTGACTGACACACTAACAACTGTGTCTTCTTGGAGAAACTGTTTTAACATTCCAGGGGAAAAGGAGCTCAAAGGGCAGCAGCACAAGCTTTCGATGCAGGAGGCCAGGGTTCAATGCCTGGCACTGGGTGATCCCCAGAGTACCACCAGGAGTGATTCGAGTGCTGAATCAGAAGTAGCCCCTGAGCACTGCAGGGTTTGACTCAAAAACAAAACACAAAAATTACTGAACCTCCCTGACCCAAAGCTCCTCTCTGTGAAGTGAGAATAAGAATAGCTACTTCATGAGGTACTTGTGAAAATTCAATGAGTCAACCCATATATACTGTTTAATGCCATGCCTGGCACACTTAATGGCTGAATAAGCATTACCTACTATTAACAGTATTATTCTGCCACATTTAATAAACAAAAGACAGCAAGAGACTCTGAATAGGCCATTTTTCAAAAGTTAATATTCCATCTACTTATAAAGCCTTAAAAACTGTGATTCTGTCTTGTATATCTTATGTTTATGAACTAATTCTGATTTCCAATAAAGGAAATAAAAACATATAAAAGGGCGGGAGCGATAGCACAATGGTAGGGCATTTGCCTTGCACGCAGCCAACATGGCCGACCCGAGTTCGATTCCTCTGCCCCTCTCGGAGAGCCCGGCAAGCTACCGAGAGTATCTCGCCCGCACGGCAGAGCCTGGCAAGCTCCCTGTGATATTCGATATGCCAGACACAGTAACAACAAAGTCTCCAATGGAGACGCTACTGGGCCCGCAAGAGCAAATCGATGAACAACGGGAGGGCCTTTACTTTTACTTTACTTTACTTTGAAAATAAAGGGGCTGGAGCGATAGCACAGAGGATAGGATGTTTGCCTTGCACTCGGCCAACCCGGGTTCAATTCCCAGCACCCCATATGGTCCCCTAGCACAGCCAGGAGTAATTTCTGAGTGCAGAACCAGATGTAACCACTGTGTATCGCTGGGTGTGACCCAAAAAGCCAAAAAAAAAGAAAAATAAAGAGTATGAATACGAGCAAAGCTCATACAGCAGCCCTGGTATCCAGCCTAACAGCTCTCACTTACTCAGCAATTTGTGTTGTTAAATCATTCTTTTCAATACCTTCTGTCAGAAGAACTCCATGCTTGACTCCGAGGGCTGCCTGAAGAATAGTCTTTCCTCCCCAGCCTGGCAATCTCTCTGGTGTTATGGCACAGGATCCTGCCTGCCAGATGTGGACCAGGCCTCTTTCTTTGGATCCTTCTGCTTCTCTTGAGCTACAAGCATCAAGACAAACAGTTTGTTTCTACAACTGAGAACTGTACTTTCGTTTTTAATACTCCCCTATGAACTGTACATTTTACCAGCAGCATATGGCTCAGATAGCTTAACCAGCATTTTATGATTTGGTTATAAAGTAGAAGTAGTTTAAAAGGGGGGAACAAAAACTACTTACATAAAAGGTTTGAAGATAATATAAGCTTCCAAATTGCTTACCTCTCTTCGGTAAAGAAGCAAGCAAAATGTGGGCTGTTTTTGGAGGTTTTATGATTTAGCAGCATAAAATTTTATGATGCTAATTCCCCAATATAATTAACTCCTTATTTAGAAATTAAAGTTATAACATCCTAATTTGGCGTCTTATATCAAAATTTTGACTTTTAACTTGGCAATTAAAAGGCATTTTATGAAAAATATAGCAAAAGTATGATCCATATTTCACTTTATTTAAGCACTATAATTGCTATTTCAATTTTTTTAAGAATCAAATTGATAACAGTCACCAGTACAATTCTTTATGTTCTAGCCAAAGAATTCTATTCATTTGGTGACTTTGGCTCAAAGAATACAAAACAAACAGCTGCATAGTAATGGCATATCCTACCTAAATGGCTCTCATTTTCTTATTTATCACCATTTACGGTAATTATTTTATGTTCATTTTTCTATTTAATTCTTTGGAGGGTGGAAGGTTCTGGAACATACCCTGCAGTGATGGGGTGGACCATGCAGTGCTGAGAGTTGAACAGGGATTGGTCACAACAAGACAAGTACACTAACCCCTATACTATCTTTCCAGTTGATACCAAAAAAATTTATTGAGGGACAGACATTTTTTAAAAAATAAAGTCTTCTATGACTTAATAGTATTACTCTAAATTGTAATCAGGCATAACCATAATTTGATGGAAGGAAAGCTGAAAATGTAGCTCTCCTTTTAACTAGAATTTTGAGAATGATTACAACGAATAGGGTTATTTCTGAAACCATAAATTTGTAAGAGGAAAAATGGTTCCAAACGTTTAAAAGAAAATAAAGACATCCCAAGCCTCTCAGAAGCTAAGAAAGGGACTAGCAACGTATCACTAATCTGCTTTATTTTAATCCTTCTCTTTTCATTAATCAATACCAAAGTCACAATTCATTCACAATAGTCATCAGCAAAATTAAACTGAAGAAAACCTATGCAGATGTGGAAGTGTTAGTTGTGTTTTCCTAGAAAGACAGGGAAGAATGAAGAAATGAGGCTGGAGGGATAGTACAGCGGATATGGCATTTTCCTCGCACGCAGCCAACCAAGGTTCAGTCCCCGGCATCCCATATGATCCCCCAAGCACTGCCAGGAGTTACCCCTGAGCATGGCCGTGTGACCCCAAAACAAAAACAAAAACAAAAACAAAGGAAAAAAGAACTTTTTTTTACCTTCTCTTCTTTGAGTCCATCAGTCAGTGAGCACACGCCATTACCAATTATTCCCCCTATAGAGAAGGTGTTTAGAGACCTGATGGTAAAACACAGGGAAGAGACATTATACTATGCTATTTAATCCCAGATTTGAAAAAAGAAAAAAAAAGGCAGTTCTCTAACAAGTGCGCATTCACTGGGCAATAAATATGCAGCAGCAAAACTATTTAAGCTATTTCATATCCCGCCTGCCAAAGTCAAATATCTACACTAAGCCTGCCCACTGAACTTATAAAATGCCTGATGATGGTCAAATGTAATGTCAAAGAAAGAAAGGACTACTTACAAGTAAGCTGTTCTGTCAGGCAACAGATTTCTTTCATTTTTTGTTATAAAGAAAGAAGTTCTATTTGAAAACTTGGTGTGTTAGTATTCATTTAAGTTATGCTTTAAATGCTTCTGGAACACATGAACATATAAAGACCAACTAAATAAGAAAGAAATCCACAATCTCTTCAGTAATGTGCCAGATTTGAGTAATTTTAATTTATATGTTTCAGTAATATAGTAGGACTATAGCACTATCCTCCCATTGTTCATCGACTTGCTCGAGTGGGCACCATTAACGTCTCCCGTTGTGAGACTTGTTGTTACAATTTCTGTCATTTCGAATATGCCACAGGGAGCTTGCCAGGCTCTGCCATGCGGGCGGGATACTCTCGGTAGCTTGCCGGGCTCTCCAAGAGGGATGGAGGAATCAAACCCGGGTTGGCTGCGTGCGAGGCAAATGCCCTACCTGCTGTGCTATCGCTGCCTTTTCAGTAATATAGACACAAAAATTGTATCATTAAAATATTTTCCATTTGTGGGAACTAGCAGTATTTTCTCCAGTTCAACCTCAATTTAAAACCATAAAAAAAAGACACTTTAAAAAAAAAGAAGTTCGAATTTTAAAATACCTGTACACAAATATACCACTGAATAGAAAAGAACTATATTAAAATTATGGAAAAATATCATGACCCATTAATTCAAAATTTCAATATTTAGAGATCATACAGTAGATCAGCACAGCATATGGTTCCCAAGCCCTGCCAGAAATGACCCCTGAGAAGAGCCAGAAATAGCCACTGAGTAGTGAAAGGTATGGTCCAACCCCCTCCCTCCCATCCCCCCCACACTATGTTTAATAAAGAAATAAAAACATTAACAGGTAAACACATATATTGTCTACATTTTATCTAGAAAATTCATATTTTTAAGGCTATGAAAATAGAGGCAATGAGATTTTAATGTTTAAATGAACCATAAATGTACCAGAACCAAATTGTGATTTGCTTGCAAAAGGATACAGCAAATGGTTACTGAGGTCTGGAACCAGACCACACTGGCAGGAGCAAGGTAAGATCCATCTGTTTATTCCAAGCTGACTGTGAATTCTTATTACTTCCCATCTGTATATCTGGAGGAAATTATTCTCTAGAGCTTATTTTAGAGATATTTAAATCACTCAAAGTTGGATGAAGGGTACCTTGTAAACCAAAAAAGTCAACCTGAATAGGCTGAATAAATGCTATTCATTTAACAAATGATTAAGCTTCATAAATGACTGTAATAAAAGTAAAGTTCATAGTGTACAAAGAAATTCTGAAGCTCTCGCTTATCTATCAAAGATCAGATGAACACTTAATTAAAGTTAAACAACGCCCAATAGAAATCAGAGAAGAGTTCTGAGAGATTGAGGAAGTTACACAAACAACTTCACTTCAAGCAATTGATTCACCGAGCATAAACTGAATTACGACCTACTCTAGCAATCAAAAATATGGACCATCATTTGGGAAAAAGTGAATAAGACATTTAACCTTTCTTCTCTTTTGGCTCCATGTTTTTGAATATCAAGATTCCTCAAAGTACGTTGTATCTTATACCAAATGATTTTTCATTTCCATTGCTTTTTTCCAAATCCAAAAAACTTTAACTTAAAGTTGGGGGAGATGAGAAGGAATGTGGGATATGGCAGTGAAGAGACAGAGACATAAGGAAATGGGATACATGGGAACACAATATGTCTGAAAATCCATTATAAGGAGATTCATAAATCACAGTATCTAAGTAAATTTTTTTAAAAACACTTTTGAGATATTTTTGTAGCTTTCTTTTTTCATTTATGCTAGATGACAGGTAGAATAATGATCCCCGAAAGTGCACATATCCACAGATTCACATATCCATAGGTCCTGTGGGTATGTGAGGTTACAAGAAAAGGGGAGTTAGGACTAGAGCAATAGTACAGCAGGTAGGACACATGCCTTGCACACAGGTCAACCCTGGTTCGATCCCCAGCATCCAATATGGTCCCCCCAAGCCCTGTCAAGAGTGAACCCTGATCTCAGAGCCAGAAATAAACCTTGAGTTACTGTGTGTGCCCCCACCCCCAAATGGGGGGGATAAAGGCTATTACTTGGTTGACTTTAGATTGGGGAGTGTTATTTGGTTATCCAGGTGAATCCAGTTTAATAGCAAAAGTCCTCAAAAGTGGAAGAGGGAAGACTAAGTCAGAAAAAAAATAACTAAGATGATAAAAAGCAAGACCGAAGAGACACTGCATTTCTGTCTCTCAAGATGTAGAAGACTATGGAAGAATGCCAAAAGCCAAGGAATTTTGATAAAGCTGTACACACACACACACACACACACACACACACACACACACACACAAATCCTTTCCTAGAGAATGCAGCCCTGCTTTAGCTCAGTAAGACCTGGGTCAGGTTTTGAACTTAAAGGACTTCAAGAAAGGGCTAGAGAGATGGCTCAATGTGCTGCAGTGTATGCTTGGAAAGCAGGAAGCTAGGTTTACCCCCCAGAACTTCACAATCCACCAGGCACCACTTGGAGTGCTCTAGACCACCACCAGGTGTGGACCAAAGAGCAAACAAAATTGTAATTAAGCTGCAAAGTTTGTAGCAATCGGTTACAACATCAACAAAAAACTAGTATTTTATAGACATCATTTCTTAATTCTGTTTAAATGTCCTATTCTAAGAAGATCTATATACTTCAAGTAAGACAATGAGGAAAAATGAAGTAATACTGAAATATGTAACTAAATAAGAATGCAATTAAATGAGTAAAAATTCTGAGGTCAAAAGTTTTGCCTGAAATTAAATATAAGTGTTATTTACAACTCTATTTAATCTCTCATTCTTTTTACAGTAATATATTAATACAGAGAAAGTAAAAGAAAAATTTTACTTTATTATATATTATAAAAATATAATTATAATAAAAATATTATAAAATATTTATAAAAGTACTATAAAAATACTAGAAATCTGTCCAAGAAGTCTGTCTTACCTAAGCCCTTTAAATTGATTTTAAACTTCCTCATGTTCTTTCATTGATTTACATTTTTATTTTTTTATTTATTTTTTAAAATTTTTATTTGATTTACATTTTTAATTGTTAGATAATTTCCTGATCAGGGTTGGAGAGAGAGTATAAAGAGCAGAGCACATGCTTTGTCTGCAGAAGGCTCAGGTGAAATCCCTAGTACTAGACAGTCCTCTGAGTACTGTAGGGAGTGACCCCCCACCCCCCTCCAAGCACAGAACTGGGAATCACTCCACAATGCCAGGTGTGGCCCCAAACCAAAACTAAAAATTGCCTTATTATGAGACTTTTTTTTTTTTTGCTTTTTGGGTCACACCCAGCAATGCACAGGGGATACTCCTGGCTCTGCACTCAGGAGTCATCCCTGGCAGTGCTCAGGGGACCACATGGGATGCTGGGAATCGAACCGGGGTTGGGCGCCTGCAAGGCAAATGCCCTACCCACTGTGCTCTCTCTCCAGCCCTTTATGAGACTTTCTATGAGGACACTCCCCCACAATTCATCTGAAGACCATTTTATGTAGTGTTTGGGGACAGGATCTCTGCAGTCTCCTGTTATAATAACTGCCTTCATAGGCCTTTATCATATTAACTGTTCATCATAATGAAGCTGGGGGATCTAGCATAAAAACCACTCACTTGCAGACATAAAATGTGAAATTCTTTTGGCCTTGTAAGACCTTTATACAGATCAATGGATCTGAAAAAAATGAGGAAACTAGATTCCAAAATCCCCTCTAGCTACAGAGTTCTGAATCACAGAAACAAAACTGAATTTCATTTTAAATTATACCACTCTACTTCAAATTATTATCTCCTTTTTAGTGAAATGTTAAATAATTAGGCTCTCAGGTGGCCTATTAAAGCAAAAATCAAACCTGGCTCTAAAAGACTAACTCCAAGTTCAAATCTCATTTTATATAGACCCTTCTGTGACATTTAACATAGAAACAAGCTCTATTGCACAAGAAGAGGATCTGATTTTAACATCAATACCTGGGCATGCCTAAAAAATTGCTGGGTTCAGATGTTCTAATAACTGCTAGAAATAAAAGCTATCTTTGTGCCTATGATACCTTAACCAGCACATGCTTTGCTCTTTATTCTATAAAAAGAATGTGAGATTAAATAGTTGTAAACAACACTTATGGGCTGGAGCGATAGCACAGCAGGCAGAGCATTTGCCTTGCATGCAGCCAACCCAGTCTTGATTCCTCCATCCCTCTCAGAGGGCCTGGCAAGCTACCGAGAGTCTCACACCCGCGCAGCAGAATTTGGTAAACTACCTTTGGTGTATCCAATATGCCAAAAACAGTAACAAGTCTCACAATGGAGACGTTACTAGCGCCTGCTCAAGCAAATCGATGAACAACTGGAGGACAGTGCTACAGTGCTAATGTGAGATTACTTACTTCCTACCCTTTGGGATGGAAATTAATACATTCTGCTGCAGAAATATTAATGTGATTATGGTGGGTGGGTCCGTGAAAAGTGCTATATAGATTTACTTAACCTAGAGATTTTTTAAAAATTCTGAATTCCAAAACCTATTTTGCAGCATGTTTTAAGGACTAGAAACTGTATTCTAAGATGATTATTTTTGTGGGTAGAGGTCCCCAATTCATAATTAATTTATACTTCATTTCTTTCATGTACTTCAGAATCTATTAATAGACTTCATCTAAGGAGTTGCATGGTAGGC